ACAGTGGCTAAGACTTCAGGTTCGTTTACTGCGCTTGTAGCCTGCCTCAGGATCGCGTGAGGGAAGCTTGCGCCGTTTGCTCCCTCTTCCTCTGGGTGCCCTTTCTGTCTCACTGTCTCTGTCCTTCCCAGTCCGAGGTGTGGGGTATGCCTCACTCTTGCGTGTGCGGTTTCCACGTGGCTGTCTGTCTTCTTGCTCCATCCCTGGGACCTGGTAACTGCTCCGTCAGTTGTGCGTCCTGGCCCGCTGCATCTCAGGGACGTCGCGCATTTGTCCTCTTGGGCTCACTGTCTTACCCTGCTTTAATTTGCATTTATCATTTAAGTCAACTGAATTATGTGATTCGTTTGTTGCTTATAAATTTGCTTGAAAAATATTGACCCTCTTTTGGTCTCCAAGGTCTCTTCTGTGTGAGGGCTAGGTTTGGAGGATAGTTCTAGCTTTTTTGCACCATTCCTTGGTTTCTAGGCGTTACGGTCTTGGCTGCCAGAGTCCAGACTAAAGGGACCGTCTTCTTCCTTGGGGCGTCTCCCCTGAGTCCTGCCTTCTTCGCCACCCTGGTGCACCGGCTGCACAGACACAGGGAGTAACCTGAGGATCTCACCCAGCTCCCCCCGGGTCCTGGCCCACCCTGGTGCACCAGCTGCACAGACACAGGGAGTAACCTGAGGATCTCACCCAGCTCCCCCCGGGTCCTGGCCCACCCTGGTGCACCGGCTGCACACACACAGGGAGTAACCTGAGGATCTCACCCAGCTCCCCCCGGGTCCTGGCCCACCCTGGTGCACCGGCTGCACACACACACGGAGTAACCTGAGGATCTCACCCAGCTCCCCCCGGGTCCTGGCCCACCCTGGTGCACCGGCTGCACACACACAGGGAGTAACCTGAGGATCTCACCCAGCTCCCCCCGGGTCCTGGCCCACCCTGGTGCACCGGCTGCACACACACAGGGAGTAACCTGAGGATCTCACCCAGCTTCCTGGGGTCCTGGCCTGGCTGTCTGTCTCCTGAATCAAGGGATTGAATGGGAGGTCCTGTCCAAGATGTCTCTCTCAGAAACAGCCCTCCATTTTCCTTTCCTCCTGGGAGACCCTCCCACCCTCACCTCTCCCCGCTGCCCGGCCCTCGGCTGGGGTAAAGGGGACAGAGGGACAGGCAGGAGCCCCTACGGGCTGTGGAGACTGCTGGCTGGTGTTTGGGAAGCTGCCCAGGGCCGGGAGGCTTCAAGGACCTCACAAGGAGACCCGGTGAGGAGGAGCCTCCCAGGAGAAGGAGTTGTGACCGGTCTTGTGGTTTCTTGAGCCAAGAAATGCTGGTTCTCGCTCGAAGGCGGCAGAGCATGAGCGGAGAGAAACAGAGTGGGGTTTATTGGTGGGAATCTTCTGTGAGCATTCTCAGGATCTGGGCGGTGGACCGTTGGCACCAGAACGGTCTCGGGGAGATGATGTCCACATGGAAGAGCCATCTTTTGCTTCCACCGAAGAGATAGTACCCTCAGATTAGGGCCTGGAGCCGGAAGCAGTGCCGAGGGTAACAGTGGCCAGTACTGACATGCAAGGCGCTGGTTTCTGTGCTTTACGTGGTCCCTGCCCTAAGCCTTGTGGCAGCGCCGGGATGTGCCGTCACCATCAATAACCCCGGTTTGCAGAGGAGCAGATGGAGGCACAGCGAGGGGAGGCGGCCACCCCACGTTACACAGCTCGTCAGCTTCAGACCAGGGGCGCGTCCTGAACACCGTGTCTGCCCCGGGCTGGGTCCTGTACACACTTTCCCGTTCAATCCTGTAACGACCCTGTTAGGGAGCCTGTTCCAGCGACCTTTTCCAGACGAGAAACGCAATCGGCTGCCCACATTTCCCAGCCGGCCAGTGGCCAGGTGGGCTCAGAGCCGAGTCTGTCTGAGGCTTCTTCAAACAGGCAGAAGTAAGAGTTTTTAAAAAGGCTGAAAACCAGCTTCTTGGACGTTTATCTGTTGTTAGGTGTTTGCTCCCTGTAAACAGTTGTACAGATGGAGGAAATGATGTCATTTCTCATTTGTCCCTTTAACTCACTGTCTGTAAACTGAACAGTGTTGTCTGTAATTTGCTGCCCAGTGGTGCCCCTTACCCACGAAACTATTCCAGGAACCCCCCTTCAGCACGTGGAAGGTGGGGAGCCCAGAGACCCATCTTCTCAGATGACATGGTTGAGTTCTGGAATACTTGAGTTCTTGACACTTCATCTTGTAAAGGTTGTCACAGGAGTAGTAGGAACAACACCTAAAATAGAACCGGATGTGAAAAATCTCATTGTTCTGTTCTGTAAATACCATATTGCAGAACTCCTAATAGAATCCCCGAGTTATACAAAAGAAAGTATATTATCTTTCTGTAATTGTATTTATTATGCTGATAAAAATGTTCAAGTGTTAAAACTCACCTCAGAGTGAATAATGAAGAAGCGTTTGCTGAGTTAGAGACAGATGGTTACTGCTGAAAATTCCTTAAGCACTGACCCCAGGCCATTGGCAGTTGCTGGATCTCCCACGGCCTTCCTGACCACCCTGCCCACAGCACCCACCAGCCCCCTTTGCGTGACCCGCTTCATCTTTGTGGCCCGTGTCAGCACCTGAAATTGTTTTCCCGCGTGCTTGCGTCCCCCAGTGCAAGTTCTGTGTGAGTAGGAGCCTGCCTGTCAGTTTGGAAGCGCAGGTCTCGAGCAGACTCGGCAGGAGTCTGCTGGGCAGATGGGTGTTGTCGGTGCTGGGACACAGGCTGTTGGTGATGCTCTCGAAGCATCAAGGAGAGCGGCTCCCACCTCCCACCCGACGCGGGCGCGTGGCTTCTCCGGCCCGCTGGTTTCTCGTCTTTCAGTCCTCTGCGCCGTCTCCTAGCCTCACCTCTCTCTGCGCCCAGCCTGGCGCCTGCGTGTCATTATCCCAGTTTCCCTGGTTACGTGACAGAAGGAACGGTCCCGTGCGTTTGTGACCCGGTTCTAATGACCCCCGTCGGTGATTTGGCATTGTAGGTGGTTTGTGGACATCACTGAAGAGAGGCTCCGTAAGACACTGTTTCTAAGTTTTCTGAGCCAGAATGTGATCATCTGATAGTTTAAATCGGGTGTTCCTAAATTGGGTCTTCCCAGTATAAATTGAAGCTATGAGATGGGCAGAAATCCAACAGTTAAACAACACATTTTACTGGTGAATCCGTGGGGAAGCAGACATCTCCCTGACACTGCTGGTGGGAGCACAGAATGTGCAGCCCCTGCGGAGGGGAATTTGGCAGGAGCTAGAAAATTACGTAGGCATTTACTCCTTGTCTGGGTGGTTCTTCCAGGAATTTATCTCCCAAATATGCTGGTAAAAATAGGAAAAGATCCGTTTAAAGGCTGTTCATTGTGGCCCTGATGGAAATAGGATTTTCAACAACATAAAATTTCCATTAATAGGGTTGGCCTGGTGGCGTAGCAGTTAAGTTCGCATGCTCCGCTTTGGTGGAACAGGGTTTGCAAGTTCGGATCCCAAGCGCGGACCTAGCACTGCCTGTCAGGCAGCATCCCACATAAAATGGAAGAAGACCGGCATAGATGTGAGTCAGCAGCAGTCTTCCTCAAGCAAAAAGAAGATTGGCAACAAATGTTGACTCAGGGCCAATCTTCCTCACAACAAAACAAAACAATTTCCGTTAATAGAATAGACTGAGGTGCTCCTGCGTGGTGGAGCTCTGTGTCCCTGTGGGCAGTCAGGGATCGCTGTGTGCTGCTGAGGAGTGATGCCAGGACACAGCATCCAAGGACAAGCAGAGGTGGAGACAGTGTCTGTGCCGAGCCACTGTTCCAGAAAGGGGGGTGTGAATATATACATGTATGTGCATACACCTTCAAAATGGGAGGATGGACCATACTTGTGTTTATTTTCTAAAGCCTACCCATGGGGAAGGGAGAGAACCAGGGTGGAGGGGACGCATATGAAGCTAGACTTCTGGCTGTTCTTCCTTTTGTAGATTTGACTTTGGAACCATGTACATGTTTTACATCATTATAAAACAAAATTAAGTAAAAGGTTACAACTTTTCAAAATTTGGTAGGCGTTGTCAAAGTTTTCTCCAAAAAGTTGATACCCTTTCGCCTCCTATCAACACTCGAGGGGAGCTCTTCTCTCGGACCTTTGCTGCACTGGATCATCTTCTAACACTTCGCCAATATGATGGGTGAAAACAGTCTGCTGTTCTCATTCACACTCCCCAATGACTAGTGATTAGGGATCTTTTCATTCATTTATTAGCTGTTTTGTAATTTTTCTGTGAATTACAAACTCATAGCCTTTTTTTCTGTAAGAAGGTTTCTTTTTTTCTATTGATTTGTAAAAACTTTTTTATATGTTGTGGATATAATTTTCATTTGTTGATTATTGCCAGGGTCATGACCTCATTTCTGGTTAAATTGTTCAGGCCCCGAGTGTAGTAGCTCGTTGTTATTCTGTTGATTGAAAGGTTGTTTTACAGGAACCTTTATGTGTGATGCATCTGAAATGCTGTGGTATCCTAGAGTAACTTGGACCAGACTTTCCCCAGACCATTCAAGTGCTGGATGTCAATTTGTGAGCTCTTTGGAGCAATAGTAACTGTGATTCTCTTTTCCTTTTTAAAAGATTTCCTTTTTTTTTTTTTTGGTCTAAGTAATGAGTAGTTGGTAAACGTCCACCTAAGTTGATTTTTGGTGAATGTATAAACTAAATTTGATTGTCTTTTTGGTTTGAGATTGTTGATTTTCAGTGACTCATGATAACCATTTTTTTTTCTCCCCAAAGCCTCCCAGTACATAGTTGTATGTTTTAGTTGTGGGTCCTTCTAGTTGTGGCGTGATAACCATTTTTATGTCCTGTTCAATTGAATACCTGGATGAAATAGTCATGTTTCATTAAAAAAAAGTGAAATAGGTTTTTTAAAAGTTTTTATAGTTGCTGACGTTTGTCTTTTGTTCTTGGATAGATTGACTGTTTCTTGTTTCTGTCTCTAGGTCATCACTCCATGTAGGAAACTCATCTTATGCGCTGACAACAGGAAAGAAATGGAGGATTGGATTGCAGCACTGAAGACTGTCCAGAACAGGGAGCATTTTGAGGTTAAAAGAGAAAAACATCTCTTCTTGTTGCCCTCTCCTTGATATTCTGCTCTCCGAGTATCTCCCCTGTGTGGACTCTGCGTTCTGGAACCCGCTTTCTCAGCATGCTCCTGTAAAATTAAGGCTCGTTGCTTGTCCTTTTGGCCACCCTGTCAGCTGTGACCTGTCCTCTCCTGCCTCGGATACTGTATTGAATCCCGTTCTAGTTCCCACGCTTAGGAACGTCAAAGGGACCCCTTATCTTTGTCATCTTTATTTCGTTCTTCCAGCCCACCCAGTACAGCATGGACCATTTCTCAGGGATGCACAATTGGTACGCCTGTTCCCACGCGAGGCCGACCTACTGCAACGTGTGTCGTGAGGCCCTGTCCGGGGTCACGTCCCACGGACTATCCTGTGAAGGTACGAACCATGTTATTCTGCTGGGAAAGGCAGCCTGAGGTTTGACTTGACAAAGCCTCAGAAATCCAAGCCTAGTCACCGCAAATCAGGAGTAACATGGTTTCTGTGAGTCCGTGCTTACTCATTTTACCTACGGAGGATCCTTTGATAAGTTACATTTGATAGTAATGGCACCAAGGAAAGAGAAAGGACCTGGTAGTAAGGAGACATGGAGAGGAAGCACGGCAGACACAGAGGGGAGAGATTTCCAGGATCTGTCGGCCCAGTGCAGTTGTGCCCTCTCTGGGTAAACTGCGTTGTGGATAATGGCTTACACTTGTCTTCAGATACAGAGGGCAGGGTCACCGTGTTCGGGCGGGGTCAGTGGGCAGGAGCAGAGAAAGGCAAACCGTGGCCCCAGGTGCCTTCCCCTGCCACCTGTTTTAGTACAGCCTGTGAACTTAAGAACGGTTTTTACAGATTTTAAATGGTTGGAAAAAATGAGAAGACGACGACTATTTTGTGACACAGATAATCTCGTGAAATGTAAATTTCAGCATGCACACGTGGAGCGTGGCCCACAGTGGCCCTCGTCCTGCAGGGCAGGTTGAAGTAGGGGCAGGGGCGGTGTGCGGCCCACAGAGCCTGAGCTGGTTGCTCTCTGGCCCTTTCCAGAAAGCCTGCCGACTCTTGGCTGCATGGGATGCTGGGTTTCAGTCCTGCCTCCAGCCTCCCGTGCTCAGTCCCTGCGTGTATCCGTCGTTAGCATACAACACGGGGCGTGCCGTTTCCAGCTTTCCCAGAAGCCAGGGCGGTCCCACTGCACCGTCTCCTCAGCACCGGGAGCACTGTCATGAGCGAGGCTGGAAGGTTCATGTCTTCCTTCTCCCACAGTGTGCAAGTTCAAGGCCCACAAACGGTGTGCTGTGCGTGCAACCAATAACTGTAAGTGGACCACGCTGGCCTCCATCGGGAAGGACATCATCGAGGATGAGGATGGGGTATGCATAATGGGGACCCGCCCCGGGGCCCTGCGCCAGGGCTGCCGACCCTGCCTTCCTCTTGTCAGCACAGGGGCAAGAAGTCCCCCAGCCCCACCCCCATTGGCCCAGGCTCAGTTCTCTTCCTCTCAGGTTTTCATTTGAGTTGTTCCCACCGTGTATTTGGGGGCTCAGTGTGGGCCGAGCTCTGTCCAGTCCCTGTGTGTCTTGCTGCACGTTGCAGCAGGAGTGGTGGTGTGGGACAGCACTGGCTGCCCTGCCCTCCCTGGGCTTGTGTGGAGAAGAACGTCTTGGTTGAGTTCATTTGGGGGCATTTTTGCTGGAGGGCTTCCCTCCCCACACGTGGGGCCCGGGGCCCACCCCTAGAGTGCGTCTCTGCTTGGGTTGCAGATCGCCATGCCTCACCAGTGGCTGGAGGGAAACCTGCCCGTGAGTGCCAAGTGCACGGTGTGCGATAAGACCTGCGGCAGCGTGCTGCGCCTGCAGGACTGGCGCTGCCTCTGGTGCAAAGCCATGGTGAGTGAGCACGTGGCCCTGCAGGCTCGTGCGTGGGCTCATCCCTCCGCTGCATCCTGGTCTGCTCCCTGGTTCTGGAGAGCCCACTGCTCCTGCAGCTGCAGGCTGGGGAGAGTTCTGGTGGATGTGGTGGAGGCCAGTGACCCCTTGTGATGCGTCGACTCTGGTTCCAGGTACACACGTCCTGTAAAGACTCCCTACTGACCAAGTGCCCACTGGGCCTGTGTAAGGTGTCCGTCATCCCTCCCACGGCTCTCAACAGCATCGACTCCGATGGTGGGTACCGCACGCTCTCCTGTCCTACCCATTTCCTCAAGCTGCCGTCTCCATGCAGTCTCCCCTCCCTGACTCTAGAACTGGTTATAGTGGTGATTTTGAGACATGGTTGGAAAAAGCTTAGGCCCAGCTGTTGGGAAGAGAGGGCTTGCACCCGGAGGTGGTGAATGGCATCCTGGTGGCTGTGGGGCACGCTGAGACTGGAGGCGGGGACTTGACTTGAAGGTCGTGGCGTCCATTGGTTATTGAGTAAAAGCTGATCCTGAGATGCTGCTTCTCTGGGGTGCTCTCCATCAGCTAGTCTCCGGCTAGTCGCAGACACTGCTCCCCCTTGTCCAGGTGGTGTGTGGTGAGGCATGTTAACAAGTGTTGGCGGAAAGTGGGAAACTGGCACGTGTCTGAGGAACCAGCTCTGCCAGATGGAGCAGGAGGGACTGAGCAGTGGGGCGCAGGGTCTCTCTGAGCTTTAGAATCCTGTAGACGTGAGGTCAGCCTGGATGGGGCTCGCTTCCCTGTCCATGGGGAAAGGTCTTGCTGGTTTGCTGGGCGTGTGGAATGAGTCACACGTCCCTTGGGGCTTTCTGCTTCTCACGAGATTACGAGGGCCCTGGTGTCTTTCCGACTTTCACATTTTCTTCTGTCCTTTTCTGTTCCCACATCCAGGCTTCTGGAAGGCCACGTGTCCTCCATCCTGCACAAGCCCGTTGTTGGTCTTTGTCAATTCAAAAAGTGGGGACAACCAAGGTGTGAAGTTCCTCAGAAGATTCAAGCAGCTGCTGAACCCCGCCCAGGTCTTCGACCTCATGAATGGAGGACCGCACCTCGGGTAGGATGCCAGATGCTTCTTTCTTGGAGTTTTTAAAATTTTGAAGATAATACATGCTAACTAAAAAGAGATTCAAAGGTACAGAAAATCTTAAATAGGAAATAAAAATTGTTTTTCTTGAGCCCTCCCCTTATCACATTCCACTCACAGAGGACGCACTCTTAATAGAGTTGTGTGTCCTTCTAGCTCTCAAAAGTGCGTTTCAGTTGTGTGCACACACACTTTTAAACCCAGGGGGTGGTGTGTGGCCTGCCACTGTGCAGCACACGCTTTGCGTGTGCCGGGTCCGGCAGTGTGGACGCCCTTTGATGTCGGGGGCTCAGGTCTGCCCATCCTTTTCACAGGCTGCTCAGTGCTGAGGAGGGAGCTTCCCCAGCGAGGACAGACGGAAGTCTTCCTTTGGGAGGACACAAGAGGTCTCAGCTTGTGGGCGCAGGGACACTCAGTTGAGCCAGGCCTGTGTGTGGGGAAGAGTAATTACCGCATTATCTGCCAGCTGGAGAGCGGGTGTGTGTGCTTCCTGGTTTTGCACATTTTATAGGCTTGTGGGAAGCGTTTGTTTCTGTAAGTTTCGTAGTTTGGACTAGCCGCTTCCTCGTTTGCAAGCGCCAGTTCAGGACTGAGCTCTGAGAGCCCCAGCATGAGGGGGAGGGAGGCTGGCGAGATGTGTGTTGCGGGAGGCACCTGCGGGACTCGTCTGGTGCGTCTTGTCCTGGGGGGTGCCCAGGCTGTTGTTTCTGCAGCCAGGGGCTGCTGTCAGGGCCGGGCGCCTGGCGCAGAGGAGCGCGCCGGCCCTCTGGGGCCTGGGTGTTGGTTTTCCCGCCTGCAGCAAGGCACTGCTGGAGAAGGGTCACAGATGGCTTCTTGGTAGCCTGTTCCCTCGGAGGCGGCCCGCTGCACGTTTCTGCGGACAGACTTCCTAACTGAAGGATGGAAGAGCACGTTCACCACTGGACTTGTAGGGGAATCATTTTAGGTAGAGACGGGGCCAATGGAGGGATCCACCGCCTTGTCGTGAAATAGCAGCAGGTGCAGGCCATTACTCAGCACGGAACCAAGGATGCTGGCTGAACGCTCTGACGTGGCTTTGGGCAGGGCGGGCTGCTCGGCAGAACTGGAGAATAATCACGTGCTAATTTTGGCAGACCCCACAGCTCGCAGTTGGCTCAGGCACGAGTCAGGACAACTTAGGGAGCCCCCGAGGTGCAGCGGGAGTTAATCTCGTAGCCACCTGTTTCTGGGAAGCAGCCTTGATCTCACGCTGTCTGTGACAGGACTTAGGGAGACTCTTTAGTTTCCTTTTTTTTTTTTTTTTTGAGGAAGATTAGCCCTGAGCTAACTGCTGCCAATCCTCCTTTTTTTGCTGAGGAAGATTGGCCCTGAGCTAACATCCATGCCATCTTCCTCTACTTTATATGTGGGTCACCTACCACAGCATGGCGTGCCAAGCGGTGCCATGTCCACACCTGGGATCCGAACCGGTGAACCCCAGGCTGCCGAAGTGGAATGTGCGCACTTAACTGCTGCGCCCCCAGGCCGGCCCCTCTTTAGTTTCCTGATTCCCAGCCTTGACGTGTCACCTCTTCTCCAGAGAGCAGGAACCTGAGAGAGGTCAGGGGTCTTGAAGGACCTCAGGTGGCTGTTTCTCTCACAACCTGAAAGTCAGGTGCCGCCTGACTTCACCGCTATTTCCACCCTGAGTTTCGTGCCGCGTCGCTGATTCCTGTTTCTTCTTTAAGACTTCCTCTGGCTCAGACTCTGTGCTCGAGGCGGGGCCAGACAAGGTGGGGTCCCTGCCTCCCGGGGGTGCAGCACACAAGGGTGGTCACTCACATGACAGGGGTCTGTCACATTGACAGGATGGTGTGCAGATTCTTTGGGAACCCAGAGAAGGGGCTTACAAATACAACTGGGGGTCTCAGTTTCTCCGCTGAGCCAGCATGTGAGGGGAGTTAGTATTTAATGGTAGGGAGGGACGGGGAGCCTTCCTGGCAGAGGGCGCCACGTGTGCGAAGAGGCGAGAACGTGGCGGGGCCACCGGGCGAGTGGCAGGAGCTGGGCAGACGGCGGCAGCTGCTGGCCAGGGAGGGCCATGGGTGCTGGCCGAGAGGTTCGAACATTTCCTGGCAACAAGTGGCAACTTCTAAAAGCTGGACGCTCGACGAGACTTGTTTTGGGAAGATCAGGCTGGGAGCGCGCATTGGCTGCTCCCGAGGAAGACGTGAAGCAGGTCGAGGCTCTTCTAGGGTTTACGAGAGAAGTGATGGTGACCTACACTCAAAAGGGACAGTGGGGCCTGGTCCCATAACTAGGTTGATGGTGGCACTGCCGTTCTCCCAGGAAGGAATCCCAGGACGAGGAGGCACCCGTGGGATGCCGAGTGGCACGTTCTGGTGGATGAGTGCAAGTGTTGTCTTCCAGGAAGGCCTGGAGGTCCTCGGCATCTGTATGGTCCTGGGAGCCAGCACGTGGATAGGGCCCCTCAGGAGGAGCCTTTGCTGTCAGGCGCCTGGCGGCCCCAACTGCTGAGCCTGCACACACCTGGGCTCTGGCCTCCTAGAGCTTATTCACATCAGGGGGTGCAGGGTCAGCTCTTAGGGGCACGGATGGGGCCCCTCAGCCCAGGACTAGCTGGCTGTCATTTGTCCTTTAGACCATACCTCATTCACTGACATTCTCTTTTCTCTGCAGTTTACGCTTATTCCAGAAGTTTGACACATTCCGGATTTTGGTTTGTGGTGGTGATGGCAGTGTTGGCTGGGTCCTCTCTGAAATCGACAGCCTCAACCTTCACAAACAGGTACCTGCTCGTGGACGGCAGCCCTGGGGAGAGCAGTGCCCTGGCTAGAGGCCGTGCCGTCCCGGGTGCTGCTCCTTATCTCCTGGGAGCGCTGTTCCAGGCAGGAGGGGAAGGGGCGGGGAAGAGCAGATAGTTCGATGGCATCGTGGGCCCAGGGGCTGGGCCCAGGATTGGGAACTTCACAGACAGAAGTAAGGGAGCTACGAAAAGAGCATTCCAGTCCCCGAAGGTCCAGGCTGGGGTGGGGCTGCCTTCCTGCACGCCCCCCGGCTCTTTATTGGGTTGTGATGAAATCTGCTGCCTGGTGCCTCCTGCTTGTGAGGAGCAGACGGAAGTGGACTTCAACTTCAGGTCTGAGTTAGGGGTTATTGGACTTAGGTTTTTTTTGTATTAAGATGAAATTAGATTTTCCTGGCTGTGTGAAAAAAAGTGTTCATTGATTTTCCCCCTCCCTGTGCCCTCATCCTCATGCCCCATGACTAACCACTGCCCGCCTCCCGGGAACTGCCTTCAGGCCTCTCTCCATCAGCGTGTGTACAGTACCACATGTAATGCAGTTTTAATTCGGCGGCCTCATTACCTGTGCTGTTCTGTTCCTGCGTTTTCAAAAGCAGTGTGTTGCACGCACCTCGCCCTCTAGGTCCGTAAGCAGAGAGGTATGGTGGTTTCCACTGGGCGGAGCTGCGCAGCCCTGGGTGGGCTCGTCTCCCCACTGACGGGTGCTTCGACTGCTTCATGAACACGGCTCTCAGGAAAACCATAGCCATGCCTTCCCAGTGGTGTTCTCTTCTGAAGAGCGCCCAGATTCAAATTTTGATGTGTGCTGGGCTGTTCCAGTTTACGTTCCTGAGGCTGCATAACGCTCTCCTTTCCCATGCTGTCCATTGTTCACCGTTTTCGTTCTTGCCCAACTCAGCAGACAAAAAAAGTCATGTTTTTATTTTTGTTTCTTTAATACTGGCAAATTCAAACATCTCAATTAACTATGAAATTTTAAATGAATCACCTCTTCATGTTTTTTGCTAGTTTCTGATTGACGTATTTACCTTTTTTACAGAATTGTTGTCTGGGACCAGCCCCATAGCCCTAGTGGTTAAGTTCAGGGCACTGTGCTTCAGCGGCCTGGGTTTGGTTCCTGGTGCAAACATACACCACTTGTCAGTGGCCATGCTGTGGCAGTATCCCACATACAAAATAGAGGGAGAGTGGCACAGATGTTAGCTCAGGGACAGTCTTCCTCAGGAAAAAAAAAAAGATTTCTAAAGGTTATTGTTATAATAGGGATGCAAACTCCTTGTGGGTCGTAGTTTTCTAGGTTGTCATTTGCTTTCAACATACTTTTCGTCTGAATCTTTGACCTGATCTGGGTCTATTTTTCAGAGACTTGGCGTTCTCTCCCCACTCCTGGTGTTGGGGGTCTTTGTAGGTGGGTGGACTTGATGTCAGTACTGCCCTGGGCACGGCTTCATGTTGGAGAGTGGATGGTCCCCGTGTGCTGGGACCTGTCTGCTCAAGTGAGGCCGCCAGCTCAGGGAGGAGAACACTGCCCCCTAGTGGTGAAGCTGCTCTGGTGCTCTGAGGCCCGGATTGAGTTTCGCTGACTTCCAGGTGTTACAGGTTCATCAGGAGTCAGGGAGACAGGTATCCATCCGCTTGGCCGCGTTCAGTGAGCATTGGTCTGCTTTGGCGTCAAGGCGGCACTCGATCCTCTGGTCACGCCTCTCTCCCCGGCTTCCCCAGGACCCCACGCCTTCTTGGTGTTTCTCATCTTCCTGGCTGCCTCTCCCCACCCTCCTAGATAGATGCCTCCTAGTGCCTCAGGCCCGGCACATCCGGCCCTGAGCCCACCGTTCAAGCCCTCCCTGCCTTGCCTCGGAGTCTGAAAATATCGTCCACTAGGCGTCCAAGCCAGAGATCTGAGTGTTGTTCTGACTCTTTTTCTGGATTCTTCCCTTGCCCTCCCTCCTCCTTTCTGGCTGATTGCTGGGGATCAGTCCTGCCACCCCAGGGTGGCCAGGCCCCCACCGTGTGCTGCTCATCCTGGGTCTCCATCTGTCCACTCTTCACCGGCGCCCTTCCCCACGGGCAGTTCCGCTCACTCCCCTGCCCTGCTGAGCTTCCTTGGGGCTCCGTGGCTTTGGGGTAGAGTCCAGACTTGCTCACACAGCTTACCAGAGCCCCCAGTTTGGATCCTTCTTCCTTCTCTGCTTCTCCGGCTTCTTCTCCTCACTGCCCTCCTCTTGACCGAGCTCAGGCTTGGCAGGTGGGTCACCTCTCCACTGCTGGCCTTCCCTCCACGGCCCAGCCTTTCTCGAAGGCTCTAGGAAGCCAGCGCCGGGTCTTTTCTGCCCGTGCTCAGCCTTCCTTGTCCTCGCCTGCTCACGGGCTGCTGCCCTCACCCTCGGGGAGGTGGGGACTTCTGTCCAGTGCTCTGTCCCTGGCAGGGTGACGAGGCCTCTTTCATGTCCGGGGTGGGTGACCACAGGCTGTGCTGTGCCCAGGGAGAGTAGATGACCCTCCCTGCACCCTGCATGCCGGGGTTGGGGTGGAGAGCTCTTGGGCAGCCGGTGTCTAGGGAGCTTGCTGAGCAGTGAACTGGCACGGTGGGGTTTCCATGGTGGCCCCGGGGTGGGAATTCCAGGTGGTGGCGAGGCCTGAGCAGTGTGTGGGGTCTCTCTGGGGGGTGGCAGGCTGAGCGCTGGGGTGTACTCGAGTTTGGTGGCCAGACTGTGGGTGTCCTGGTACCTGTTTCGATAGGACTTAAAGCCACTGAAGATGGTTTTAGGGGAAGGAAGGACAGCAGTGCTTATTTGGAAGATGAGCTTGGCGTTAGAGAGTGTGATGCTGTAGTGGATGGAGGCAGGCAGTGGGGAGTCATGGAATGGTTCTCCAGGAACTCAGACGTTCACCGGTCAGGGGCAGGACTGTGACTGCAGCTGTGAAATGGGAAAGCAGGGGACTTTGGGAATGTAGATGACAGAGGCCCTAGAGGGTTGGTTGTCAGGATGTGGCCACAGGTGAGGAGCAGGCCCGTGGCAGGGTGGGGAGTCAGACAGCCCTGGAATCTTCTGTTGGATTAGAAAGACCACTGTCCTGTCTAGTGGCTCTGCCTGGAGTGTCAGTGCCATACAATGTAGATCAGACTCACACTGAATTTAGCCAGCGTTGTAGATATAAAAGAGGCTGGTTGATGCCATGTCTTCCCCTGTGTTCTGTCTCCAGTGCCAGCTGGGAGTGCTGCCCCTCGGCACAGGGAATGACCTGGCCCGCGTGTTGGGCTGGGGCTCGGCCTGCGATGATGACACGCAGCTCCCACAGATCCTGGAGAAGCTGGAAAGAGCCAGCACCAAGATGCTGGACAGGTGAGGGGGGAGCATCCCAGGCTGCACCCGAGGAGCCACTCTGAGAGAGACGTCACCTTGACCAGGTGTCCTGGCCCCGGGTCCCTGGTAACCATAAGGCCCCTGCAGTTATTTGTAAAAATTTGACCTGAGCAGGAATTCTGTTTTTCTGGTAGTCTTTAACGTTTGATCAGATTATGAAAAAGGTAAAAACAGAACAGAACAGTTTAGGAAGCTTGCCCTCGAGTGGTCAGGTCTTCCCACGAGGCCCAGTCTGATCCCCGGGGGCCCATAGAGAAGGCAGCTCTGCCCCTCTGCCGGCTCAGCCCTGATCTGACCCGTCAGCAGAGTCCTCCATGTTGCGGTTGAGCAATCCCATTGTCCCTTAGGCAGTTCCTAGAAGCAGCTACGTTTTGCCTACTTATCCTGTACGTGTTTAAAATCCTTTGGCATGCTACTTTTACTTCTGAGCTACACATATGAAATCCCGCTAACCACAGCCTGTGGCACATTGGTATTGTTGAAAGTGCGTCACATTCTCTCAGAGGACCGCAGCTGTGATTGGCAGGTGCGGTTTGAGCTGCCCCTCCCAGTTCTTCTCATTTAAGGGAGGCCTCTGTGCCTGTGAGTGCTTGCTACCTGGGAGAGCCGGCTGCTGGCTGGGTTATTGTAGCTCAAGAAGTGGAAGCCCCTTTCTCCCAGCAGCAGCTGGTTATGGGACACCTGCCACCTCCTTCGGCAGAGTGGCCATGCCCTCTTGGTTGTGATGTTAGTTCTCAGCTAAGTCAGGAGCCAAGTTGTGGGACAGGAGTCAAGATAAAGGGCTTACGCTCAAGTCAGAATTGATGGGGGCGGGGTGAAGGGTGATGAAGAGGCGGGGCCAGGGCCTGTGCTGGGGGCTGGAGCCGCTGGCTGAGGGCTGCCTCTCTCCGTGTGTGCAGGTGGAGCGTCATGGCCTACGAGACCAAACTCCCCCGGCAGGCTTCCTCCTCCACGGTCACCGAAGACTTCAGCGAGGGGTCCGAGGTATTGCCGTCGCCCGATCTCGCAGTCCTCAGCCATTCGCACCGCCCCCCACCCTGTGGCCGTGAGCTGCTCCTTACACGTCCTGCCCTGGGTTCGACCCGTGGAGGAGCAGGGTCAGCCTGGGGCCGAGCTGCAGCCGCATGTGTTCTGACTGCCCCGTGGTCTTTGGGGTCGTCCGGGGGCTTCCCAGGGTTATCCCAGGGTTTGGGGTCCTTTGTGACGACGGTCTCCTAGGACTGCCCCTTCTCCCAGCGTACGCTTCACTGCTCCCTCTACTGCCGTGGCCCCCACCCAGCCCCAGGCCCACTCTCGCCCCCTCCTCCATGACCGCTTCCATTGCCCCGCTCTGTGTCCGCCCTCGCAGCGAGCCTGTGCTGGTTTCCTTTCATGGCAGTTTCTGTGATGTAACGGTTCCTTCAGGCCTAGACTTTGCCTAGACGGGGGCGGCGCTGGGCACGTACCTGTGCTCGTCCCCACCTGGCTGAGCAGGAGGGAGGACTCTACCAGGGGCCCTTTCCCCGCCAGGACAGAGGACAGTGGGCTGGGCAGCAGTAGGCAGACGACAGCCCCGGGCCACTCCTGCCAGGCCTGCTTTGGCGTGGCCTGCGAGCAGACAGTGGTCTGCACATTTGAAGAGGAAGAACACGTGTGCAAAGCCTAGACTGTTGACTGTCTGGCCTGGTAAAGTTCGCTGACCCCGGCCTGGGGGCTAAAGAGAGGGCTGGTCACACAGGGTTAGAGCTCCTGCTGCAGCGGGCAGAGGTGAGGGGTGAAGGGGAGAGTTTACACCAAGAGGACGGGGCCAGGGCCACGTTCCCAACCAGGGGGATAAACGTGTTGTCCACTGTGGGTGGAACTTCAGTTACGGGGCCCTGCCTATCGACCGGGCTGCTGTACGGATGAAACAGGGTTGCAGATCGTAGTTCTAGCACTGGCCGGTGGTGGTGAACCTCAGACTAAAGAAGCACGAGCTGTTCGTAAGATTTTATTGATGTGTCCTTTTTTGTAAGATCCATCTGTCCACAGCTCGACGAAGCTTTTGCAATCTTCCAGCTAGCCCCGGCGAGTCTCAGATTAGCGTGGGAGGCCTGGCCGGCGGGGCAGTGGGTGAGGAATCCCCTGGGCTCTGTCATGGCGCTGTCAATCGCCAAGACTGACAGTCACCCCACCCTGTTTTGGGCAATTGTAGGTGCAGCAAATTCTCTTCTATGAAGACTCGGTTGCAGCCCATCTTTCTAAAATCCTGACCTCTGACCAGCACTCGGTGGTGATCTCATCGGCGAAGTGAGTGTCCGGCGGCCTCCGGGGAGCCAGGGGTCAACCACACGAGGCACCTGGTTCCTCGCCAGAACTGTCTCTCTAGAAGGATCTTTCTGCATTCCTCCACAGAGTGCTCTGTGAGACGGTGAAGGACTTCGTGGCTCGAGTGGGAAAGGCCTACGAGAAGGCGACTGAGAGCTCGGAGGAGGCAGAGGTCATGGCCAAGAAGGTCTGTCCTCTGGGCACCCGGGCGGGAGCGGTCAGGGCGGAGAAGCCGTCCCATCCCCTCCATTGCGTTTGTTTCTTGTCCAGTGCTCTGTCCTGAAGGAGAAGCTGGATTCCCTCCTCAAGACCTTGGACGACGAGTCCCAGGCCTCGTCCTCTCTGCCCACCCCACCCCCCACCATTGCCGAGGAGGCAGAAGATGGAGACGGGGCGGGCAGTGGCTGTGGCCCCACTGGGGACCGCTCGGTGGGCTCGGCGTGCCCAGCCCGGCCACAGATCTTCCGGCCTCGGGAGCAGCTCATGCTCAGAGCCAACAGCCTGAAGAAGGCGATTCGTCAGATCATAGAGCACACAGAGAAAGGTAGTTGGTCTCTAATAATGAGGCAGCTTTCTCAGGCAGGTCCTGGGCTCCCAGTTTTCCCCTAAACATGGCAATGGACTAAGGTATCCACTGTGTAGGCCAAAGCCGGACAGCCCGAGGTCACTTGCGGCCTGTCCCGTCACCTCCAGGCCACCTGGCACGAGGCGGCCCCTCCCACCTGAGAGCCTACTGGGGATGCTCCTCTGTGCTCCCCTGCCCGGGTCTGAAGGAAAGACGCCAGCCGTGCAGGCAGTGCCCCAGGGTTCCAGAAAGTGGTAGGCAGAGTGAGAGGGTGCCCCTGCTGCTGGAAGGGGGCCGCTTTCAAGGGCATGTGCAGGGAGCATGTGGGGGAAACTGACCCCTGGGCAGGGACCTGCTCCCTGGGAGGGTCCTGACCTGTGGTAACTCTGCTAGCCCTGGGCAGCCCAGGGGGGCGGGCGGCAGTGTGGGTGTGCAGCGCGGCCTCGTCCAGGGAGAGGTGGGGCTGCCCCCAGTGGGGCACGTGCTGAGGCGAGCCTTGGCACTTAGAGCTGAGGCACTCTGAGGATGCCTGGAGAGGAGGGCCTGTGCCTGGGAGAGAGGTGGGCTGGGGCCAGCAATGGTGGGTGAGGCCCTGGGCAGTGGACGGAAAGAGAGGCCAGGATGGGATAGCTGCCTCGAGGGCTCGGAGGCTGAGAGACGGGGTGGCGCTCAGTGAAGTGGGAGGAGCAGCTGCACCATGGTGGCCGAGGCAGGGGCTGGCCGCGGCGGGGGAGGGGCCCAGGGCCGAGTGTCCAGTGTCAGCCTTGGGGAGGGAGGTAGACCCGCACAGGATTAAAGACCCGCCTGGTGGGTCACTCCCCTTTTCCGGACTTGGGTTTGCTAAGCTTCCAAGAGAATGCTAGAAAACCACATTGACCTGCGGCTTCACTGTCTCCAACCGCACTCAGACCCCGAAAGCCCCCTCAGCAGGCTTTTCCTTGTCCTTGGTCTGTCTCCCCTCTCATTATTCCTTTTCACTCCCTTCACACCCTTTCTCGGCCCTCACGCCCTCTGAGCAGGCGGATCTGCTTCTTACAGCAGTGAGAATAAGGTCATGACCTCCACCTACTCACTGCTGTGTGCCCGCCGCCCTTGGGCTGGCAGTCAGGTGGGCCCCGTAGCATTCCCCCCGGCTGCTCTGGGCTCTTGCTCGTCGCTCTCCTCCTCTCCACATCTTCCGGGCTCTCTGTCCTCCGTCTCCGCATCTGCTGCCCCGAGTGCCGTGCCCGTTGCAGCTGGGGTGCCAGGACTGGGGAGGAGAGAAGGGACAGGGTGGGAGCCTGGGGGGCTCAGCTCTCGGCCGAGAGGACATCTGAGGAAGAATCTGTCTGTGAGGCGGAGGGGGGAGCGCGTGTTCTGTGGGGGCTCGTCAGTCTGGTGGCGTCTGCGGCTTAAGAGCCACAGCTGTTAACGGTCTTTCCCTGCACAGCTGTCGACGAGCAGAACGCCCAGACCCAGGAGCAGGAGGGCTTCGTCCTGGGTCTCTCTCAGTCGGAGGACAAGAAAGACCCGAAGTCAGACGACAGAGTGTGCCACAGCGAGAGCTGCGGGGTGGCCAAGGGCCGGAGCCTCCGCAAAGGTAGCAGCCGGCCCTGGTGGCCCTGAGCGCCGCGGTTGGGCCTTTCGGTTTGGCGGTGCTCAGAAGGCTTGCCGAGGGAAGTTTGGGGATGCTTTCTCACAGATCCTTTGGCCCCTTGGCGGTGTGAGAAGCCGGGGTGCACGGCCCGGTCTGTGCACCGCCTGCGGGGTGGGTTTGTCAGTGAAGGCCAGGTGAGGAGGGGAGCGAGCCTTGCTGCTGAGGACCGTGCTTCCCTCAGAGCCTCCCTGGGCACCTCAGACCCAGTGGGTCTTGGTCTGCTGGTCCTCCCTGCGCAACGTGGCTCCTGACCCGGGCGCAGGGCCTCCTGGCTGCAGCCGGCCAGGGGCCGTGCACATGCGCTCTTCACTGCAGCCAGAGCCGGCCTGGCCTGGCCTTTTGGCCAGGACACCGCCCAGCCCCTGGGCCGTCCGCCTGGGGCCCCTGACCTCCTGGAACGGCCCCTGGCGCAGGCTCCTGGTGTGGAGCAGGGCCCCTCCCTCGTAGCCTGGACAAGCCGCTGGGAGGCGTCTGTTAAGAGGCTGCTCCCCAGTCCTTCCCTGTCAGAACTCGCCCTGCCCGGCATGGCTCCCACAGCTCCTCCGTGTCCGCTCAGCACCCGTGGGCCCGTGTCACCCTCCAGAGGAATCCAGACCCTCGCCTCTCCATACCCTCTCCCTCCTCCTGCTCTCTCTGGGCCTCTTGGTTTGTCTCGCGCCCTCTACCTGGGGCTGACCAGTGGCTTGTAGGCGTCCCTGGCTCCCCTTGGCCCTCGCTCGGTCATTTCTCCAGCGAGCCCCCCAGTGGTCCAGTCTCGTTCTGTGTTGACGGTCCCACAGCTTTCTGCTATGTTTCCCCAGCGTCCAAGTCCCCGTGTGAGAAGCTGATAAGCAAAGGAAGTCTGTCGCTGGGCAGTTCTGCGTCTCTCCCTCCCCAGTCAGGAAACCGGGACGGCCTGCCAGCACTGAACACCAAGATCCTGTTCCCGCGTGAGTGTCCCCCGCAGACGGGCCGGGGCCAACAGCGCCAGCTCTGCGGCCCCTTGTGTCTGTGGGAGCTGTGCAGGTGGGGCGCTAACCTGTGTATCTGCAAGGTCCAGGCTTGTTGCTTTGGCATTGCATCTGTGGGGATCGATGAGATGGGGTCCCCGTCCTCCAAGAGTTTATATGTCCATGGGAAAGAGAGAGGGAATTTCAATGTTGTATCACAGAGGGCGTTACAAAGGGCAGACAGCACCCAAATCACTGCCGGGGGGCCCAGGAAGACATCCTGGAGGAGGTGATACTTGAGCTGGGTGCTGAAGGAGAACAGGAGTTGCCCCACGTGGAAGGGGCAGGCAGGCTGTGATAGGGAGCCCGCAGGATCATCCGTTATCTCTAGCTGATGGCAGGGGGAGCACACCGCTGCCAGGAGGGTGGGGCCAGTCCTCCTTTCCTGGCTGTCGTTTTGCCCAGGATCTGGCCTGTTGCTCCTTCCCTCTGGGAACTGTGATAACACTGTGTCTTCAAGAGGAAGGGATGGTACAAAGGGTTGAACTGCCGTGAGACTCGCTTAACCAGCTCACGTAGATGCCTGAGGCCCCCTCTCCAGGTAGAGCACATGCCACGCCATCTGCTTCTGTAAGTGATTTGGCAATTTCTAAGGAATCGCAACTGAATATAGAGAAAATTCCAGAAGCCCTTGGGAAATGAGGCTGATGGGAAGTATTTGGTTCATCAGTGACAGAGATTTTCCTGGAAGGGGTGGATTAGCAGAACGTTCAAAAGCAGGTCCACCTCTGCCTTGATGTTCATGGTTTCATGTTTTTAAGTTGGTGCAGGGACCTTGAGGCTTCCTCGATGTGTAACGATTTCTCGTGAATTTCGCCTCACAAAGCTGTACGACTGGACTCTTAAGATTAGTTATGCTGAGAGAGCATTTTGGAGAGTTTCTTCCATTTGATGGGAATTGTCTTTATAAAGCCGTTTTTTACATGTCTCATAGGTGTTCGTTTCTACCACCCAGTATATTTATTTTTGTTCTATAAATGTTGGTTGATGATGGTTATTTTTGACCTGAGGTTACTCATTGTCAAAGTTTGGTTATATCCATACGTTATCTTAGAAACGTTTAATTGTAGGAACGTTCTGAAGGACACGCGTCCCTCGGCCTCCGAGACGCAGGTCTATCTGAGCTCTGGCCACCAACCAGCGCCGTCTCTCCTTACAGATGTGCGGCCTGGGATGTCCGGCTCCTTGCCTGGCGGCTCAGTCATCAGTCGCTTGTTAATTAACGCTGATCCCTTTAACTCTGAACCAGAAAACCTGTGAGTATGGGGTGAACGGCATGGGCGTGTCGTTGAAAGAAAGCAGGGGCATATAAAACCAGTGGGGACTTAACTGGAGAAATCGTGGACAGCTGACCAGGTGATCCCTTTCCAGTTGATGTCAGCTGATCAGGAAAGCCTAGACATCACGAAGCCTCAGCTAAAGAGCGTGGTTGGAAGCTTCCGGTGACAGGGCAGGGCCGGTCCCGGCTCGTTCCCACAGCAGCCACGTGCCAGTGGCTTCTCAACTTACCTAACGTCCTGGGGTTTTTGGCAGCTTCAGACACTCCTGCCGGGAGCTATCTTTGCACTTGTTCTTCGTTGTCGCCGCCACATTGTCACTCTCCAGTGTCCTTGGCTGGGCCCCTGTTGGTGCCTTTTCCTGACAACCTTCCTTCTCCCCTCTGGCCCTTCTGCTGCTCTCCCGTATGTCCTCTTCTCCCTGGTCAGTCATGCGGAGTCAGACCCCCGGGCTGGAAGCTCCCCTTGCCCTGCCTGCAGAGACGGCCCTGGGTTCAGACGTGTGGGGAAGCACGTTCTGCTGCTGCTCTGTGCCCCTCCTGCTGCGTCCTCCGCCCACTTTCCAAGGCAGCGAGGGCTTTTACCCGGCAGTTTAGCGGAGTCTGTTCCTGTGTAGATAGAGCCCGTTGTGGAGACAAACGTATAGAAAACCCAGTCTTCTGTGTTTTTCTTTCTGCTGGCTGATAGCAAGTTCTGGGCAGCTAGCGGCAAGCGACAGTGGTTAAAAGTTGCCAACCGTGTGTGTCTGGCGTGGGAGGGGTGAGTAACAGTGGGAAACGTGCAGTTTACAGAAACTCTGGGTTTTGGGAGAGCAGAGCTGGAAGTGTGCAGAGTAGCAGCCTCTACCATGCCACTTTGCCAGAGAGCTGCCTCGGTTCCGACCTCTGGTGCCAGGCGCTGGCCGGCCTGGAAACCTCAGCATCTTTGGCTCTGCCTGACCTGCCGCCTCCCTGTCTGCCCCTCCCTGGGCCCGCCCTCCAGCTCTGTCTGAGGCTCTGGTCCTCACCCTTCCTGATGCTGTTTCCCTCAGTGAGGCCAGAGCCGGAGCCCCCGTGAGCATCGCCCACAGGGGCCTCCTGAGCTAGATGTGTCGTTGTCTCCTTTGTCTGAGGGCGCTGGACCTCCACGTCTGGCAGCTGAGGTCTTGGTCTCTCTTCCGTCTGCACTCTCAGACAGGTCGAGACTCCTCCCTCCGCCTGGGGTAGGGTGGCAGAGCTGTCCCGCATGGGCCCAGGACTTGGGTCACTCCACCTTTGCCTGCGGTGGCCTCTGGGTGCCGGGCCGTCTCCCACTCCCCGGGCAGCTGCTGCCGCTCTTCCCCAAGCCCCGGGCCCGGTGTCTCCGTGCCTTCCCTTGTCCCCGAGCTGGTTTTCTGGGTTGGACCCCTCACTCCTCCCAGGAGTTATATACTGGTCAGCACGTGGTCTCCAGCTTAGAAAACAGTTCTGTCCCAGAGCTTTGCTCTCACTCAGCTGTTAGCACTTGGGTTAGATGTGTTATAAAAACACATCCGTGTGCCTGTCGCTGCTCAGTTCAGGTTGCGAAGCCTGTTAGGTGTGGTAGAGCCAGGGCCCAAGCCTGCAGAGTCTGTGTGGGCACTCCCACGGGGACTGCCAGCAATGTGCTTGCCTGCTTGCTGCTCCTCCCTTCACTGTCTGCCCTGGAGGGACACCAGGGCCCCCCGCGCCCAGATGTGAGCCCCATGGCCATGGTGATGGGGGTCTGGCTCCTGTGGCAGGAGGGCGAGGCCCAGGGGAGCTTTAGCAGCAGCCGGGTGAGCCGCAGGGGCAGGGCTGCCAGGTGGAGGGCCTGAGAAGCTGGAGTGGAGTGAGTCTCCTCAGCAGGACGAGGAGAGGGAAGCGTTGCGGCCCTGGGGCAGGGCTGATGTTTCAGCTTTGGAGACTGGTTTGGGGTCTATGGAGGCTGGGGAACGTTTGGAGAGCCAGAGTTCAAGCATGTGTGCGTGTATGCACGTGTGCACACCAGCTTCATCATCAGGTGTGATGTTGCTGGTGGGAACACAAGACAGTGCAGCCACTCTGGAAAACCATCTGGCAGTTCCTCAAAACCTAGGGTTTCCACGTGGCGCCACAGTTTCCCTCCTAGGCACATCCCCAAGGGAAATGAAGCATATGTCCACACTAGCGCGTGGGTGCCAGCATTCACAACTAGTGCCCCAAAGTGAAGCAGCCCAAGTGTGCATCCCCTGGTGAATGGATCAACAAAATGCAGTGTACCTGTACTGTGGGATAGTATCTGGCGTTGAAAGAGAGGAAGGCCCGAACACGAGTGGGCCTTGCAACTGTCATGCTCAGTGAAAGGAGCCAGACACAGGGCCACACGTTGTGGGTCCCATTGATATGAAAGGTCCAGAATAGGCAGGTCCACAGAGATGGGAAGTAGATTAGTGGTTGCTGGGGGCTGGGGAGGGGCGCCGATAGTTAAAGGCTGTGGGCTTTCTTTTTGGGGTGATGAGATGTTCTAAAGTTGATTGTGGTGGTTACGTGATCTGTGAATACACTAAAAATCACTGACTTGTACCTTTTAAATGGTAAGTTATGAGGTATGGGAATTATATCTCAGTAAAGCTGTTACCTAAACTAAAAAGCTCTCCGTTTTGCCCTCAGGAAGAGATGCTTAGAGGTTGGGAGGCTGTGAAACACAGCTGCTAACAGGGTTGCTTTAACTGCTCTGAACACTCGCTGCAGGGAGTGCTACACGGAGAAGTGTGTCATGAACAATTACTTCGGCATCGGCCTGGACGCCAAGATCTCCCTGGACTTCAACAACAAGCGAGACGAGCACCCGGAGAAGTGCAGGTGGGGACAGCCTCGTGCGCACACGGGCTGCGTGTCCTCGTGGCTCCTTCCAGGGAGCAGGGCAGCTTCTGGAGTCTGGAGTCAGTGGGTTGGAGGGTGTGCAGAGTGCTGAGGCCGAAGATGAACACAGAGCCTGACTGCCTCGTTGTCACAAAGGGAGGTGCTTTCCCAAGATGTGGGCGGAAGCAGGTGGAAGTCTGAGAGCCAGCCTGGAGGAGGGTTCCTCCCCTGGGCTTGACCAGATCGGGGCACATGCAACACCAGAAAACCAGTGGCTGTAGTTGATCGGAACGGCTGGGTTTCTGCTGAAAGGCATGTCTGTGGTGATGCTGTCAAGGGCCGGGAGCCTGAGGTGTGCTGTGTAGTTATTGTGCCGGGTCCATGAGTCCCAGCATCACTGGTGAGCAAGTCTGTGTGTCATCGCCACACCAGCTGTCTCAGACACGGCCCACGAGGCTGCATCCCTCTGCAGGAAGACGGCCACCTGAGAGGCTCCGAGGGCTTTTGCTGGGGGGGTTCACTGTCTTCCCCTGAATTCCCATCTACTCGCCCCTCTGGCCTGGGAGAGTGGAGAGAAGTGGGAAGGACCCCTCTCAGTCGTTCTTCCCGGGCTGAGTAGGAATTCCCTCTCCTCCGTGGAACGCGGGCGGTGGGCAGTTGCTGCCCCGCCCCGCAGTAATCACCTGGAGGAGGAGCCCGTTTGGCTTGGGCGTCCTAGGAGGGCTAGAGGGGAGAAGCTGGGGCGGAGTTTGGGCAGAACAGCCGTCAGTGCGGGAGTCGGAGGTCCCTCCTGGAGAGCCTGCAGACCTGCCCGCGGGCCCCGGCTGGTCTGTGGCCCCTGCACAGTGCCGCTGTCACTTGGGGGGGAACCGCTGGGGCAGCTGGATGGAGGGAGTCACACTCACGCCCGAGGAGTTGCCCAAATTATTTGTGGTTGGAAATTTCTAGGAAAACAAAACCACGCTTAAGAACTCAAAATATCCTTGAGCTCTGGGGCTCCTGAGTGGAAGGAAATGGCTCAGGGGTCCCCAGGGACATCCCTGCTACCCAGCATGTGATGGGGAACCCGAATCATTTTAAAACACCTTTGTTAGTCCAAAAATATCTGAGAAAGGCATTAAAATGCACCTGATTTAGCAGAGTGAAATAGCGAGGAGCAGGTCCACGTGTGGTGCGCCCTGGTATAACCGTCCCTGGGTTTGTAGCCAGAGCTCGGGCAGGGTCTGCTTAGGAGTCTGTTTCCACGGTCTGTCCCGAAGCACATGTCTCGGGCACGTTGGCAGAGAGGCCCTGCCAGAATTCAGGAGCTCAGGAGTGGAGGCTCGCCGCGTCCGGGCCAAGGAGTTCACGCGCTGGGTTCCGGGACGGAAGTGCCCGCCGTGGAGGGTCCTCCTCAGGGCGCAGAGCCTTCTGTGCAGGCGAGGGGAACAGTCAGTCAGGAGACTGCGAGCCCGTCCTTTCCCTGGGAGTCTGGTGCCTGGAGGAATCTCGGAGCGGGCCAACGCCTTCATCCACAGGGCGTGCCACTGTGGGGATTCTGGGGACTGTTTTCTCCTTTGTGCTTTTCTGCATGTTCCACATTTTCTGTGGAAAGCCTAATTTTACAGTCAGAAAAAAACCCTGATTTATAAATTTTTGTGTGGTTCTGTAATGTCAACTTTTTCCCTTTCAGGGTATGCTCACCTTCTTGGGAAATGTCACTCTTTAGGAGAGTTTCCTGTAATAACTGTCTCTTTATGCATGTATCACGTAGATACGTAGCTCGATCATGTCCTTTTTGTCCGGAGGCGTCACAGTGGTGAGGCCCTGCTGGTCTGCCCACCTTGGGGTCAGACGCCGTGCCTACACTTGGCGCAGTGTCCGTCAACTTTGGAGAAAGCCAAGCCCGTGTCAGTCCTTTGCTTTTCGTTTCTAGGAGTCGAACCAAGAACATGATGTGGTATGGGGTCCTCGGAACCAAGGAGCTGCTGCACAGGACCTACAAGAACCTGGAGCAGAAGGTCCTGCTGGAGGTGAGCGGCGGCCGGGGCCCGGCCTGTCTCCCATTGGCCTTCTCCTCCCGGAGCGCGGCACCCAGCCCTCAGTCCCTTGGGGAGCCCGGCCCGGGACGGATCACTGGGGAAGAAGGCCGTGCATCTTGATGCCGAGCTTCCCTTCTCTTCCCTCTGCCTGCGTCTCTCCTGCCCAGTGTGACGGGCGGCCCATCCCACTCCCCAGTCTCCAGGGAATTGCTGTCCTCAACATTCCCAGCTATGCCGGAGGCACCAACTTCTGGGGGGGCACCAAGGAAGATGATGTACGTATGGGTGCTGGGTGGTGTGGGCTCGGTGGGGCAGTAACCAGAGAGGTGGCCCCTTCAAGGAGTGTCCACCACGTCAGGCCCCGACTCTCAGGTGCTCTGTCGTGACGTGGAGGGGTGGGTGGAACACCTCCCTTGTGCTGGCAGTAGGGGTACAGTGGAGAACAAGACAGGTGGGGTCCCCGGCTCACGAGAATGGAGGCTGAGCAGCACAGATGTGGTAAGAGAAATAGGTGTGATGAAGAAGTCGGGCCTGACCCCGACTTGAGGCAGTCTGGGAAGGCTTCTAGGAGGAAGGGATGTCTATGCTGAGACCTGAAGGATGACTTGGGGTTGGCCAGGCCAGGTGGAGGGAGGGGAGAAGTGGGGAGGCTGTTCCAGCCAGAGGGAACAGCGTATGTGAAGGCTTGGCAGCAAGACATGGCATGGTGCATGGCGGGGGCTCGCCGATGGCCGTGTGCAGCGGGCAGAGTGCAGGGCAGTTAGAACTCCTGTGGGGCTGTGTGAGCCTGGGAGGAAGGCTGCAGTTTATTCTAAGAACCGTGGGAGGCATTGATGGGTTTTAACTAGGGACGTGGCTTCCTCTGTACGTAAGAGCTCATGAAGACAGTTAACACTAATTGTCGCTTAATATCTGCTGCGGCCTCTTCTAAGCACCGTGCATGTATTCACTCTCACCTCCTAACCACCTCGTGAAGAACATGCCATGGTCATCCCCGTCTTAAGCTGGGGAGACTGAGGAAGAGGGAAGGGAAGGAACTTCTCAAGGCCACAGGGTTAGTAAGTGGCAGACCCGGGATTTGATGCTGGGCAGCTGGCTTCAGGATCTGCGCCAGGAGCCCCTTCAGTAGTGGATTTGCCCGTAGCTGCTGCTTCCGTTAGGGTGCCCTGCCGCCTCGTGGGGGCCTGGCTGGCTCTAACCACCACAGCGGCCCCGACTGAGAGCACCGCATGTGGGGGCATGTTTTGGGGAACTGGGAGCAGAGGTCAGCCCTGACGGTGGCCCTTCAGACTTTTGCAGCCCCGTCGTTCGATGACAAGATTCTGGAGGTGGTCGCGGTGTTTGGCAGTATGCAGATGGCTGTGTCGCGGGTCATCAAGCTGCAGCATCACCGCATCGCCCAGGTACTGGCCTTGGGCCTGGAGCAGGGAGGGGCCTGGGAGGCGGCCTGGCCCAGACCGTAGTCTTGAGACTGCACCCTCCTGGTGCACAGAGCACAGGAGGATGGGCGCTTTTCCAGGACTGCCCACCGCCCTGCCTCCTGGTCCAGAACCCCTTCTCAGCCACTGTATTTGACAGTTGAAAACCACTTTCCCAAATTGGGGCTGATTTGTCCCCCTTGAGCTCCCTGCCTGGTGTTCTCTGGGTCCCAACTGTGTCCTGACCCCTCCTGCTGCCGTGGGATGAGACGAGACGGGCCCGGCTTGAACTGGCCCTGTGCCTGCAGCTTTTAGAAGCGGCAGCCTGAGTCTGGGAACAGAGTCCGAGCCTGTGTGACCAGGGGAGAAAGTGTGGCGTCGCCCAGCTGCTCTAAGGCCCAGCTCGGGAGGGGAGACAGGACCAGGGGTCCTCTCTTCCTGGGGAGAAGGGTTTGTCTGTGGGTTGAGGTGGGTGGTGTTCTCGTGCACAAAGACTCTGGGGCTGATACGCCCAGCTGACCGAGCCCCAGGCTGTGGTGGTCCAGCCCTTGCTGTACCAGTCGGTCCTGGGAGGCTGCCTACATGTCAGTTTTAACTCTTAGGCAGTACTGTCATCAAACAGAGGGATGGGCATCGTTAGCCACTCAGTGGGTGCTTGCTCTGTGCTGAGAGGGTGTGCACGCGCCCAGGGACCTGGCGGCTCTTGCTTGTCATGAGTCCCCACACCGGGCCTGTGCAGCCTCTGAGTTCTCACTGTGATCACAGATGCAGTGCTGGGTGAGGGACGGGGCCAGATGGGACAGACCCTTGGGTTCCCTGAGCTATGCCCGGACAGGGATGCTGTGACCACAGAGAGGCGGCTGTGGGCGCGGCGTCCCCTGAGGCCTGCCGGCGTATGCGGGGGTGCGCAGGACAGGAAGGCCCCTTTCTTAAGGCTCCTTGCTTCGGCTCGGTGCATGAGTAACAGCTGTGATTTTGCTCAGTGCCGCACGGTGAAGATCTCCATCCTGGGGGATGAGGGCGTCCCTGTGCAGGTGGACGGAGAGGCCTGGATCCAGCCCCCGGGGTACATTCGGATCATCCACAAGAACCGGGCACAGACGCTCACCAGAGACAGGGTGAGGAGGGCTGCTGGCGGGGGCCCCAACCGCAGGGTCCCAGTGCTCGCCTGCTGGCACACCGTGCCCCTTTCGCAAGAAGAGCTGGGGTTTTTAATGTGTTGTTCTAGGAATTTGATTTTTTAGATGGAAAGATTAAGTGAACAGGGCTGCTATTTCCGAGACCGTTCCTCCTCCCCCAGCGTAAAGGAGAACTCTGCCTCCCTTTGTAGATGTTACCCCGCAGCGGCCCAGTAGTGTTTGCTGTTGGCAGGTGCCTGCTCCCCTCTCGAGGGCGCAGGCAACAATGTAATGCTCGCTTCCTGTGCCCTAGGCGTTTGAGAACACCCTGAAGTCCTGGGAAGACAAGCAGAAGTGTGAACTGCCTCGCGCTCCGTCTTTCTCTCTGCACCCGGAGATCCTGTCTGAGGAAGAGGCCACCCAGATGGACCAGTTTGGGCAGGCAGCGGGAGCGCTGATCCACAGGTGGGCTCTCCTTCCCGTGTGCTCCGCCTCCTCCCCCCAGGGCACCTGGGCCCCCGCTGGGACACAGGCGCGAGTCCCTCCATCTCCTTGGCTGGCCTGCCTCCCTCATGAGGCCCAGCCAGGCCTCCTGCCTGCCCTCAGCTGTGGTTTGTTTCAGAGCCAGCTCGTAGGTGTTAAAACGTGCCTGGATTCCTAGGAAGGACAGTCCCCTTACTGCCGCCTTTACTTTATTCTAGAGAGCAGATTTGTTGTTAAAAAATGAACCTTGTGGTTATTTAAAAAAAAAAGAGAGAGAACAGCCAAAGGTGTTTCCCTCTCTACTCGACCTTCAAGAAGCGGCTCCTGGAGCCACTGTGACCCTTCCCACATGGAGGTCACCGCTCTGCCGCTGTCCTTTCTCCCCACCACCTTGTGTGTCCACTGCCATCAGGCCTCACTCTGGCGAGATCGTTTCAGCCTGCTGAGCCTGCCCTCTCCGTGGCCACATCGCGACCCTCCTCATCTGCCATCCGCCTCTCTCTCATCTGCGCCCACCCGCTGCCTCAGCTCTCCCGCCCCGAGGCCGCTCGCCACCTGTGCACCTTGACCACCCCTCCGCTTCTTCCTTGCTCTCTCCTCTGCTCTTGCGGGAGCACCGTGGGCTCTGCGTGCCCTTCCATGCCATCCTTCTCACACCCTCTCCCCACCCATCAGGCTCTTGGGCATTAGGTCAGTAGCTGCCCGGGTGCCCTGTAGGCATTTATGCTCAGTGTCTCCATTCTGGCCCCACGTCCTTCTGTGAGCATGTCCTGTGCACTGTGTTCTGAGTCAGGTAGTTGGCACCACCTCTGCTCCACGCCCAGGCCACCAACCAGCTCCTCCCCCATAACCCAGTCAGTAACCTGGCTGGAGGACGTTATTTCTCAACTATGTATCCAATTCCTTGCTGTGCAACAGGCTTCTCGCTGCTTCCTGTCTCTACTGTTGTCTGTCCACTCAAAGCCTGTGGCAGCCCTATGGCCTGCTGGAAGGTTGGACTGGCCATGTCGTTGTCTATTTAAAGTCCGTCTGTGGCTCCCTGTGTCCCCAGGGTCAGGACAAGCCCACTTCCCTGACTCTCGGCTCTCGCTGTGGTCCACCCTGTCCCCGCCTGGTATTTGCGAGGGTCCCTCAGGACAAGGGGCTGCTGCCTGGGGCTGTGTCCCGGGGTCTGAGCTGCTTGTTAAACCAGGATTGTCCCCCCAGAGGAGGGTCCTGCCATCCCCACTTACAGAGCTTGGCAGGCACAGTTCCCTCCAAGGTGGTGTCTCCACGCAGCGGGCCTGCAAACTGCTGCTTCCCAGCTGCTGTCTGACGAGTTGTCAGTCTCATTTTGGGCTTCTTCCTCTCTGGTCGAGTTTCTAGAAAAACTTGGATTTGGACATCACATTTCCCACGTCAGTCCTCTGCTGTCTGCCGTCGGTCACGGCGTTGTCGGCAAGGTCCCCGTGGCCGAGCCACGGTCCGCGTCAGCCCTCGGCGCTGAGCCTAGGTGTGTGTTCAGGCGAGGTGACGACACAAGCCGCCCCTTCGTGGTCTGAAAGTGCCATGTCCCTCTCTCTAGCATCCGGGAGATTGCGCAGTCCCATCAAGACATGGAGCAGGAGCTCGCCCACGCCGTCAACGCCAGCTCCAAGTCCATGGACCGAGTGTACGGCAAGCCCAGAACCATGGAGGTGCTGCGCTTCTCAGGTCTTGCTCCTCTGCACCCGCGGAGCCCTCGGACCTGCTACATGCGTATCTGTTCTGGTTCCTCCCAGGGGCTGAACTGCAGCTTCGTCCTGGAAATGGTCAGTAACATCAAAGCCCTGCGCAGCGAGACGGAGCTGCTGCTGGCCGGGAAGATGGCCCTGGTGAGCGGAGGGGCCCAGCCCTCGCTGGTGTGAGGTGGCCGCGGTCACACGGAGGGTGGCACGTCTTAGTCCAGAATTCTAGGCGCAGGGTTGGAAGGGACCTCAGAGGCTGTCTGAGCTGACCAGTGGTTGGCACTCAAACCCTTCTGGCCACATCTCAACCACGCCCTCTCCGGCAGGTCAGACCCCTATGTCAGGAGCGCCTTTGTCCTTGTAGACAGACTCCTGCCTTAGAAGTCCGCAGGGTGGAACTGTGCACCGTTGGCAGGCGGGCGGGCCCTTCCCAGCCCCGCAGAGCTTCTTGCCCTGCCTCACTCGGCCAGCCCCGGGAAAGCAGGACCGTGGGGTCTTACTGAATCGCGGAAGCTAGAACAGGGAGACCCGAGAGATGGCCTGGCCAGCCTTCTTGGTTTAAAAAATGAGGACAAGGAAGGCCAGGGAGGCGAAGTGACATGCTAAAGATCACAGGCTAGAGGATAGTCCCCAAAGTCTAGTTTCCATACCCTCTGCTCTCGTTCCAAAATACCACGCTGTCCTGAGATGTCACAGCTGCCGCGTCAGTGTGTCCTGCACTCTGGTGCCGGCAGACTGCTCCTGTCCCCGTTTCTGACAGAGGGGTCCCCAGGTAAACTAAGGCAGGTGGAGTATGAGCCCTGCTAGTGTTGTTTTCAGACAAGCTTGTTTGCTTCGTTATTTATGAAAGGAGAGTTCAGTTCTCCCGCTCGACACTACTTAGAAGGGGAGCGTCTGCATTTGGCCCCTCAGCCGGTGCTCTGTGACTCGGTGAGACGAGCGCAGCCCCCGGGGCGGACCGCAGCTTGCATGGGCGTGGCTGTGGCCCCGGGCCTCCATGCTCGTAACCAGCTGCGGCTCTCTTCCCTCCCTGCCGGAGCAGCAGCTGGACCCCCCTCAGAAGGAGCGGCTCGGGGCTGCGCTCGCGGAGATGGACCAGCAGCTCAGGAAGCTGGCGGACACGCCCTGGCTGTGCCAGCCCGTCGAGCCCGGTGACGAAGAGGTACGTGGGTCCCAGGGCTTCCGCTCGGGCACCCTGGCACAGTGGCTCTTCCTGCAGCACCTGCAGTCAGTGTGGTCTGTGCAGCTTTGGGGTTGTGATGGTGACAGTCATGCAGCCCCTGATATGACTTCTCGAGACTTCTCTACTACAACGCCTTCAAGGCATGGAGACAGACCTCGGCAGGTAGGAAGGAGCCGGGAGCTGGTGTTGAGAACCACCCTTGATGACACGGGCGCATGTTGCCCTTGCAAACAGAACTGTGAGGCCGAACAGGAAGTGGGTAGAAAGAAGGCTGAGCCCAGCCGCACTGTCTGCCCCCAGTGGAGACACATCGCTCGGATGGACGGCAGCTTCTTGGGAGTTTGTTGTCGACAGGGACAGAATTGGTGTGTGCCACTCACAGTCCCACTTTCCTTTTACACGCACTTAGAGACCCCAGCTTGCCACAGATCCTGTAGCTGAGACAGACGGGTGGGCGTATTGCACCTGGGGCTAGAGCAGGCGGGAGAGCCCAGGAGCCGTGCTGGTCGGATGTCAGTTTTCATGGGCAGCATGTGGACAAAGCACACCCCAGCCCACCTACCTCTCAGGGAGGGAGCGGAGCCCGCCCAGGGCAGCACAGCCTCGCAAGGTGGATCTTTGTCTGCTGGACACGGACGGTGGGCGCCCGCGCGCGCGCTCCATGTGAGGACTGTGGGCAGAGGGGGCGGAGCAGGCCGGCGTCCTCTCTCTGGACACACAGGCCCTGCCGACAGGTGCAGGCGCTGCCTGGACACTGACTCAGGCCTCCAGCTGAGCAGCAAAACTCAGCAGCTTAGAAAGGAGGACACTGGTTTGAAAAGCCAGGCCAACCAATCAAAATTGGTTAAATAATTATAACTATGATAAAAAATTTGCTTTAAAAGAAAATTATTAAAATAACAATATATAAACTATTCTACAGATTTAACAATAACATAGCTGTATAATTCCAGATTAAATTATCAAAGAGGACAGTGAGGTGGGGAGGCTGGAAAGAGGACATGCATAGAAGAGTGAAAGCACATTAAATTCCCCCTCTTAAGGTGGAAGAAGGTTAAAAAAGACCTTGACTTTGACAATTAGAGAAATGTACAGTCAGTGATGTTTTTAAAAACGTCAAGGTAGTTTCTAGTAGAATTGAAAAGATTTATGTCTTTCCAAATCACTACAGAAGACAAAAAATGTAATCTATATTGTAACAGAAAATGAGAAATCAGTAAAGATGTGGTTAACAGTATGAAAATAAAATAGAAAAGGCTGTAGCTTTCCCTTGGAAAGCAGATTATTCTCAAATTGTGTTAAAAAAGAAATCTAACCATATCCTCACCACAAGACTCAGTTTTCTCTCCCGTACCCCCAATAAAAACTTAGGAACCAGAGAGATTAAAAGCAAAACAATTTCAAGAAAACACATTAAAAACGCCAGAGAAACAATACTAATATAAAAATATTAGTGTAAAAAACAGCTAAGGCAATAAATGATAAAAAGAGGATCACTTTATGTTGGTAAAGGATAATTTATTATTATACAAAGTCTTAAGATGAGTATAACAGTCTAAGTAACATATCATCTAAATGAGTTGTTTAAAAATCTGTTTATTTTCCGATGTATGAGATTTTTTTCTAAGTATGTTCTTGTCATTGATTTTTAGCTGAATTTCACTGTGTTCAGAGGGGGTGGTTTATATGTTACTGGTCCTTTGAAATTTGTTGAGACTTTATGGCCCAGCAGGTGGTTAATTTTTATAAATGTACCTCGTATGCAGTTGTGTTATTTACATCGTTAAGTCTTTACTGGGTTTTTTTTTTTTTTTAAGATTTTATTTTTCCTTTTTCTCCCAAAGCCCCCCGGTGCACAGTTGTGTATTTTTAGTTGTGGGTCCTTCTAGTTGTGGCATGTGGGACGCCACCTCAGCATGGCCTGATGAGCAGTGCCATGTCCACGCCCAGGATCTGAGCCAGCGAAATCCTGGGCCTCCGAAGCAGAGTGCACGAACTTAAGCACTTGGCCACACGGCCGGCCCCCTGGGGTTTTTTGGGTTTTTTTTTAAAGTCTTCTTGATCTATCAATTACTCTTGAACTCTCTGACCGTGAAAATGCAGATGTCTCAATTTATCTTTGTGGTTTTGCACATTTTTGCTTTATGTATTTTGAGGCTATGTTATTGGGTGAATATAGGTTTTATCATTATGTAAAGACCTTTAGTAATTCTTTTTATTTTCAAGTCTACTTGTTTGGTATATTCTTTTTGATACTTTTACTTTTCAAGCTTTATTTGGAGTGTCTATCTTATAAATAGCATGTTGCTAAATTTGGGGGTTTCTATCCAGTCTGGTACTCTGTTTTAATTGGAGAGTTCAGTCTATTTACATTTGTTGTGATTACTGATATATTTAGATGTATTGTTACCATATTTTATGCTTTCCATTTTCCCCACTTTTTCTGTTTCTTTTAATTTCTCCTTTTTGATTGATGAGTCGTTCCTTCCTCCCACACAATTCTGTTTGTCTCCTCCACTAGTTTGGAAATACGTACTGTTTATTCTTTTAGTGATTACCCCCAAAATTTTAATTTGAATTTACATGCATAAAATATATAAAGCAAAAACTCCTTGAAACGAGAGTGACAGAAACCAGACTGCAGTGTGAGCCATCACTCTCAGTCCATGATTAATGATCGTAAAACAAACCGTATCACAGAGTCTGAACGGAAGAAAGTTGAAAGAATATGTATATACGGAAATGTGTCACGATTCTCTACGGAGAGAAGTGTGTGCTCTGTAGAGAGAATGTGCTTTCTCTTCTGTTGCCTGCAGGACGTTTCAAAGTCTGAGCCTATTCTAGACCAGCACTAATGACAGAGGAAAACCGATAGTACAGAAATTGAGAGGAAGAGTTTAGGGTCTTTTAAGCAATTGATAGGAAATTTTATTTCTGTTGAAAATGATGAAAAATCGAGGTTTGTATTTTGTATGTTCCTTTTGGTCTCATTTTCCTAGTAATTTATTTTATTTTATTCCTTAAAGTCCCAGTCTGCTATGGACTGGAGATCTTGCGAGCTGGCTCTTTTCCAGGGGTAGTTTGGGGACCACAGTGCTAGGCCACCAGGAAGCCTCAGGGACTAACTCGGAGCAGCTGGTCCCAGGTGTCAGCTGCGGCCCCTGCGAGCCAGGGCCCCGCCCCGCCCCCGCCCGCCCGCGCTGGCAGCTCCTCCACGCAGATTCCCTCTCATACAGGGGGCTGAGAGTTTCTTCAGTTCACAGGCAGCTGCAGCAGCTGCAGTGGGCACTCAAGGCCTGGTGCGTGGCTGCACGTCACCAAGCAACCCCACTTGTTTGGGACTTTCAGGTCTTAGTACTAAAAGCTTATGTCACAGGATTGTGGCTGCAACACTTTAAGCCTAAAAATGTTTTCAAAAGAAATATCACCAAATGCCGTACAGGTGCCAAGGAAACAAATACAGACCACCCCAAGTCCTCCTGGATGTCTGACCTGCTGCCCCCTCTAAGCCATGCGCAGAGTGGCCTGGTTTCTGGAGTTGCTGGGGTGGCCTGGGGAGACGGTGGAGGTGTTAGTTCTTGCAGCAGCAGGTGGGAAATTGAGCAGAGGGCACCCGAGGGTGGGTTTAGTTACAGGACCAGAAGTCCTCTGCAGCCTCGGCCAAGCAGGGAGGGCCGGGGCAGTGTGACTGCAGACCTTTGTCTGATGGAGCCTGAGGCCAGAAACTGCAGCCGGCTGTCCTGGGAGTGCAGGGAGAGCCACACGTGCTCCTGGGCCCAGGGCTCCTGGCTTCTCCAGCCTCCTCTGCGGGCTGCCTTCCAGCTCGGCGCTCCCCCCTCTGGGGTCCTGGCCCAGCCTCACCCTGGCAAGGGAAGAGACCGGGGTGAAGTACACGGGGAGAAAGGAACCTGGGAGGCAATGGTGCCCGTTTCTGCCAGCATAAAAATAGGAAAATCGTTTATTCGAAAGCCAAAAAAAGTGCTAAGTCTGTATCTTTGAAAGAAAGAAAAATAAACTACCCTTTGGCAAATCTAATCAAGGAAAAAATGAGCAAAATGAAGTGATAAAGGAAACATAATAAGAAACTAAATCATTATATTCAAAGAAATGCTAGCAAATCAATAGTTTCATCAAAATTTAAAAAATTTTCAGGAAAAATTTAAATTACACAGATTGATGTCCGAGGATATTTTAAAAAGAATAGCCACAGGACAACTTGAAAAAATAATCTAAATATTACCTCCAAAGGAAAAATGTCAAGGAATATGTAATTTCTACATATAAGAAGTAGTATCAGAACTAGAAAAAGAGGGACATTGTTCCAGTTCATTTTTTTAATTGTAAAAAACATAAAGTTTACCATCTTTGTCATTTTAAGTGTACAGTTCAAGTACTGTTAAGTGTATTCACATTATTGTGAAACAAATCTCCAGAAGATTCAAACAGTTCATTTTTTTAAAGGTAGCACATCTGATTCCCAAATTCAGTATTATCAGTGGATCCACAAAAATAATTTCCTTAAATCAAATAGTTGATGAAAGACATTCTTATAAAAGAATTCCAGCTACGGGCCGGCCCAGTGGCATCGCGGTTAAGTTTGCACATTCCCCTTTGGCGGCCCAGGGTTCCCATGTTCGGATCACAGGTGTGGACCTACACTGCTTGTCAAGCCACGCTGTCGTGGCATCCCATATACAAAATAGAGGAAGGTTGGGACAGGCGTTAGCTCAGCGACAATCTTCCTCAAGCCAAAAGAGGAGGATTGGCAGTGTTTGTAAGCTCAGGGCCAGTCTGCCTCACAAAAAAAAAGAATTCCAGCTAGAAAGTACAGAAAGATTAAAAGGCCATTTTGCATCCCCTGGGGAAACATGGGATTTAGGTAGCTCATCAATGGATGGGGGCACCTGTGGGGGAGTAGGGGTCTGATTCACTGAGAGGACAGTGCCACTGTGACATCCTCATGGACTCAGCTGGCCAGCTCCTTGGCAGGTCCACATGGGGAGGGCGGGGGGCGTGTGGTCAGAGCCAGAACGGGAGCTGTCTCAGGACAGATGGCTGGTTCTCTCCTGGTGAATGAAGCGGGGAGGGACCGAGAGCCACAAGAGCCGAGTGCCACTTGAGGACCTCGTTAGGGTCCTGATTCACACAAGCCAACTATGAGAAGACCCTTTGAAACAGTTGGGGAGATCGGATACAAATGAAGTCATTAGGTCCGATGGCGGGGTCAGGTGGGGTCCCAGGGCTGTGGTTACATTTTAAAGAGTTTCGGGTTGCGTACTGAAGTAGTCATGGGTGGAGCAATTCGATGTCTGAAGTTTGCTTTCAAAGGGCAGGGGAGACGGAGGAGGATGGCGTGTCAATAGCCTCCGTCTAGTCTCCCCGTCCCGGGGATGGATGAATGCCCGCGGTAGAGGTCAGATGGATCTAACACCGAGTACGCATTGGAAAGAGGAAGGCGACACATCAGGCCGGGGCTTTGGTTCAGTTACGTCGGAGCGCGTCTCCCTGGGCCCCCCGCCCCCGGCGGGCACCCGGGAGCTAAAGGGCCTTCATGGAGCAGCCGTCGGAGTTGATGATTTCGCCAGGTGTTCTCATTTGTGAGAACAGGTGTCCGCAGTCACCGGGGGCAGGACGTCACTGTAAGAAGTGTCCTCCCTAGTATGAAACGTAGAGACGATGCCGCGCCCTTGGTAGGAGGTCGTGAGGCTCCCCGCGTGAGGCTCGGCTCTTCCGAACCCTCGGTTTGCTGCAGTCAGTGCAAGTCCCTGTGGGGTGGTTTTCAGTGGGACCAGATGTCCCTGGTGGATTGAAAGCATCTCGTAAGCTGTGAAGTGTGACCGTGCAGGGGTCAGGGTGGGGGCGGAGTCGACCGCACCCTTGCCATGTAGGGAAGGGGGCTGTGTTTGTGAACGCACTGTACAATCTCGGGATGTGTGCTTGTGTCGCAGGAGAGAAGGTGCACAGGCCGGCCGGAAGGGCCTCCTTGGCTCTGCGGCTCCCGGGCTGGGCCCGTCCCTGCCACCCACCCTCCAGGATTCCGCCTCGGGGGGTAGATGCGAGGAGAGAGGCAGAGCCGGGCAAAGCTTGGCCTAGAAAGGGGCTCGGAGTCCCGGCAGTGGGAGAAGATTTAGTGATCGCCACGGCATGGACTGATGTTCACGTCACCTTCACGAGGTGGCTTAGTCACATGAGAAACACACGTTATAACACGAAAAAGCAGTGTGAAAATAGACACTGTGATCACGGAAACCACTTTTAAAGGCCTTAAAAATGAACAGTAAACACAGACTGGAAATCAAGGGAAAAGGCAAGAATGAAGGAGTCTGGGGACAAGGCATCTTTGCCGCCTCTGAGGTGGGACTGAGGCCTCGGTGCGTCCGGGTCTGACCCCTGTGTTTCTTGCTTTCCCTGCAGAACGTGATGCTGGATCTTTCCAAACGCAGCCGCAGTGGGAAGTTCCGCCTCGTGACCAAGTTTAAGAAGGAGAAAAACAGCAGGAACAGAGAAGCGCGTAGCCTCCTGGGAGCCCCGGGTACCCTCCTCTGTCCTTCTGCCGGCTGCCCGCCGTGGGGCCCGGCCCCGCTGTCTCTCCTGTGCTCCTGGGCCCCGGCCTGGTCCCCACAGCCCTGTTGGCCTGCACCAAGCCGTCCGTCTGTGGCCCCAGGGCTGCCCCCTTGCATTCCTGCCTGGCATTGGCTCCTGGCCGTGGTCACTCCCTGCCCTCAACTTACTGCCCGTGCAGACTCTGGGTGACAGCCTGCCCGAGATTGGGGGTGCGAGATGGGGAGGAGGACAGCAGAGGTGACAGGACAGACACAGAGCTCACGCGCTGGGCCTGCTTCCTCTGAGGGGCTGCTGGTCCCCATTAATCGATCCACTGATTCAGGCGCCCCGCCCCCCCGCCCCCGTGGGCAAGCGGGGCCCCATGATTGTGGCCGGTGAAATCAATAGGAAATGGTATTAAAGGACATTTTTCTTTTGGGTCAATAAATTGGGGCTTCAGATCTCCATCCCAAGTGTTGGTCCTGAGCACAGCTGTCCCCAGCACTCTCGCTGCTGGGCGGCCCCACACCTCGATCTGGGGCTGACGTTTGCTGCCAGGACGGGGAGCTCCCTTTGATTTTTCTTCTTTGCATGTTTGTCCAGAAATTGGGTTTCTTTTAATGATGGTGGCTCTGATTACATGAAATCTCTGTGTGTCTCCCTTCCTGCTCTGGGCCGGAAGTGAAATGAACCCCCAGAAGGTAGAGGGAAGGCTGGCATCAGCTGCCCAGTCACGTGGATGTTTCCCTCGTGTTTGGTGGTGTCTGGTCCCTCCTAGGACACGGGGGAAATGTCCCGAAGGCTCATGGCCAACCCGGCAGGAACAGACACCAGCTCCTCCTGCAGCTCACGCCCGTTGAGAGCGGGTGGCTCCCCTGCCTCTTTCTGCACTGCTTGGGGCCGCGTTGGTGGCTTCGGGGATGGGTGCCTGCTTCTGGGTGTCTCCTGCTGGCTGCTGGCACGTCTGGGTGCCGGCTGCCGCCTGCCGGTGCAGGGCTCTGGGCACTCACTGCACTCGTGCTTTTCCGTCTCTGACAGTTCACCTCTGGGGGACAGAGGAGGTTGCTGCCTGGCTGGAGCACCTCAGTCTCTGTGAGTATAAGGACATCTTCACGCGGCATGACATCCGGGGCTCTGAGCTCCTGCACCTGGAGCGGAGGGACCTCAAGGTACTTCCATAGCGCCTCCCAGGGACCCGCTCCTGGGCGGCCCCGCGGCTCTCTTCTCTGTGCCCTCTGCCCTGGCCATGTCCCAGCATCAGGATTCTCTTCACGGTTCTCGGGTCTTTGTGCATGACTCGGGGTGACAGGCGATGTGGCCGAGAGGCCGCCCCCACCACAGGCGGACGGAAGGGGAGAGCTTGCTCTCCTTGGCCCGGGTGAACAGTGAGTTCTTTCCACACTGAGACCCTGTTGGGGACACAGCCCTGTGCTCATGGGTCAGCTGAGGGGCCCTGTGTGGTGACACCTTCTGGGTGAGGGGCCCAGCCCTGGGGCTCCCTCTGTGGTGACATGTCCATCAGAGTCGAGAGGCCTGTGTGGCTGCGAGTGCTGGGCTCCTCTGGGCCGTATCCCCACTGTCTCGCCGCTGCGTGGGCCTCGGCCTGCACCTCACTCCGTCCTGGGGAGCTGCGGCGTCTGGCCAGTACTGGGGGCTTCGCTCAGGGTAGTGTCCTGAGAGGGCGGAAGGCCCCGAGGGCGTCCCGGACAGTGGCACTCCCAGGTCACTTCATCCACTGCTGCCAGACCTGTGCTTGTCTCCATCTTGTTCTGTGTCCCTTGACGTCAGTGTTGGCTCCCTGGGGGGATGTGGCGGGTATCTGCGTGATTGTCACCTCTGTCCTTCCCGTCGTGTCACCGTCCTCATCGTTTTCACCCTCATTTGTTCAGAGTCAAGTGGCGTCTGCCGTGGTGCGCTGGGCCTGGGCTCTTCCTGGCGTCAGGGTGGCTGTCCTCTCTTTGCAGGACCTCGGCGTGACCAAGGTGGGCCACATGAAGAGGATCCTTTGTGGCATCAAGGAGCTGAGCCGCAGCACCCCTGCCACCGAGGCCTAGCCTTGGCCCTCTCAGCCTGTGTGCTCTGCTCCTCCCGCGACTGAGGCCGGGCACAGCGCGTGTCCCTTCTCATGGTGCTACTCCCCTTGCTGGCGACAGGACACCTCTCAGACACCAACATAGCTACCTGTGAAACCACGCCTTTCCACCGGCCTCGCGTGGGCACATGCACCACCACTGCTCGGGGCAGGCCCTGGGCCCTGGGCCCTGGGCCCCAGGCCGTCGGCTGAGATGGCCTGTCAGGGCCGCACACCGTTGTCCTGTGGGTTCCTCTCCGCGTGCCCTTTAGTGGCGCATCATGTGGCAGCATCTCCCAAGCCTTCAAACGCCGGCCCAGCCACGGCATCCCACTCTGGAAAGTTCTGTGCCTGCCAGCCGCTCTGGGGTCTCCATGGCAGCCCCACAAGGCCGCCCTCTGCTGATGTCCCTGTTGAGTCATAGGGTGTTTGAGGAGGTCCTGCCTGGCCTGGGCTGCAGGGACACGGATGCGTTTCCAGGCCTGCGTTTTAATTGACCTGAAGCGAGAACTCCCTCCTCAAGCTGGGTCGCTGGGTGGTTATGCGCTGGGCCGCGAGCCCCCGTGTGTTGCCGGCCCCTTGTCCTGGTTCATGCTGCCACCGCTACCTGAGCTGCAGGCATGGGGACGCTGTCCCCTCTGTCCCCAGGATGCCATAGCCCCTGGAGTCCTGCAGGGGCCGGGAGTGGATGGGGGATGCGTGCGTCATTCAGGAAGCTTCCCGGGCTGAGCAGTCCTGGGGGTTGTCCAGAGAGTCTCCGAGCCCGTGGTGGCTCCTCACCCCGTGCCGCCAGGCCCGTGTCCCCAGGGGGTGCCCTGGCCTCGCTGCCTCTGCCTTTCCCTTCCCCCTTCTGACGCAGCCGCACCTGCAGGGCTCCCCATCCTGGAACCTGGCAAGGGGCCCACAGCCCGGCCCAACCCGACCCGCAGGGAGGTGGGTGGCAGGGAGGCGGGTGGCAGGCAGGGTCGGGGCCCCGTGGCTGGCCTCACCCTGTCGTCTGAGGGGCGCTGCAACCTCGCTGCCTCTGCCTGCCCCCGGCTCTGCGGACCCTGCTGCTGGTGCCCCGATGGGGTGCCCGGCTGGCCCGGCCTCTGGATCAGTGGTCCTGTGGGGGCCACGGCTGCCTGTGCCCGTGAGTGGAGGGGCAGGGGTGGGGGTGGGAGTCCCGCTCTGCAGGTGCCCTCAGCTGCCCTTGGAGGTGTGCCTGGGGCAGCTATGTGTCCCTCCCCACCGCGTTGTCCTCTCTCCCACCACAGCCAGTTTAGATGGAGGCAGGTGGGGAGAGCATCCTGCCACCAAGGTCCCCCGAATACAAAACAGAACAGGCTGACAGGTGGTCACGAGAGCCACGCCCGCAAGACCCCAATGGCTCTGCCCTGTGGCCTCAGGCGGGGCGCCCTAGGGTTCGGAGGTCCTCCGGGCGGGCCCTGGACGGGCTGGGACTCTGGTGAGGAGTGTGCAGAGGGGAGTAGTGGGCCTCCCGGGGCCATGTGGCACCAGGACCACCCCATGCCCTCCACGCCCTCCCCTTGGGAAAGCCTTGGGTTTGGGTCCAGCGTGGAGTTTAAATGACTGTGTTGTCACTGAGTAAAGCAACACTGTTTACGTAAAAACCACTTTTGTCATCCTAGTCAGTCGGTCAGAGGTGAAGGGGATGGCGTGATGCTGTGTGACTCCGTCGGGGAGGGCCGGCCCCTCGCTCAGTGTCTGTTGCTGCCCGGCCGGTTGTCCCCCTGGGTCCCGGGGCTCTCGGTCCCGTCAGTGTAGAGGGAGGAAGGCAGAGTCTTGGACACGAGGTTTTGTGCCCTCGGGTGGGGCTTCCCTCCTATTTATGATCCTAATTTATATGGCGCCCACCGTGGGGCGGACGCCTCCCGCATTGCTGTGTACATACACACCTGGGTTGTAAATACGTCGTTCTGTGTATAAATAAAACGAGCCTGTTTTTGACCTTGCATTCTCGATGGCCTTGTCGTCTCTCTTTGTGCCTGGACGGAAAACATCGGTTGCCAAAGTCTTTGCAAACTGGATTCAGAATTACGTTTTTCAGCTGCTCTAAAAGTAAGTTGAGCTGGTGGCGGCTGAAGGGCAGGACGGACGCCACTGTTTTCCAGGGCGTGGGCTCTGGGGTCTGGGATTAAAGCCTCGGCAGGGAGGCGGGGCCCCGGGCAGAGCCACGGTGGCCTCGGCCTGGCCCACTCAGCAAGGGCGGGTCATTTTAGCTAACATTCTCACCCCCCTAAATCTTTTATATAAAACTGCAAACCGGAAGCTCTCCTGCCTCTGTAGTCACAGTGCCTTTATCCCAAGGGAGCTGCCTCTCCAAGCTCAAGGTCACTTTCAATGCCATCCCCCAGTTCTCGGGTAAGGGATGGGCCCTGGCATCACGGAAGTAAAAATCAGGCTGACCAGGGCACAAAAGGGCTGCATGGGCTTTGGACATTGGTTGCCTCCAACCAGCAGCCAGCAGCTCTTTATTCCTCCTTCCTTGCTTAGCAGAGCCCCAGTTTTTTGGGTTTTTTTGTTTTTTAACGATTTTATTTTTCCTTTTTCTCCCAAAGCCCCCCAGTACAAAGTTATATATTTTTAGTTATGGGTCCTTCTAGTTGTGGCATGTGGGATGCCGCCTCAGCGTGGCTTGATGAACGGTGTCATGTCTGCGCCCAGGATTCGAACCAGTGAAACCCTGGGCCGCAGAAGCAGAGCGTGCGAACTTAACCACTTGGCCACGGGGCGGGGCTGAGAGCCCCAGTTTTGTCCTGGTGTACATCCTCCTCCCATGTGGCCATCCAGGATCAGGCCTCGTTGCAAGATGGCCACCACCATTCCAGGCATCACATCCAAACAGGACCATCTCCAGGCTAAGGTGTGTGTGAGCAGGTGGTTGTCTCTTCTGTGTCTCTTTTAAGATAAAAGGAACCTTTTCAGAAGCCTTGGGTTCTGCTGACCTCCCCTAATGTCTCATTGTCTAGAACCGGGTCACACACCCATGACTAAACCAGTCAGTGCAAGGGGAACAGGGCCATGCCAACGATGACCGATCGCGATGCTGATGGCTAACCCGTTTCTAACGTTTATGCCAGGCGCTGGCCTCTGTGCTTCACACACATTAATTCATCTGTTCCTCTCACAATCTGACGAGGTGGGTATTGACGTTTCACAGAGGAAACGGGCTCAGAGAGGTTCACAACTTTTCCCATGTCCCACACCCAGCACGTGCAGAGATGGGAGTCATGGGGCAGCTGGGCACTGGAGACCATACCTCGAGGGCTGTCCTGTGTCCCGGGCCTGACACCAAGCTCAGCCCCATGACAGGTGAGGAAACGGCCCAAGTCACACGCAGGCATCCTGGCCCAGAAGCTGGAGTACCTGGGGACAGAGCAGGAGTGGGTCTGGGAGGGGCGGGGCCAGCTGCTGGCCTCTGTCCTGCCCCATGGTGTCGTCAGACCCCATGGTGTCGTCAGACGCAAGGCCTCTCCAAGGGCAGGGAGGATCCAGCGTGGGGCGCCGGCAGCACCTCCCGAGCCTGGCTGCGCGCTCGTCGGGCCGTGCAGAGGTGGCGGCCCACGGAGCTCGGCCAGAAGGACCTACAGCTCCCGGGGGCTAAGGGAGAAGAAGGAAAACGGGGAAATGGCAGCAGGTGCCAGCTCAGGGCCAGTCTTTCCAGACAGACAGCTAGCTGCAGGGGCAGGAGGTGCATGCCCTTAGTTCCTAACCTGGCCCCGTTCCCGTGAGGTTCCACCCACGGGCACAGTGAGGGCTCGTCCAGCGCAGACGTGACCCTGTCGGGGCTTTGGTCACTACGCTGCTTTAACAGGTAAACTCCAAATGCAGTGGCCACAGCTGAACCCAGTGTTCCTCTTGGTTCCAGCACGTCAAGGCAGTGTGTTCAGGCCTTCAGGGCCCTGGCTGCAGCCCTCCACGGGGTCACTCAGGGATCAGCTGGGGCGTCCTCACCTCCGTGCGGGGTGGGGACCTGGCCTGCCTGGCCTGAGTGCAGGGGCTGGGCAAGGATGGGAGACTGGGCGGGGGACGGTGCTCAGCTGCCTGTCCCTGCTCGAGGGGCCCCGGGGTGAGGTGTCCTCAGGGAAGAGGCTGACAGCTCCCCCAGGACTGGTCCTGCCCAGGCGACGTCCCTGCTGCGTCCTCGCTCTGCCCTGCGGGCCTCGACCCCCAGCCTCTAGCCTCGGCCACAGGCACTGAGGCTGCTCCACTGGCTCCCAGCTCAGTGTCTACACCGCAGGACAACGGAGGGAGCTTAGGGAGATTCAGCCTCGGGGCACAGGGGCCAGAGGGGAAGTTGAGCCACAGATCTTATTCAGTGTCGCTCCTCTTCCTCCAGCGGGAGAAGCCTGCCACCAGGCCGGCCGGGCCAGGGTGGCTGCACGAGCGCCTGATGCGGCGCCAGCGTCAGGAGTTCTCTCAAGCTGGGACCTGGTCTCGCACGGCTGCCGACTCGCTGCGGATCCTGTCTTCACTTAAAATCTTGATAGTTTATTCCTCATGGAGTTTTCAGCATTAATTTTGATTTCTAAAAATATTACATTGAAAACGATCTGTCCTGGTTACTGACTTTGGGTGCCTTTAAACTTGGCGCCCAAGGCCTCACCCTGCCCTCATCCTGGCCTGCGTCACATAATCTCATTTTGAATGTTCGAGGCTCCCACCCTCTCGTGGCGCTGGTGGAAGCCACTGCTAGATGCCGATGAACATCAGTTCTCTTCTCCCTGCCCCTGACGGAACCCCTTCCTCCCCTGGGGGAAGCATGTGCCCAAATACGCCCCTGCAACTGTGCCCACCTTCTCCAGGCTCCTCTGCTGTCAAGCTTAGTACTGTGACTAACTTTTGGCCAAAGAGATGTTAAGTATAAACTGAGATTTCCAGGAAGTTTCCTTAAAAACATGAGAATGTGCCTTTCTCTTTCCTCCTGCTGCTGGCCTGGAGGGCGGACATGACAGCCGGAGCGACCTCAGCCAGTGTGGGCCATGAGACGGTCTTGGGAATGGAAGCCCCCTCCTTGACATCTCCGTGAAGTCATGGACTGCCCCCCACTGCACTTTTTATATGAGTGAAAACTACGTGTGTCTTGTTCTCTGTCTTGTAGAGTTGAGCCTAACAACTCCTTGTAGCCGTCCTTCCATAGCAAATCCTCATCTCTCCTGCAGGGAGAGTTGGGCAAAGATTTTGTATCTGGAAATGCAAAAGCGAAAGCGGATGGAGCCATGAGTTAAACCTATCATGCAGGGGTGTGGCCAGAGAACGGGCTGGGCCCCTGCAGGAGACGGCCGGGGGCAGAGCAGCTGCAGAGCCGACTGGGGCACACCTGGGGCAGATGTTTATAGTGTGTGGAGGAGGGTCTGAGGGTGCCAAGTGGCCTGGGACAGAGGAGCTGCGCCCTCAGGGGGTGGCACCTGGACCACGCCGGCCCAGCGTGGGCCGCTGGCCTTGGCACATGCTTCTCTATCAAACAGGAGCTTGGGCACAGCCCTTACGTAGTTTTGATCGCAAAAGTGTAAAACATCGCAGAGCACAAGGAGCGACAGGCTCCCTTGCCCACGCTGTTGACAGAAGCGGCTCAACCATTAGCCGCCAAGCTTCCAAGGACTTTGTGTTGCGGGCCAAACCCCACGCTGGTGAACAAGAGCCTGTGGTCACTTGGCCCCCAAGATCATCAGTCCCCAGGCCTCCAGGACGTGAACACTAAGGGCCGCTGCCCCCAGGGGGAGTCCCCAGCACCCACATCAGGTGTTCCTGCGGGGACAGGCCCTGGCCTTCATAGCGGGCCGGGACCACGTGGGCTCTGACCGCTCCCTGGGGCCGCTTCTGTTTACTGTGGTCACCTCACCCCTCTGGACACTGGTGGCAGGTGGGAGTTACATTTGTCACTGAGCCACTGTTGCTGAACCTGAGGACTTGCATCCACTGGCCCCAACCCAGAGGTCCACCCTCGGGGGTCATCGGCCGGGGCTGGGAGCAGGAGCCGGGCGGGACTCTGAGCTCTTCCCTTCGGGGAGGGACGGTGTGGTCCATTGTAGGCAACAGCTGCCACCATGCACGTGAGGTGTGTCTGCTCTGAGTCACCCGCATGGGACGAGCACAGCGGATGCCAGGCAGCCAAGGGGCTGGGCCGCAGGGGGCCCCGCTGCCCATAGCACTTGGAGGTTTGGGGGAACCTCCCCTGCCCTACTCGCCCTCCACCGTCACAGGATTGGAGCTGACAGCAGGACGGGCACGTCACCCACCTGGAGCCGATGGTGTCAGGCCAGGACTTTACAGGTCCCTGGACAGAAGCACTGAGTCTGACAGGAGGTAACTGGAGCTGCTGGGGTCATCTCGCCAGCTGGGGAAAGTCCACGGGGGACAGAGACCACCTGGCAGAGGCAGGCTCTGGCTGTCGTCCGGGTGCTCGGCCCTCCGTGGGCCTGCTGTCAGCTGTCCTGTGTGCTCCTGTTTCACGAGGCAGGAGAGGCCCGTTTTGGCTCACGCCCGCCCGAGCTGGTTGCAGCCACCCGCAGTGAAGGGTCCAGCTGACACTGCAGCCAGTGACCCGAGCACCTTGCGAGCAGCTGTCAGTGCCACACTCACGCTCCTGGGGGGCGAGGCCAGAGGGACATGCAGGACTCGAGGGAGCTGGAAGCATCCCTCTCGTACCTGTGGGTCGGTATCACGGCGTCAGTTCCTCTCTGAAGTGCGGCGAGTTTCCAGAACGCTGGCACACTCCGGTGCCTGCATCACGGCCAGGCTCAGAGTGAGGGGCGGTGCGTGCTCCTGTGCGGATGGGGAAGGGGCCGCAGGACGCGGTCCTTCCCTGGCCCAGAAGGAAAATGACGCCTATGAGGCCACGGTTCTGGATTATCAGGGAATTCTTGTGTGCCTCCCCCCCTTTTTTTTGCCAGAAAAATGCCATAGTTGAGTAAATATGTTTTCTGTAACTCAACCACCACTGCCCCTTCTTATTTCCCTAGAAGGAGTAACCAGACCACTTCCAGTTTCTTCCAAGACAACTTTTCCCATGAGTCTGAATTTATTTAAAATCAAAACATACTTCTGTTATTCCTACAGCAGCACTGACACAGCATTTCTAAATACAAACCGTGTTTATTTAGCATCTGAAGTTCGCTTGGGAGAAGAGGCCAAGTAGACCGTGAAGCCGTCAGCGCACAATGCAAACGCAAGACTGCAATGGAAGCGGCTTCTTTCTAACAAAATCTCACAGCTCTCTCCCAGTGGCCGCACTCCACGCCTGAATCAAAAAAAAACAAACTGGGAAGGCAGGAGGGGGCCACAAGCAGAGCCCTTCCGGGGGCCCCAGGCCGCAGCGGGCCGCCCTGCGGGGCCCTGTAAGGCACATTCTCCCCGCGCTCGTCCTGGCAAGTCCCATCCACCGAGGCCTCTGGCTTCTCAAAAGCAAAGCTTTTCAGTATTATATTGTTTCGTTACCTTAAAGTGAATGAGGGGGCATCCCAGGGAGAGACGTCAGTTAGAGTACAAGGAACAGAAGGGCTTACACCCAGGGCCTGGGCTTCCGGCCACAGCTCCTCAGAGCCTTCCAGTTCGGTGTCATCAAACATCACGCAAGGTCCCTCTCCGGACACAGTCCCGAGCCCACGCTCGAGGCTCCTGGGCCGAGCCTGGTCTGAGAAGCTGAAGGCAGCTCGCCAGTCCAAGTGCAGTGCCGTACAGGGCGGCGGCCTCGGCGCAGAGGAGCACGTCGTCTGTGATCAGCCTCCCAGACGGACCCCGGAGGCGCTGGGGTTTCCGACACGGCTCCGCCCAGCGCTGGAGGAGGACGGAGGCCAGGCCGCTGGGCATCAGGCTCTGTGAAAGGCAGCGTGGCGCGACAACGGGCACCCGACCTCGCCAGGCCAGGGGGCAGGCCCGGACCCCGGGCCATGTCTGTCACTTTCTTTGCATCTCCTAATATTTGAGTGCTATTTTAACATCAAAGCTAAAAGGGCTGATGAGAAATTGTGTGAAATCAAGATGATAACCACACTTAGCAAGAGAGTTGCTACAGAGCTTCATTTGAGGTAAGGAAGAATTTATTACATTTTCTCAGGAATCCTGCTTTCAACTGAGTCAGACTCTGAGAAATTGGATCATGTGTGTCCTAAATCAGTCAAGTCAGTGATATGACAGATGTTCTGTCATAAATAACCACTTACATTTGATAGTTAGCCATGCCGAATGACGAGAACAATCTCAGTTGACATTTTCATCTATCTTTTCTGAGGCTACTCATACTGTCAGCCCACGCCAGGCCCGTCTGCCACGACCCTGCCTCACACCACACTTCCAGACACGAGGCAGCTGCGGGGTCTGTGGCGGCGGCGGCAGCAGCAGCAGCCAGAATCTTCTGAGCCGATAGCACAGTCAGCTAGCTCCTCAGGGCTGCTGGGCCACCGCGTCGCAGCCAGCAGAGGCTTTTCTCTCTTTAGCAGCAAACACGTAGCTCGAGAGGATGTCCGTCTGTCTCCTCATTCCGAAAGACAGCTCATGCTACTCAGAACCATAGTTTTAACTCAGACCAAAGAGGGGAACGTGTGCTGTGTGGGGACGCCCCTTTATGTCATGGCGTGAGCCTGGCCAGATCCCCAGTGGGAGTTGAGCGGTGCCAACCTTAGTCAACACGGATACCAGAGTCATCTGAACAGTGTAAGAGCAGAGAATGGAACACGAGTATTTCGAACGGCAGACGTGTCAGAGGTTAGCGACGTGCCCTTTGACCCATGCTGCTGTCAATGCACTGTAAGTTTTCCGATAAAAATAGCGGTTGGGGTCAAGTGTGGTGGGAGGGCAATGTCGGACTGGCACCTGTAGGGTGTCGCCAGGCCTGTGCCAGCCCCCAGGGGACGGGCTGCATAGCCGAGTAACAAAGGGTGCTCTCCTGGCCTGGAATGAACCATCCCTTTACTTGAAATAAAGCAGAGGACTGGAGTCTGTGTCAGCACAAGGTAGAAAACCAACAAACCTGCTCTCCTGGAGCCGACTGGTGGATTGTGGGAGGAGCCCAAGGCCCTGCGTGGCAGCCAATGAGGCCCCGCCAGGCCCCAGGGACAATGGCTGCTCCGGTAGCAGCACTGCCTGGGTGCTGTGCCCACGGGGACGTCGGCGGCTATCTGTGCTACCTGAAACTCCCAACGTGGATGGAGAGAGAAGCTTCTGGTCCACGGGGCCGGGCAGGCGTCTCTGCACCAGAGAAAACATGGCTGCTCTGGACACGCAGGGCTTCTTGGCTGCGGGAGACAGAGGTGTCAGTGACTCACATACCAGGTCGAGGGGTTTGGAGTGACTCTACAGGTCACTCCAACTTTTAGGGGTCAAGTTGGAACAGGCCACAGGGATGTGGGTTTGCAATTCTGACAGCTACTTCCAAACCACCCCATCGGAGGCCCTCAGTCCCCCACCGCCATGTGTGGGCCCACGGGTCCCCAGGCCCCGCCCACATGGTGGGGCAGACCCAGGTCCTTCCCAATCTGCCAGGGGAAAACATTTCACCGCAGAGCAAGCTTCCCTTCTCTGCTTTCTGAATCAAAGTGTAACATTCACAGATGCACAAATCTTAAACGTCCAGCTCCATGAGCCGTTACAGTTAACGCACATTGGGTAATGCCACCACCACCTCGGCCCTTACTCCCTTGTACTGCTTGCTTTGGCCCCCTGAGGGGCTGGGAAATGACGATGAGGAGGCAAGCAGGGGCTAACTGGGCAGGCAGCTACATCAGAAGCTGCTGCAGCAACTCAGGAGAGAAAAGAACACCCAGCCAGCCAGAGCGCCGAGAACGGGGGAAAGGCTGACTGAGGAACGAGCAAGGCAATGAGACCGGAAGTGGGGAGCAGATAAGGATGACCATGGCGTCTCTGGTATGGCCTGTGTGGGGGTGACGACATGGACCACGCAGTGAGAGTCAGGTTCAGGCACATGGAGTTTGAAGTACTGGTTCTGGTGGGATGTTCCAGGAAATTCTGGAGGGTGTATGTGGTCTGGAGGCCAAGAGCAAGCAAGCCAGACTGTGTACAGGAGAGAGAGGACTGAGTCCACCCAAGGTGAGGTGACTGGGGTAGAGCGGGCAGAGTGATCAGAGAGCAGGACGACACCAACCCTGGAAGATGGCTGGGGAAGGAGCTGGGAGGTAGGAGGAACCAGGCAGGGGGGGAGCTTCCTGCAGAGGGACGAGCAAGCAGGGCGGAGAAGGGAGGGGAAGCATCTGTGGGTTAGCAGCCAGGCAACTCCCTGGAGGGAACTGAGAGGAGGAGTGAGCCACGGGCAGGTGACAGCAGCAAGGAAGCAGCTGCAATGGCACATATGATCGGGAATGCTCCTGTTTTCAGATGACTGAGACCTGAGGATGCTGGTGTCTGAAGGAAAGACCCAGAAGATGGGGAGCGGTTACATACGGGGAGAGAGGAGCAAGCAGAGCTCACAAGGAGGGGAGAGGATGAGACCCGGGCACGCGCCGAGGCTGCCTCCTGATGAGTTCGGGTACCACATTTCCTTCACAGGTTCCACAGAAAGCCCTCTTAGCAGGTATCCTAAAGAACATGGACACTGCAGGGGACAGAGGAGAATTCCACAGCACTATTTCTTCACAAAGCACACTTTTGTATAAGGAGAGTACTAAGCCCTAATCAAGAGCTTCCAGCAAGAGCAGAGCGCAGCAGAGGTTCCCAGCGGAATCTGTCACACGAGTGAGAAGCCTGGTATTACCTTTTCCTTTTGCCCAGAGCCAGCTGTTTCTGTTTTTCTTTTCCAATGTCATCCGTGACTGTACTGAAATCATCATCATCTTCAGCCAGGAGATTCTACATTTCAAAATAATCAATGAGCAATGTTTTCAGACATTTTTTTAGCCTACACTTCAAAGAGCTGTGTAAAAATTACCTAAATTGACAAGAGGAGACATGCAAATGTACATCATCTAGATTAGTAACATAATAATGGACACACCACACTCTAGCGCTTGGTGAAGACCAAGGAAGCGAGTGACGGGAAGAGCCTGAGGCGGGATCACTCTGCAGCCCTCTGGCCTTCGCCCTCACCCGTGTGCCGCCCGAGCGAGCCGGGCAGAGGGCTCTGGAGGGAGACACGGCCAGCTGAGCGATCACACAGCTCTCACCGCGGGCTAGAGACATGGCTGTCTGTTCTCCAAAGTCTGTCCAACTGTTCTCACCCACACAGCTCTACAGCTACCCCGAGAGCTTCTGAAAGGCCCGGGGCTTCCAGCTCCTGGGCAGGCCCCCGAAGCTGTACCGGAGTGCTTCACAAATACAGGATGCTCCATACATCCTCCTGAGGGACCAAGGCTGCCTCCTTCCCACTACGTGCAGTCGGTTCCACGTGCCAATATTATTTACCGCAAACACTGGCTTCTCCTTCAGCGGCCCACAGGCATGTCTCAGCGAGCGTTAACTAAGCCAGCGCTGACCCTGCGAAAACATCCTAGGGAGGAGCTGTATGCCAGAGAGAGTTCTGAGGCTTGCCAGGCCTGGGTTATGGACTCCCCAGGCCACTGGCCACGTCCCCAAGTGCAGATTTGGGAGCACTGCAGCGAGTCCCGTGTGCTGTGACTAGAGCTCTCGGCGACCAGGAGCGAACGGACAGCCGCAGGCGGGTTTTGCTCCTTCTCCAGTCTCAGGAGAGAAAACTGCTGTAACAAGCGTTATAATCTCCATTCCAATAAATGGTGCATGATAAACACTTGATAATGTTTATTCCAGTAAGTTGTGCTTGATATGCTATTTAAAAATTGTGAAACATTACAAAATAAGAGTAGATATGGAGCTGACGGACAGACAGCACGTTCTCAGGGTGCACAGGCGAGGGCACAGGCGGTGCGGCACGGCAGTCAAGCGCACGCCTGGACACAGATCCACGGGCACACCAGTCCCATAACCTCCCCGCACCTCATCCTCCTCATCTTAACATGGCACCTGCTTCCTACGGTTGTCATGAGGAGAAACAGAGTTAAAGGGACACGTGGATGGTGCTGGCAGATAATAAAATGCCCAGTGAAAGTTAGCTATCAATAATATTAACCTTTTACCATCTTTACTTCATTTTTATCTTTCAAGGAAAAAAACCTAAGAATCTGTCCATGTCCCTCCCCCACTAGAGGAGGGCGCTACGTCGAGTCTGATGCTGTTGCTCCCGCCTGTCTCCCTCGATCACTACAAGGGAACGTGACCCTCAGCATCTTCATGGTTGTACACTTTCCACAAATGACCATCCTGTGACTTCGTTTTCTTTTGCAACAGTGAACACGCAGAGGCACGTCCGCACTGACCTGTGTGGCTGCGGCTCCTTTGTTTGAACTGCTGCGTTCTATGCCATTCTATCGATACTTCTGTTTCCATTTGATCTGTCCCCTTTCTAAGGGTCATTTGAGTTCTTTCCAGTTTACACGATCACCAACAGTGCTTCAGTGAACGTCTCTGTACGTCTCCCCACATGTGTGAGGCGTCCAGGGTGTGCACCCAGGAGTGGAATGACTTGCTTGGATCTATTACATAGGCATCTTTTACTTTACTAAAAACTGCAACTGCTCTTCAGTGTGGCTGTGCCAATTTGCACTCCCACTGCTAGGGGTGTGGGTTCCGAGGGTCTGGGTTGAAATGGTCGTTCGCCGCTTCATCTCCCAGGTCCTGGTCACTGGGCACTCGCTGCCTTCCCATCTGCTTACTGGCCATTTAGTCTCTCTTCTGAGAACTGCCCGTCACTCTGCCGATTTCTCCCTTATCGGGTGATCTTTCTGCAGCTGGGTTGCGGGAGTATTTGACATATTCTGGATAACAATCCTTGCTAGTTATATTGTTGTATATATCTTTCCTTGTTTGTGGCTTGTCTTTTCACTTTTTATGGTTTCTTTGATGAACAAAATTTTTTACTTTTAACGTAGTCAAATTTCTCCATCCTTTATGGTTTGTGTTTTTTGTTGCTTATTTTAAGAAATCCTCCACCTTTTCTTCTAACGGTTGAAAATCACTGCTTTTCACGTTTCAGTCTTCCTGTTGATTGCTGTATATGGCATGAGCAGAGGTGGATACAGATTTTATAGGGCCTAAAGCTTACATAAATTTGGGGACTCTCTGTGAAAATGAAATCGGAGTTATGACTACAATTTTTCCTATATGGATAACCACTTCTCCCAGCACCATTTATTGAATAATCCATGTTCAATGTTGCCTCGAATACCTGTCAAGTGTCCTTCTATATGTGATTCTGTTTTGGGGCTCTCTATTCCAATCCTATTTGTCAACCCTGTCCCAAAGTGACACAGCTGTATAATCAGTCTTATCACTTGGTAAGGCAAGTACCCTGACCTTGTTCTTGAAAAATACCTTAGCTCTCTGGCCCTTTGCTCTCCCATGTGACTCTTCCGTCTTTAATCTCATCTATGTGGTTACCCACTGGAATGACACTGAACTTAGAGCCGTGGGAGGCACTGCTGTCTTCACGATGGGGCTCCCCTTCCAACAGCAGGACATGGCTCTGCCTCCAGACGAAGCTTTAATACAGCTCAAGATTCACCGCTCCAGAAAGGTCTCATCAGTCTTTTTGTTGGACGTATCCCTAGGGACCTTGTAGACTGATCTTATCATCTTCTGAACTCTCTTAACTTATCGGCTGATCTGTAGTCTCCTGAATCTCCTTTATAGAAAAACTGCATGGAAGAACAGTTTTATTTTTTCTTTTTAGAATTTCTTTACCTCGCTTTCAATTTTTATTTACCTTTCTTTGGGAGGAGGAGCGGTATATTACCTTGGCCACACTGATTAGTATAATGCTGAATAGAAGTAGTGATTAAGAGAATGCTTATTCCCTCATATAAAATTACTGATATTAAGTTACTGATTTAATAATTAATACATTAATAATCTTTAATTCTTATATTAAGGATTAAAATTATTAATCTTTAATACAAAAGTGTTGCTACATGACAACAAAGGTTTGTCCAAGGAGCGCGAGGATGGCCCAGTGTCAGGAATCTATGTACCTACCAGATTAAAGAAGAAAAACCATATGGCTAATTCAACAGACACAGAAAAAGCACAGAATAAAATTTAACATTAAACATCCAGTGCATATTTAACTTTAATATTAAACATCCATGATTTTAAAATCATGATTTTAAAAAAAGAACCTGGAGCAAACTGGGGGTACAAGGAGACTTCCCGACCTGACAGGCCCTCCTGGAACTCGCAGACCCACACCTGCTGATAACACCACAGAGCATTTTCCTGCAAGTCAGACCCTAAGCAGGGTTTGGGTACTGACGTTCTACTGGCCTCCTACAACGAGTTGTTTGGCTTTCCTTCTTTTTCTTTTTCCATTCTCTAAAAAAATTTCTATAAAATAGGATTATCTGTCCCTTTAAGATTTGATAAAACTTCTCTATAAAATCATTTGATCCTGGTGTTTTGTCAAAGTGGTATATTTGTTATTAAATAACTTACCTTAACACCAATAGTATCGCCATCTTTCAAGTGATAAGGCGCCCCCTGCAAATTATCTTGCTTTTTCTTCTTTTTCCTCTTAGTAATTTGCTGGTTCTATAAAAAAAAATCAAGCATCTTAAAGAAAGAAAACTCAACCTCAAATTCTTACTAAATTCCCTATCTGTGAAAAATTATAATTAATCTATTCACTATGCCAGTAAGGCCCAATCTGAGAAAGCCCCACAACTTTACCCAGCTAGATATTGGAAGCCATTCAAACTTTTCAGGAAAGTATTTGGCAATTTCAATTTTTTCCACAGGAAGAGAATAGAAATCAGCAACTCGCTGCCTCAGGGAGCCAGCAGTCCAGCCTCGGGCAGCATCCCACACCATGTTCATGGGCAGGGCGTATGCCCTCTCGCCAGGGAGGCGCATCTGCGTCCTCAGCAGCACGTCCTGGGGGCTGCATCAGAAAGCAATCAAAGGTCAGATTTAAAACAAACAAGATGGAACTTTGCAGTAACTGTGGGGGCCAAGATGGGCAAAACTTTGCCTCCGACTCCTCTGGTTTTTATGAGGAGATCTCCCCTAAACTCTGAATACTAGTGGGAAATCCTCTTTTCTACTTCGATTTCCTGCAATCCTGACCCAGACGAGAGGCGAAACTCTCATTCTAGCCCACAGCAGAATCCCCTGGGGAGGCAGCTGAAGGTGGTGGAGGAACCTTCCTGGCGGGCACGGAGGGAAGTCAGGAGGCAGAGCTACAGGGCTGGGCCGGATGACACTATGGGGGTGAAGGGGAGGGGTCAACCGGCCTAAGGTCCCAGCCATGGCGACTCCCTGGGAAAGGCTGGCATCAGCGCCAGAGCTGTGAAGCTACCGTAGGTGCTGAAACTCTGAGCTGGTGTGGGCAGCCAGGGGTGAGAGGTGGGAAGAGAGGCGCTGGAGGCGCCGAGATGACAGCTGCAGCTGCGAGAGTAAAAGAGGCCCTGGCTGGAGAAGAGCGTGGACAGCAGGTCCTTGGAGGAAGAGAAGAGAACCTCTCAGAGAGGTCGGGATTGTGACAGGACAGGAAGTAAAACTACAGATGAGAACTGGGAGGCAGAGAGGAGAGAAATGGCATTTTAGGAGGTGAGACAACAAGTGATTTTAAATGCTTATTTCTGTGATATCTGGTGTTTTTACCAAAGAGAAAGAGTGACCCAAGGGGAGAAAAAGAACAAGCGGAGGAAAGAGGGAGAGCGCAGGCCTCGTGCACCGGGAGCTGAGAGGGGAGAGGAGGAGGCTGTGCGCCAGAAGGGCCTGGAGAGACTGCCCCTCCCTCGGGGGAAGGCCTCGTGGGGTAGCGGAGTGGAAGGCCCGGAGCTGAGGCAGTGAGGCCAGAGCACAGGCAGGGTGGTGAGCGCAGGCAGTGCAGCTGCGAGGAGGTGACAGGGGCTGGGGCGGGGAGGACGAGGAGGGACCAGAGGCCCCACTGAGGAGAGCAAGAGAGCTCTGGAGGCCGGTCAAGGACAGAAGAGCCAACAGGGAAGGGGTCTAAGTAAGCGCACAGCACGGCCTTCAAAGGACACCGCTTACAACACACGTGACAAAGGGTCAGTATCGTTGTTATTGAAAGAGCTCATACAGATTAGACTCTTTTCTAAGACCCCATTACAAAAACAGGCAAAATATTTGAAATAATTCACACACTCACAAAATACAAATGGCTCATAAGCCTTTGAAAAAATGCCCAATCTTACTAGCAACCAAAGCCTTGAAGCAAATGAGACAAGGTGACCATTTCTCATTTCTCAACTTAGCAACAGCCAAACAAGGAAAATACGCAATGCGTGTGTGGGGGTGAGGGGAAGTAAATACTCACAAACACTGTCTGTGGGAATACAAATTGGTATTAACTTACCCGGAAAGGAATTCCACATTATTTTAAGAGGTTTAAAATGTCCATACCACCTGATCCAAAAATTCCCCTCCAGGAAACTACTCCTGGTAATACACTCTGCATGAAGAATGCATTTTTCTAAGAGCGATGAGGCTAAATGAAGGCTCGAGAGGGCGGAAGGAGTGCTGTTGGAGTTACTGTCCAAGAGGCTGACAACAAGAGTGATGTTCACGTCATATTACACAGAAAGAATCATAATATTTGGTGACACAAAACAGTTGTCTTTTTTTTTGAGGAAGATTAGCCCTGAGCTAACTGCCGCTAATCCTCCTCTTTTTGCTAAGGAAGACTGGTCCTGAGCTAACATCTGTGCCCATCTTCTTCTACTTTATATGTGGGACACCATCCACAGCATGGCTTTTGCCAAGTGGTGCCATGTCCGTACCCGGGATCCCAACCTGTGAACCCCGGGCTGCCAAAGTAGAACGTGCGCACTTAACCACTGCACCACCGGGCTGGCCCCCAAAAAACTCTTATAAAAGATTTTCCTATAATGAAAAAAAGAACAGGAAGGTTTGACTGTAGACGACTCTGAGGTACTTCTTTATTCAATACCCAATTGTTGACTAGAACACACGCCTGTGCTAGGTACCGGGGATATGGCGGTGACCAAAGAACACAGCACTTGCTCTCACAAAGCTTATACTCAGGGAGTGGGAGACACGCAGTAATGGACAATTCCACAAAGATGTACTGGGGGTGTCAGGATGAAAAAATCAGGACTTTAAGGGGGCAGAATGACAGGTGCTATTACACATCAGTTTGACAACAGACTATCCCAACGCATCGATAAGAGCTAGGGATGAGCATCTTGCTTACACTTCAAGATCAATGTGCATTTGAGACTTACTGGAAAAGTCTCACTGTTTTCGTGGAAAAATGACTTCCAAGTTCTAGATACCAGACACAGAAATACATTTCTTGAAAACAATCTGTTTTAAGTTGCCAGACCACTCAGAACAGCAGTGAAAACATAATTTACTATTAAGTTTTTACATTTTTAAAGACATGAACTCTCCACCGTGGTAGGACACATGTCTAACCTGTATGCGTGGGGGAGGTCTTACCCCAAGTTTTCTTCTTTCTGAAGGGGCTCTAAGCAGATCTCAGTTCTCCTGCCCAGTTTATATTCCCTGATAAGAAATGAAAGAAAATAATATTGAGTTAACATATCATTTAATTTTGTACAAATATTTTTTGCCAATTTTAAGCTTTTTTCTTAAGCAAAAGATTATACTGTATAAGAACATTCAAAATTTAAGAGACTACTATGAATAAATATACCCCAACAAAGTGGACAACCTAGGAGAAATGGATAAAAATTCCTAGAAACACACAACCTACCAAGACTGAATCAGTAAGAACTAGAAAATGCGAATAGACCAATCACTAGTAATGTGACTGACTCAGTGATCAAAAACCTCCCAACAAAGAAAAGTCCAGGACCAGATGGTTTCACTGGGGAATTCCACCAAACATTTAAAGAATTAATACCAACCCTTCTCAAACTCTTCCAAAAAATAGGAAGGAACACTTTCAAACTTATTTTATGAGGTCAGCATTACCCTGATACCAAAACCAGACAAGGACACTACAAGAAAAGAAAGTTACAGGCCAATATTCCTGATAAACATAGATGCAAAAATCCTCAACAAAATATTAGCAAACTGAGTTCAACAGTACATTAACAAGGTCATGCACCATGATCAAGGGGGATTCATTCCAGAGATACAAGGATCGGTCAATAGCTGCAGACCAATCAATGTGATATACCACATTAACAAAATAAGGGATAAAAATCATGATCATCTCAATAGATGCAAAAAAAGCATTTGACAAAATTCAGCATCCTTTCATGATAAAAACTCTCAATGAACTGGATATAGAGGAAACAACTCAACAAAATAAAGGCCACATATGACACGCCCACAGCTAACATCATATGAATGGTGGAAATCTGAAAGCTTCTCCTCTAAAACTAGGAATAAGACAAGGATGCCCACTGTTGCCACTCTTACTCAACATAGTATTGGAAGTCTTAGCCAGAGCAACTGAACAAGAAATAAAGGCATCTAAGTTAGAAAGGAGGAAAACTGTCTCTATTTGCAGCTGACAGGATATTATATATCGAAAACCCTAAAGACGCCATCAAAAAGCTGTTAAACTAATTCAGTAAAGTTGCAAGAGAAAAAATCAATACACAAAAATCAGCTGTGCTTCATACACTAACAAGGAACTGTCAGGAAGAGAAATTAAGAAAACAGTCCCATTGACAAAAGCATCAGGAAGAATGAAAATAGTCAGGAATACATTAGCCGAGGAGGTGAAGGACCTGTACACTGACGACTCTGAGACTACCACGAAGGAACCGAGACGACGCAAACAGATGGAAAGATACTCCATGTGCTTGGAGTGGAAGAACCAACATCACTAAAACGTCCACACCACCCGAAGTGATCTAGACAAGCAATGCAATTCCCATCAAAATTTCAATAGCATTTTTCCACAGAAACAGAAAAACCAATCCTAAAATTTGTATGGAACCACAAAAGACCCTGAATAGCCAAAGTAATCTTGAGAAAGAAGAACAAGCTGGAGACATCACGCTTCCTGATTTCAAACTATATTATAAAGCTTTAGTAATAAAAACAGTATGCTACTAGCATAAGAACAGACACATACATCAATGGGTAGAATAGAGAGCCCAGAAATAAACTCATGCATATATGGTTAATTCATTTACAACAAAGGAGCCAAGAATATACAATAGGGAAAAGACAGCTCTTCAATACACGGTGCTGGGCAAACTGGACAGCCACATGCAGAAGAATGAAACTGGACCCTTATCTTACACCATACCCCAAATCAACTCAAAATGGATGGAAGACTTGAACGTGGGACCCAAACCATAACACTCCTACAAGAATACACAGTGGGTGGCTCCTTGACATTGGTCTTGACAATGAGTTTTTGGATTTGACACCAAAAAAAGTTTTAACAAAAGCAAAAATAAACAAACAGAACTACATCAAACTAAAAAGCTTTTGCACAGCAAAGAAACCATCAACAAAATGAAAAGGCAATCTATAGAATGGAAGAAAATATTTGCAAATCATACATCCGATAAGGGATTAATCCAAAATATATAAAGAACTCATACAAATCAATAGCAAAAAAACCAACTAATCTGACTAAAAAATGGGCACAGGAACAGAATAGACAAACAAATGGCCAAGAGGTACATGAAAAGGTGCTCACCATCACAATTCTTTAGGGAAAGACAAATGAAAACCACAACGAGATATTCCCTCACACCTGTTAGAATGGCTATCACCAAAAAGATAAGAGATAACAAGTGTTGGTGAGGATGCAGAGAGAAGGGCACCCTTGTGCACTGTTGGTGGGAATGTAAATTGGTGCAGCCACCTCTGGAAAACAGTATGGAGGTTCCTCAAAAAATTAAGAATAGAACTACCATATGATCCAGGAATCTCACTTCTCGGTATATATCCAGAGGAAATGAAGACAGGACATTGAAGAGATATCTGCATTCTCACGTTCAGAGCAGCATTATTCACAATAGCCAATACACAAAAACAATCCTTGTGTCCTTCAACGGATGAAGGGATAATGATGTAGGATATATACACAATGGAATATTATTCAGCCATGAGAAAGCACAAACTAGAGTTTGCGACAGCACAGATGGACTTTGACTTATTTCACTTAGCACAATGCCCTCAGACAGAGAAAGACAAACACTGTACGATATCACTTATATGTGGACTCTAAGAAAGCCAGACTCAGAGAAGCCAAGACTAGAATGACGGTTGCCAGGGCTGGGGGTGGAGGAAAGGGGAGACGGTCGTCAAAGAGTACAAACTTCCAGCTATAAGATGAGTAAGTTCTGGGGATCTAACGTACAGCACAGTGATTACAATTAATAATACAATATTACAGAGTTCAAAGTTGCTAAGAGAGAAGATCTGACGTGTTCTCAGCACAAAGGAAGTGGTAATGATGTGACATGACGCAGGTGTCAGCTAGTGCTACGGCGGTCATTATTTTGCAATATGGAAGCATATCAACATGTTGCACACCTTAAACTTACACAGCGTTATATGTCAGTTATATCTCAATAAAGCTGGAGGAAAAAACAACACTCAAAATTTCGCTCATAGTATCTGGAGCACAGTAAAAACAAGAAGCTACATTCATACTTAATATGGAAAAGTGAAGTTGTCCCAGAGTTTAATTTATGATAAAAAGTGTCATCCAACTGACAAATGCAGAACTACCAGGAACAGGCTTTCTTTATCATCTGACTTGTCGCTCAGCCCACCCCCACTCAGCACCCCAGCGGTGCAGGAAGGGAAGACGGGGTGTTCACGGAGAAACCTACTTGAGCTGCTGCTGGTCAGCTCGTAAGAGCCTGCTGGGGCGCTTACTTTCCACCGTCCAGGCTCTGAGGAAGGCTGGGGATGGGATGACAAACTCCGAGAAGGAGGGCAAGGTCATGGCCTAGAAAGGAAACAGACATTTCTCCAATGGTTTGAAAAAGTACTCTTAAAAATACACTGCTTTAGGAAAAAATGAAGCAGTACACAATGACATCTGAGGGCAACAGTATCTCGAGTAATGGTAAAATCTATTCAAGAAAATCAAAGGAATAGCTCTTAAATGAAATTAATCCTGAGTCATTTTTGTATTCCTGTCTACTGAAATCAGCCTGAGGGACAAATGAATTTTCCATTTCTAAGTCTCAGCCAAAACCCCTTTTTTAATCACTACATTTTAGGAAATGAAACTTTAAAATTAACTTCTGAGTATAACTCACAAGAACGGAGGGTGCTCTAATAAAAGCAAGGGACTCATCTCTAACTGCCACCACTGCTAATGAAACTCCTCAATACTGCACGCTCTGTCAAGGACAGGACTTTTGATTTTGAAATACTTCAAAATCTGCAGATCCAACCGCAGGGCCTAAACTGCTGTGCTAATTCTGTAGGGGTAGATAACCATTTATATATTTAGGTTGTAGTATATAAAATGGCCAATATTCATCCATTTATTACCTAAAGCAGCAGTTGTGTATATTTTAATCCAACACAAGAAAGAAAAAAGTGTCTCGCCTTTTGTTCTCACAAAAATAAGATCATTTGCTATTTTTTGAGGCAGATTACTTCATACATTGAGGACACACAGGAAAAGTCAGATATTACTGACTGATATTTGTATTAAATGCCCCCACACTTTTTCCTTTAAGAGGAAGAAGGGACGTTCATTTCAGTCCAACAACAGTGACATGCTTCTTAAGCACTGCGTGATGTATTCAATCCAGCCTTTCCATTTGGACAAAACACTCTTTCTCTATGAATGTTAATGTATAAGAACACAATTCAATATCTAGTTTGACATCCTGACATAAAGCTGATATTCTGACCTCCTGGGAAACTGTTAACATGTCTTTTAACTAACAACATTTAACACATGGATCACAATGATACAAAAACGATGTAAATAAACGGGTAAAGTGAATGCTTTACAAATGTTTCAATAAATCATGTTTCCCTAAAAAATCAAAATGAACGTAAGCCGCAAGTCACTGAGGATATATTCAAATGAAAGCACAGCATGCCTGTCAGAGTAGGGACAAATGAAAGCCACAAGGGCAATTGGCAGAAACAAATACCAGGGAGCGTCTGAGCCATATGCATGTCGCCTGCTGGGTACTTACCGCTGAACATGGCATATAACAAATGCCCTATCAGAACAGACTGTAATTGAGGGAAAAGGAAATAGAAGAACATATTAATATCTCACTGGAAGAAGCCAGATCACCACTAAGGCATGCTGCAGGAGGAAGTCTGACCTGAGACTTCAGCTCCATCAAGGTGGCATCTTCTGAGATGTCAATGTCTCCCAAGTAGTGGAGGGAGACTTCTGCATGTACGTCACCAGGAGCACCTGTGAAGGACAGAGCCAGATGTCTGACAGGGGCTTTCAATGTATCTACTTCATATTTCTGAAATACGTGCCATGTTTGGATATCCTAAATAGTTTCAGTACAATTCTGTCCAAGAAACTCGTAATCTGAATTCCTCGAATTAGCTCCCTCCCGACTTCAGAAGGGAGGAAGCTCCGCCTGGTAAATCAGCAGGCAGGGAGCATGCTGTTGGCACAAACCATGGTTTTCTCACTATAATTGGTTTGAGGAATTTTACACCTGTGCTGTGCACATAGAACGCTCTTTTCCATACGCTCTCCTTCCTCAAAGAGGACTTTGCTGGTGGGATACTCTGTCCTTATTCTTTATATTACCTTTCTGTTTCTTTTTCTCATAACGCTTATCCCAACTTGTTACTCTTTTGTGTGTGTGCGTATATGCTTTGTTTTTTTTCTTGGTGAGGAAGATGGTCCTTGAGCTAACACCCATTGCCAATCATCATCTTTTTGCCTGAGGAAGATTGTCCCTAAGCCGACATCTGTGCCAATCTTCCTCTACTTTGTATGTGGGATACTGCCACAGCATGGCTTGATGAGCTGTGTATAGTTTTGTGGTCAGGATCCGAACCTGTGAACCCTGGGCTGCCAAAATGGAGTATGTGAACTTAAGCCCTACACCACTGGGCCAGCCCCATATGTGTATTTTTTTTCCCTAATCTGTCTCCCCCAAAGAACATGATTTTCAAGAGAGGGCAGGCCATCTAGCTTGTTCATCTCTCCAGGGCCTGGTATAGTGGGTGCCACACAGAAAATGTTTATGGACTGAAGGAATCCTTGACAGTAAGAAGGCCTTTCTATATTTGCTTAAAAAGGAGAAAAACAGAATGCTCTCTCACCTAAAACTCTGGATTATAAAACATGGTAACTAAATTCAAAATTCAGAATAATTTCACTCATTTTTGCTCTAATTAAATGTCTTCGTTTATTGCTGGGCATATTGCTAATACATAATAGGAAATTAGATTATAAGCAAATTAAGTGAAAAGGCTCTCTTCAGGAGAGGTTCTTCCTGTGTCTTAAGGACACTCCAAGCTATTAGACACTTTCAGGAAACTCTCAGGAACGAAAAATGTTTCTCATATGTTGTGATAACAGAAGGATTACCAAAAAATGAACCTGTTTTTTTACATTCATGGAGAAACACACTCATTAAACACGCTTTTGAAGTTTGTATCCAACTCTACATGTAATTATTCTATCAAAGCAGTTTTAGAATTAGTTAAATCTAATATAATACAACTGAAAAATAACAATGCCAATTTCATAGCTAATTCAACACAGAATATTTTATTGCTCTCCACATATAACCCTAACTTCAAAGAGTAAGGAGGTGAGAATTTGACTTGTTTATATTAATTTCAGTACTGAGGTTTGAAAGATAAAAAGAAATGTAAATATATGATATAATACTTCCAGAAACTAAAAAAAAAGCTAAAGAATTAAGTAAAGCATGATAAAAAGAAAAAAAATTGGTCCTACTAAAAATATATTCTCTTTATAGTTACAAAGGAGATTAATTTGCGTTTCTTTAAATAACGAAGTGGAAATCCACTTTTTACAGTGGCAATTCAAAGTCACTGCTAGTGACTTCTTGCTCATCACAATGTGTGTGCTGCATTTCGTCTGTGGAGAAGCAACTCAGACTAAAACAATATGTTTACACTCTGCGTCTCTTCTCAGAAGTCGCTGAGATGCGGGGGACGCCCTTGAAGCGGTTCCTGGGGATGTGGTGGCAGCGGCAGAGAGAACGGGAGCTGTGCAGGGTATGGACTCTAGCCCCGCCTCTCTGCCCTGGGGGCTGCAGTGAAGTCACTGTCAATGATTTAAGCCGTGGTATGGTAGTTTATTGTAATCAGCGGGGCTGCTATTCTGTTGTCATGTGGCTTTTCAGAGACGATATATAAAAATTCCTTTAAAAAATTTAATATATTAATATAATATAGATAAATATAGTCACAGTACTTTATAGAGGTTACAAAGCACTGGTTAAAAATAGATGGTGAGGGGCCGGCCCCGTGGCCAAGTGGTTAAGTTCGCACACTCTGCTTCGGCGGCCCAGGGTTTTGCCAGTTTGGATCCTGGGGACAGACATGGCACCGCTCATCAGGCCACGCTGAGGCGGCATCCCACATGCCACAACTAGAAGGACCCACAACTAAAAATACACAACTGTGTACTGGGGTGCTTTGGGGAGAAAAAGGAAAAATACACTCTTTAAAAAAAAAAAATAGATGGTGTTATTATGATGGAATGACTTATGGAATAAATAGGTTTTGATTTTCAAACTTACGTCTTTTAAAATATATATTTCAGTTGCCTTCAGAGCAGAAGCATTTTACTTTTCTTTATGACCCGTTGGCTACTGCAATTCTGTTCTGTTCTCACCTTGGGCGGAAATAGCTCTCCAGATCCCACCTTGAGAAGGGGTACAGTTCCTCCGGTCCTGATGACTCTTCCAGTGACCCGAGGGATGCTGAGGCTGGTACCACCAGATGGGCACCGTCAGGAAACCCTGAAGAATGGAGCATGTCTAACTGCTGTGATACACACAGATTAAGTGAACTTCCACTTCCACTTCCATAGAGAGAAACATCTTGACAACAGGAAATGTTTCTGAATTTATTATTTTTCCTTTTAGATGTACTAATTGCCATATATTACACTTGTTTATTGTTTTTACAATCAAAAGTTTAAAATCATAAAAATCAGTCTTTGGGATGACTGGGACTAAATGTTCTTTGTTTAGAAGTATCTTAGTAGCTCCAATAAATGAAAAATACGAACAAAGTAACAAAATATCTGACAGAACAAGCTATACAAATCTTTCCAGGTTCTGTAAGAGCACCACCTGCACGTGCCACTTACAAGCAGTTTCCATTGATCAAATTCCTGAAAGAACTTTACAGAGAAGCAACAACCTGCTGAGCTCAGCTGGATTCCTGTAGACAAACTACATGAATAAGCCTCTTTCCTTAAACAGATCTGTGTAATTTCAGTTTTACTAACTTAACAGGTTCTTCCCCACCCCTTTTTTTCAGTTAGTAAAGAAGCTGTAAAAGATTTATTAAAGGATGAAAGATGTTGTTGTCACAGTGCTCAGTTTCCAACAGTAGAAGATGAGAAGGTAAAAAAAAAAAAAGAAAAATATTTAAAATATATAATTCAAGAAATGAGTATTAAAATGAGATTTCTCCTTTTTATCCAATTGGTGAAGATCAACAAATACTCAACCTCTATTTAATTGAATAAATAAATATAAATCAGAACAATAAAATTCTACTTTTTCACCTATCAGTCTGTCAAAAACTAGAAAGTCTAATAATATTCTATATTGGTAAAAATACAAGTAAACTTGAACTCTCATAAATTGGTGGCAGGAGTATAAACTGCTGCAAAGTGTTTGGAGAGTAATTTGGCACTCTCAAAATTTAACATGCCCAAGCCCTCTGACCCAGCCACTCCACGGTTGGGAATTCACCTTCTGATACCCTAGCCCAAACATGCAAAGCCATAGATGCAAGGACAGTTACTGCGAGTTGTTTATGGCTAATACGTAGCAAAACCCTGAACCAATCTAAAGGTCTCTCTGTAGAAGACTGGTTACATTATGGTCTGCCATAACTTTTGACAAAGCAATTTCAGCTCTAGGAATTTATCCTGTAGATATATACATGCAAAACAGCACATACATGATATTTTTTGCAGTGTTATTTTCTATCAACAAAAGACTGGAAACAACCTAAGTCTTCTCTGGAAAGGGACTGGTTAAATAAATTATGGTACCTCCATACAATGGAATATTACATAGCCATCAAAGAGAATGAGATACCTTTATGCGTGCTGATACAGTATATATATGGAGATAAAATATTAATGAAAAAACTTAGCTACAGAATAGGGTGTCTAGCACATAATCTTTTGTATAAATAAAAAGAAAAAATATGCGTATATATATATATGCATATGTATATATATGTGCTACATATGTAGACACACATCCATGTGAGAGCGTGTGTGTCTACATTAAAAAGCACAGAACTCTGGAAGGAAAGAGAGGAAGCTGGCTGCCTGTGGAGGGAGGACACCGAGTGGCTCGGAGACGGGAGGGACACTACTTCCTGGCCCAGCTTTGTATACACTTTGAATTTTGTATCACGAGTACCACCAATTCAAAAATTAACTTTAAAGAGCATGGTAGAAAACACAATAGAATTCTATGAAGTCATGGAAAAGAATAAGGTAGGTCTGTTTGTGTTTACATGAGGAGATCCTCAAGAGATATTAAGTGAATAAAAACAAACAAAAAAACAACAAGAGGTGTAAAACAATGTATAGAATATGATCCCCTTTATGCAAACTTTAAAAAGGATATGCACATATTTACAGTCAACATATAAATAGGCATAATTTTTTTCTTGGAAGGGTATATAAGGAAAAACAAGTTAGTTGTGATTCTTTCTTGGGAGAAAGCTATGGGAGAAATTTTTGTTGTTCATTCATAGCCTTCTGCTGTTTCAATTTTCCATTCATCAGCAAATGGTTATCTGAGTGCTGGAATTTTGGGTCATTTTTTGGTTTTCATCTTTACACCTATCTACATTAAAAAAACCCTATAATAATGGTTTTAAAAAGTGATAATAAGCAGTGTTTATGAAAGCAGTGAAATGAGCCCTCTCAGTTACTGCTGCTAGGACTGTAAATTTGGTACAATTCTTTGGGAAAACAATTTGTCAATACACAGCAGAGAGTCTTGAAAAAGTTCATACCCTTTGACTTGTTAATTCCATGTTTAGAACTATCTTAAGGATTTATATTTAAGTACTATTTGTAAGAACAAAAAATGTAAAACAAGCTAAACTTCCAATAATGGGGCTATAGGTGAAGCAAACTGTGGTAAGTCATACATTGGATGTAATGACTTTGGATTTTATGGTCAGGTTAAAAAATTAAATATAAAGGGTAGGAAATAAAATTGCACATATAACTGATTTTATAGGAAGGAAATATATAAAGCTGTAAAATATGGGAGCTGTCTGACTGGTAGGATCTTGAGTTAAGTTCTCTATTCTCTGTATGATTGTCTGTATTTGCCCATTTTCACACAATGAGAATATATCGTCTTTGTAATCAGAAAACAGTAACTGTTATCTACAAAATGTCTGATTAGAAGCAAAATCTTACCAGAGGAGGAAGTTTTCCTTCAATTAAAAGCAAAGTATCTCCAGAACATATCGTAAGCTCTTTCAGTGTTGCATCCTGGGAAAACAAATTCCTTTTTGTCACTTATGACTTCTGAAAGGGACAAACAGACCACTGGATCTTTTTTTTTAAACCCTATGCCTCTACTACCCTTTCAAGAAACAAATAAAGGAATAATAAAGCAGATATTGAAGAGACAGGAAATAAGCTAAGACTATAAAACAGTAAATCATTATGTATTAAATTATGGGGTATGAACCGTAAGTATCATAAAAGGTTAGAGGAAGGGAGATGGGTGAGGTGAGAAATGATGAGAGATGGATTTACATAAGATGAAATCTTAGGTGAGCCTAAAAGGATGGGCTGGATTTGGAAAGCCAGAGGAAAGCCAGAGGAAAGCCAGAGGAAGCGGAATGAGTCTCTCATGGAACGAACAGGGAGAGTCACGGTTAAGTCAAGAATAAGTATGGCTTGTTCTGGGGACGAGCAAAGAGCTAGAGTGATTAGGGTGGGGAGCAGCAGTTGGAGAGTAACAGGAAAGAAAACTGGATTGGAAGGGTGGTCACGGATTGAAGGGATGTGGAATAGAAAAAAAGGGGTTTTCAGCGGCTTTGAAAAAAGCCACTCAAGACTTCTGAGAAGGCTTTTTTTTTTTTAAAGATTGGCACCTGAGCTAACAACTATTGCCAATCTTTTTTTTCTTTCTGCTTTTTCCTCCCCAAATCCTCCCAGTACATAGTTGTATACTTTAGTTGTGGGTCCTTCTGGTTGTGGCATGTGGGGCGCCACCCCAGCATGGCCTGAGGGGCAGTGCCATGTCCACAGCCAGGATCCAAACCAGTGAAACCCTGAGCTGCTGAAGCAGAACACGCGAACTTAACCACTGGGCCACGGGGCCGGCCCCTAAGAAGGGGTTTTTAAAGATCAATCTGGCTGCTATATGCGTAACACAGCAAAGAGAGGAACACCTGAGCTGAGGGAAGCCAGCTGCAGTAATTTAGGTGAGGCAAAAAAAAAAAAAAAGGTTTGAACCAGGAGGCCAGCAGCGGGAATGGTTAGCAGAGGAGTGGAAAAACCGACAGGCCTTGGAAGGCCGAAACCAAATATAAGAGATGGCAGGTAAGCAGTGTAAGCCCCATTTCAGGCTGCAAAAGATCAGGATGGGAAAGACAGCAAAATCTGGGAAGAGGAGTCAGTTTTGAGGGTAATGAGTTTGCTCTTAGGGGAACAGTTTGATACCGACGGGGGAATTAATAGAGAAAAAACTGCAGAAACCATTTGACTAGACAGACTCTTCTGACATCCAAACTGTATGTCCTGAAGATTCTTCGAGGTCCACTTCTTACTCTGGACAGTCAAATTCCTGCCCAAGGCTCAGGAGGGGCCTCTCTATATTGCAACTGACTGCTATGCAGCAGAGTGTCCCAGGGGAAGGCCCCACGACACCCGCTTCAATCAACCTCTGCTGATGTTCAATGCCACTGTCTATTACTGAACAGAAAGCAGGCAGATAAAGAGGGGAGAAGTGGGCTGCTGACAACAACTGTCTAAGCCTTCTCTCAAAGCTTCATTTGGGGTCTACTTCTAAGGCCATGGGTTTGGACTGGGGTGTTTGACGCTATTTGGATCAACAAGAAGACTAACCAGATTCCACCTCTCCTGTGATAAAACTGTGCCTAAGGCTACCCTAAGAGTTTGGCTGGATCCAGAGATGTAGTCTGCATCAGAGCCTAAGTGACTGGTTGGTAAGATGAATTCTGCCATCATTAACTTACAGAGAATTCTGAGATTAAAACATTGAGGTTTCAAAATTCAGTGTATCTGCAAATTCTTTCATTAGTTCAGATGTCTTCTGTTCTTTGAAGTTCTCCGTCTCCTAATGAGAACTACTATTCCTAGGGACACACTCTCTCATCAAAAGAGGACTTAACACAAATGTTACAGACACCCCACTTCGCCAGACTTTCCCTGACTCTACGAGAAAACTATAGTAAAAAGTGAAAGTAAACCCATAGATAGATTTTGGTATCATAAAAAAAACCTGAAGCTTTTTCTAGAATTTATTCACATGAGTGGGGTAGGTATCCTGTATGAAAATACAAAATAAACACAACCATTTTTAAGAATAAAATGTATAGAAATACTCTTACTTCGTCACATAAAGGCTCCCCAGCTTCATAGCACCAATCCATTTTTCGTAAATGCCATGCGTCTCCTATGAAGGAATCAAAATCAAGATGAAAAAAATTCAGAAGAATATGTTTTAAGATTTTGTCTGGAATATCAAATGGGGTTTGACCTAATAATTATTAACTAATTTTTCAACTAAATTATCTCTCCAAGAGCATGAAAAAAATTAAGTTGTTTCCCCAATTTGGTTAATTTCCTCTCTTCCATCAAGAATTGTATATTTGCAAATAAAAGTAACATTTGCTACTATTATAATTTCTACATTATACCTTTATTATTTACATGTACATGTAAAATATGTATAAATCATATGTATAAATCATACATGAGTACAAGTACATGTACATATACTCATAAGCATAGATTCCCTTCTAAAATCATTATGGAGTTGAGTTTTATTTCACTGTCTTGGCTGAAAGTACCTGCTAACATCACTCAGCAACTGATGACGTGTACAACAAAACTGTTCCTATTCAATTAGCAGTTAAGCTAACAAAAAACAGTGCTTTTGGAATAGCATTTTAATGTAGTATAAGTGAACATTTATAAATGTTAAATAGTTTTTAATTAGATTTCTAGTTTTTCAGCACACTTCCTACACTGATGAAATGAGAATTTTTTTGTGGAGGAGGAGATGAGCGGAGCAAAAGTTAGAAACCCTGGTTATTAAAAAAACATAGCAATGTCTTATAAACAGTCAACTGCTCCACCCACCAAAAGAAGCTACGGCCAAAGGAACAGATCTCACATTTATCCTGTACAGGCCACAGGTTTTGAATCCCAATACTGTTCTTTACAAACCTTCTTTTGTCATTAGTTCTAGTTTTAAATGCAGTAAGAGTTATCCCAATGTTTAACTTAATCTAAGTACATTAAAAAAAAGAAAACACCAGTAAGTTAAAACTGAACACCACTACTTCATAGCACAGCATGGTGGAAAGAACTCGGGTTCTGAAATCAGAGAGACGTGGCTTTGCTGTATGATGGATACAGGAACGTATAAATGTACAGCTGGCTCTGGCTGAGCCTCTAAACATTTGCAGCCTGTCTTGTCATCTGTAAAATGGGGCCAGGTGATGACCCCTGCAGGGAGGACTGTCGTGGAGATGAAACGACATGCTGCCCTAAGCTCCTAGAAGAGTGACCCAGAGCGTGTTCACTGCCCTTTCAGATAACGGAGCCACAGGCTTCCAGGTGAACGAAGCCTGAGAATGGCAAAGTGCTCCAAAGAAAGCAGTGAGACGCCTCAGCAAGCTCAGTGACATGATTCCGTCTGTGTGGCCACTTCAAGACATTCTGGATTTATTTTTTTCATTCATATTACATTCCCTAATCTATAATATAGAAATACTGGCGTGAAACACAGTCCGCTGAAATTCTGAATCAATGAGGTTAAACAAGAAAATGAACCAGTGAAAGACCTGGGTAATTCCAGAGGGCATAAACTCTGCGTCCTCTGCCCTTTCGTTGGGTCCTACCCAGGGTCTCTCTCCCAAGTGGCAGGCTAACCTACAACTAGTTTTCTTTTTAGCTCACCAAGAAGAACCGCAAGAACCCATTACAAACATATAGAAATGTAAAGTGCAACTGACTACCCTGGAGAAAAAAAAGTCTGAAATTTTTATTAGGTTTATAGATTATTTATTAGAAGGAAAGGAAGTGGATAAGATTATGCATCATTATGGTCTGTACTTACCTAGTAGGCCAGATTTCTCCAGCATTATCTTTAAACACTGTAAAAAAAAAAAAAATGTTCACTTGTTTTCTGTTTCAGAGTTACAGTATTGAGAGAAACACCCATTTTGGATCCTGGGCCTATATGAGTCTGATTACATTTAATAATTGTCAAATAGATAAGCATAGTTACCCATAATTAAGAGGGTGATTAAGTCAGCTCTCCTTCCTAAGAGCTAGGTGGGGCCAACTCAGGAGGGGAAAACAGTTCCGGCGTTTGCAACCAGAACTTCGTCCCAGTTTGTTCACCCGCTTCCATGTCGGCAGCATGACTCCCTACTGAGGACCCATCGTATTGCTGACCAGACATGGTTAATGAGGCTGATCTCAGAGACACACATCACACTCTGAATCCTGTAAAAGGAGAGTAGCCCTTACTTAGCACCCAGGAGACAGAACTGGTCACATATAAACTCACGAGGAAAGACCTGGGCAAGCTGTTATCTCAGGGCACAATGCAACAAATGAGAGATGATCAACACAAGTCTACATAAAACAGTAATTAAAAACTCCCAACTTCTTGAGGGGAAAAAAATTCTTAAATAAGTCTAGGACAAAAGAGTAAATACAATTTGATTTATACTATACTAGAGCAGAAGGGAGCAAGAATTAGGATGATCACTGCTGTACTGCTTAGAATAAGAGAAAAATGTAAACCACCAAGGTATCCACTAACAGGGGAACAATAAACCATGAAAGGTCTTAAAACAATTAAAAGGATAAAATCGATTTAATATGTACTGGTCTTAAAAATATTGTAAGTGGAACAAAGTTCTAGCATAACACATGCAGCATGAGCCCATTATGATTTCAAAGAAACCACACAAACAAGTCCAGCTCTTCATTTGCGTACGTAGGTACACATCCGCAAGCTGGCATACGCAAGGCAAAGGTACGGAAGGACGCACGCTGTGCCGATGTGGGTAAGAGTCTATCATCCTGTGACAGTAGTGACTTCTGGGGAAGGGAAGGGAATGCGCTGGTGACCAAAGGGGACTTTTAGCCCCTCATGAAGTTTAAAAACTAAGAATAAATCCACAATTACTTGTATGATTAAAAATAAAAAAGACTTTAAAATATAACTAAAGATAGTTTAGAAAATGATGACAATGAGAACACAATACATTAAAACATAGGGAATAGGATCACAGCCATATTCAAAGAAAACTGCAGTCTTAAAGGCTTCCACTATTTAAGGAAAACAAAGGATGGAGCATTGCACTTGACTGTGAACTAGGCAGAGAAAACAGCCAGTGTAAGGGCCTGTTTGAGGAACAGCACGGAGGCCAATGTGGCTGGAGTAGAGTGAAAGGCAAGAGGAGCTGGAGGTTTTTCAAAACAAGATAGCAGAGGGCCAGATCCCACAGGGCCTTGCAGGGTCACTCAGGGCTGCTGGCTCTCACTCTGAGTGAGATGAGAAAGCACAGGAGGGTGGTGGTGAGTTGAGGGTGACGATCTGACTTACACCTCAAAGGATCACTCAACTTTGTAAGAACAGGTCCTGGGAGGGCCAGGCTGGAAGAAAGGAGATCAGTTAGGAAGCTGCTGGAATAATACAGAAGAGAGATGACCAGGGTGACAGCAATGGAAGGAATAAAGTGTGGTCAGATCCTTGATAAATCTTGATGGTAGAACCAAAAGGATTTGCTGAAAAACTGGATGTGAAGTAAGAAAGAAAAGAATCAAGGATGACTCGGAGGTTTTTGGGCTAAGTAAGTAGAAAAATGGAGCCACCATAACTGAAGAAGACAATGTGAGTGAAGTCCGTATGAGAGAGAAAATCAGGGGTTCCATCGTGGGTGTGTTATCATTTGAGATGACTATCAGACAACCAAGTAGCAGCTGGATATGCAGGTATGGAGTTCTGGGGGGAGGTCCAGTCTAAGAAGTGAGCACAAAGGTGCTCATGGGGTAGAGAGAAGAGGAAACAGCAAACTGAGGTGCTCATGGGGCACAGCAACATGGAGTCCACTGATGGCCTTGACGAGAGGTGGTTCAGGACTGTGGCAAGGACAAGCCAGCTTACAACGGGTTCGAGAGAGAACAGAAAGACATACACATCACTCCTTTGAAAAGTTCTGTGCTGTTTTCTTTGAAATTAAAACACACTAAAGTTAAAAGGTAAATGAAAAACTGGGAAAATATTTAGTACTCATCTCTAAAAGATAAAGATTCTTCTAAAAAACATAACCCTAAAACCGTAACATCTAAAAAAATTAAGAATTCCTTAATAATAAATATCCAGTCAGTGTTCAAATTTCCCTACTTTCTCTTAAACTATTACTAAAGTTCTTTTGGTTTGAATCAAGGGCCAAATCAAGTCCATCCATTGCACCTGCTTGCTATTTCTCCTAAGCCTCTTTTAACCTTCAGGCTTCCTCATTCTGCAACTGATTTCTTGAAGAGGAGTTCTCCACTTCGAGATTGTGCTGATGCAGGCCTGTGGTGCATCTAACACATCCCTCTGTCCGCTGTACTGATAACCTGGTACTCAAACCTAGAGGCCTCATCAGACTCAGGTCCAGTTTGGGTTTTTTTGGCAAGAAGAGCATGGGTATCGTTTCGAACTTCTACAATGTCTGGCTGTTGCTGTTTTTGGGTTGTCAGCAGTCTTTCAGGATCATTGCCTAGATCCATTAAGGCATTAGGAGTTGAAAAACTGTGATATGTCTAAGAAAAACCCTTCTCATTATCTATTTGGTTACCCTGTGGTATAGACTGCAAAAGAAAAACAAGATAAATGTTGATTCTTTCCTTGCTGCTTCCTTAGCACCCACTATAGGTAACTTTTAGGATCATTATGAACTCACAGATTTTATGTATGCATACCAATCAATTTTCCTTGTTATTCCAACTGAGGTTCAAAGTGTCTCATCTTTGACTAGCGGGAGCCTCTTCAAACTGGCTCCTGAGTCTCTGTCAACCCCAGTGATCTTTGCTAGTTTCACTGCCTTCTGTTCTGACAAGACGTTCTAGGCTCATCTTATGCTTTCCTGACCTAGATACAGAATCAGCCATTACTCCAAGAAACCCTGTTGCCTTCTAGTAGCAAACGGTTATTTAGTGATCACAATCTGGGTGCTGGGGTGCTTACTACTACCAGGTTGGTGGTTGTTCCTGTTTCAGAGGACAGAGCTAGAAAAAGAATTTTTTTAAGAAAAAATACGTCAAGTCCATTCTGATCCTCCTAATTCAAATTCAGGAGTACAGGCTTTACTTAACCACGCTGATGTTATCTGTTTCTCCATTTTCCAACATGAAAGCCCCAGTGCTCAATGACACCAACATAATTGTTTGCTTTATCACATACACACAAACATTTATACCTATGTGTGTGATTATGTGTGTATATAAAGTAAAAACACCAGAAGGAAATATACCAAAATGTTAATATTAGTGAGATAAGGGATTATGAGTGGTTTTAATTTTTTCTTTTGATCCATTTCTATATACCCCAAATTTCTACATAAACCAGTATCACTGATGATCAGAAAATAATAGTAATCTTTTAAAAAAATTCCAGTTGGTTCACCAATTTTCAAACTCCCAAAACTACTCTTTTAGTGAGTACACGGAATTCTTTAAAGGGTGTTATGCAAACCCCAGCCTTAGGACCTCAAAATCCTAACACAGGTTACCACTGCTCCTCATACCAAACACCTACAGACCTCTCCCCCCAAAAAGTAAAATTACTCACATCTCTCACAGATAGCGTTTCTTCTACTATGATCTCCATCTCTGTCCCAGGCTGAACATCACTCCCCACGGCAAAAAACAGGAACAGCTAACATCGAGACAGAAGTATGAATACAATTTAATCTGAACTTTAAAATTCTATAAATGTATTACTTCCAAAAAAGAAAAATCTCAAATTATGTAAAAACAAGACTACACTGAGTAATTTAAGGTTACAATTTAAACAACAATCTCCACTACCTAGAAATGTAAGGTGCTGCATTACCAATATTTTCACTCCTCATAAACCTCTCTCACAGATATTACTGATTCTCCTATGATCTCCATCTCTTTCTCAGTCACTCCTCAGAGGGACTGGCATTGACTGTGTTTTTTACTCTGAGCCATTTGGTTGTGATCTTAGTCTCTGTCCAGGGATTCCATAGACTGCAACTCCCAAGACCCCACGGGAAAACTGTCAATCTGATCTCTTGTCAATTCAGTTCCTTACAGCCCTACTTTTCCTTTCTAAGTCAGCCTCCTCTTGTCATGTTTTTTCTCCTGTTAGCTTGTCGTGCTTTATTTGCTAGAGTTCAGGGGAAGAACAAATTAAAGGGGAGGTAGCTGGGAAACTAATGAAAGTGGATCCAGGAACCATGGGGATCCTGATCTGAGTCCACCTTACCTGATAAACAGTCTTAACAGTAAGGACATCATTATGACTTTTGGACTGTAATAAGAGTTTACTAAATAGGTAAGGCTTCTGGCAAAGGTCAACCCGATGGTACTTTATACAGAAAGTGAATATGGATAGAGACAAAGCTGTTGTGAGCCTGTTAAATTATTGCAGAGAGTCATTAAGTCCAAAATCAACATACTGTATTTCATTAAACCTGAAATGCTGCTGGTTGTTACTCATGATTTTATGTACTAGTAGGTAAGAAAAAACAGTGCCAGCTGCAACTGCCGGGTGCCACTGACTGTAAGATGCAGCCCAATCTCACAGACGCTAAAATGTGGGAGGCAAAAAGGGTGCATTTTAGAACTTATGAAGTATGGTGGTTCAAACTGGTGGCCACCCAACTTCAAAGATCTCCCTTCACCACCAAATTTTCACAGCAAAAGAACCTTATGAATATGCTCTGACATAATATTTTTTATTTAAACACAGAGAACTATACGGGTGTATTCCTAAAATAAAAGGTATCATTTAAGGAAAAGAGAAATTGTAAGCAAGACTATTACTGCAGTAGTGAAGGCAGACACGAGACACTAAGAGCCCCGACTGGAGGAAGGCTGGCGCCGCTCCAGGCAACCTCACGCTACCTGGGAGGAAGTCGGTGCCCTTCCAGGACACAGCCCCAGGGAACTCCCCATCTTCAGTCCTGCTTCCTTCAAAGTATAATTGTCTGGGACTGTAAAGAATTTTAATAACATGATGAATATTGTTCATTTCTACCCCTCTGGGAAAAATAATATACTGAATCAGTCTTTCTTTGAAAGTCAAGAATGTCAAGAAACAAAGAAGAACAGGATGCAGCAGCACTCCATGCAAAAGGATTACATGTATTACAGTTACGTTGATTTTTCAATTTCCACACTCTAGAATATATTATTCTTGTTATCTGTACAAAAACGCTAAGAAATAAGAGGCAATTAAGAATGTTCCAGATTCATACTTAATAAAAATCAAAGAGCTGTTGTTTACACAGATTAAAAGCTAGATATTCTGAATCGATTCATGAATGATGGACTAGCTTCTTCCAAGTTTAAAGCTGCTTTGGTGGCTACCACCAATAATCAGACTAAGTGAAGTCTGATGACAAGATGCATTCCAGAGGTGAGAACAAAGACTCTATTCCATAACCAGTGCCAAAATAAAATTAGCAAAACACATAAAAAACTTTGACAATAAATCTGGAAAGATATAACTAGCTCAAAACTATGACTAAAATGAGCATCAGCTAATCAGAAAGATAGGTATTTTACTTTAGAAAACAGAAGCGTTTGAATTTTCGGTTAAGATTTTCTTTAATACACGGGAAGATATCTGGATGACAATATGTCCTATAAATCAGTTTCTAAAAGGTAATTTAAGAATATTAGATATTGGAAGCCATTATTTAAAGCAAAAGTGTTAAGAAAGACAGATGGCATGAATATGTGTCAGCTTTTGAAGGCTAGCAAAAAGGTTTACCTGGACAAAGCAGCTTCCCGTTTCTATCAATAGGTCTCAAACAGCTGTTCTCAGCTATAAATAAAAGGAAGCTGGTTAGTGCCCCAAACAAAGAAAACTAAGGAGAGATGCTCTACTGGGTGAATTAGCAGGAATTTACAAATAAGCTAAACAAACCCCAACAACCAAAAAAATAAGTACGGGCAGGCTTCAATTTGCACAGTAGTGCAGGGGTGTGAAAGTGCCTGTGCAAGCAGAAACGTGCAAAGCAATCTTAGTAACAGTGAGGAAAGTTACAATTGTTCTGTGACCTTTAAAAACTTTTGTCAAAACATTCAAAACTTCGTTATACATGTATAGTAAAATGAAAGAAATAGCAAAACCAATATTCACATTGTAACTTAAAACACCAGAAACACTGAGAATTAAAATGTTTTATTTCTTTGAAAAAAGATATCGAAAATAGTTAAACAGGGCTTGTTTTCTTCTTCTCACTGCATGGCTCACAATGTGGAGTGAGCATCTTTTCTACCCCAGGCAAACTGTCACACTCTAAGCTGGGGTCAGCTCCCGGTGTTTTATATTCTGTGCTTCAGTGTCATGGACTGTCTCCCAGAACGCCTCTAATGTGAGCTTTTTTGCTGGAGTCAGTTCCTCTGGGATATCTTCATCTTTTTCGTCACAAGCACTTTCCTCACTTTATCAATAAGCTCACGTTCATTAAGCGCCTCTGGCTGCATACCTAAAGTCTCTTGAACAACAGCAGTGTCAACATTCCCATGGTCAGCTATGTCTTCTATAACTCCATATACTTTTGCTTCTTTGCTGCACTTTCATCTTTATTGGCCAATTCAATTATCCATTCTTGTGAACTGTCATGTGGATTTACTACTGGAGACAAGGATGCAATAAACCATACACTTTGCTATCTGTGTGGTGAAATTAGTAACAGATAAGCAGTGACCAAGCACTGACAGACTTGAAAGAGTGAAGTCCTTGGTCACTAATCATGATGCACACCTGCTATTGATGTCGTGACTGGTGAACTGAAGAGCTAGTAGCAAAATCTGTAGTTTATGCAATTACTCAGTTAATATCTCCAGTGGTAAATGGAATGTGAACCATACCGCTGGGTAACTGATGTTACATAATGCACTGTGGGAACTGAAATTCATGCACATTGGAACTGTACAGAGACTGCCCATATTTAAAAGACGTTCAGTGCTTTGTTAATGCTTTTTAAATGGATTAGGGCCAGTGTGCCCTATTTTTGAGGATGCAAAAATGCCTACTTTATGGGAAGGAGGACACCAGGTTTTTAGTCCAATCAGAATTCTTACAGAGTTAGACATGAAGTGCAGGGTTGGAGGGGTGGAACCTTCTGAGAGGGCAAGAAGGGCATGGGCCTACGGAGGTCTAACTTTTAAGACCATGGCAGAATCTCCTGAGATTCCTGAGTTCTGTATCTTATAGTAATGTGAAGCTAGCATGTAATTCTAACACAGATTTCTTGACAACTGAAACAACTCATGAAAAGAGTTCTCCAATTTACAAACTGCTTTTTAAATACTGTTTCCTTAAATTTTTTCACTTCCACAAACACCATGTATCTTCTATGTGCCAGGCACTGTTCTGGAAGCTGACAACATAGGAGTCCTTGTCTACGGGGGAAGGTGGACGTTCAGACACAAACACAGGTAGTTACAGCGTAAGTGCTACAAAGGGAGATGAGGGTGTTATGAGAGTAAAACAGAGATTAACTGACAGTGTGCGGTCAGGGAGGACAGGAGAAGTGACATTTCGGCTGAGACCACAGGAATGACTGAAATCAGGAGAGGAAGAGTAAAGGGAAGAGTTCAGAGAGGGAGGACAGCACTAGGAGCCGCAGGGGTGGAGGAGAGCTTGTGCACAGACACTCACGGGAAGTCAGCACGGGGAGTGGGCTGTGAATAAGCAGAGGAGCGGCCTGCGTGAGGTCAGTGAGGCAGCGGTCACGTGAAGCAGGTGCCTGCAGGCCAGGCCAAGGCAGGGGCCTCCGTGCAGTGGAAGAGCACTACTGGGCTTTGAGCAGAGGGGAGACACGATCTGACTCAGAGACACTGAAGATCACTTGCTACATGAAGAATGGTTTGGAGGCGAGCAAGAGCAGAAGGGAGACCTGTTGTATGAGAAGACAACCAACTATTCCTTTAAAAAACCACACACTTTTAATCAACTTGACTGAAGTGTGATTTACTTAAAATAAAACACATCCAGTTTAAGTATATAATTCAAGGGTTTGATATAAACACTTGGCAACCACCAACAAATTGAGATACATTTTGCATCACCCCCCAAAACTCTCTCGTGTCAGCCCTCTACCCCCAATCCTGACCTGCCTCTGTAACTACAGCTTAGGTTTTCTTTCTGGAAAATGTCATATCAATGGAATCTTAAGCATATGTTGTACTCTTTAGTGTCTAGCTTCTTTTCCCGGCAGAATGTCTTGAGACTCAGCCACGTTTTGCATGGGGTGGCACTGGTTTTTACTGAAGAGTAGTATCGCATTGTACGGATACACCACAGTTTGTTCATCCGTTCACCAGCTCAAGGACATCTGGATTGTTTCTGGTTTTTGCTTATGAACATTTATATAAGGTATTTGTAAGGATACTATATGTTTAAAATTATTTTTGGTAAATATCTAGGAGAATTGGTAAGTGAATGTTTAAATTCATCAGTTTGCGGCTTGCCTTTTCAAATGCCTTTCGAAGAACAGGAGTTTAAAATTTTGATGTAGTCCAATTTATTAGTTTCTTCTTTCATGGTTTGTGCTTTTTGAGTCCTATCTAAAAAAACCTTTTTCTTATGGTAAAAGTAACAAAGATTTACTCCCAGAAATTTTATAGTTTTAGGTTTTCACAATTAGGTCTATGACGCATTTTGAACTAGTCTTTCACATGATGTAAATAAGGAAAAGCTGGAGATTCATTTTTGCATCTATGAATAGAAAGTGGTCCAGCACTGCATGCTGAAAATATACTATCCTTCCTCATGGAAACACCTTGGTGCTTTTGTTGAAAGTGACTATATATGCTTGCACCTATTTATGGATTCCCAATGTAGTTCTACTGTAAATATTTTAGGCTTTAAGAACCACATATGATCTCTTACACATTCTTCTTCTTAAAATAACTCTTTAAAAATGTAAAAACTATTCTTAGCTCACTGGCTGTACAGAAAGAGGCTGTAGCCTATAGCTCTATATCTCTACTCTTATCAATGCACAGTCTTGATGCTACAACTTTTGAGTACGTCTTGAAATTACATAGTATAACTCTTTCAACTCTGTCTTTTCTTTTTTTCCAAAAATTCTTATGGATACTTTAGGTTCTTTGCATTTCCACATAAATTTAAGAATCAGCTTGCCAATTTCTACCAAAAGAAAACCATGCTAAGATTTTGAGTGAGAATGCATTGAATCTACAAATCAATTATGAGAGAATCATCCTCTTGAAAATACTGTGTCTTCCAATCCAAGAACATGATACAGTGCTCTATTTATTCAGATATTCTTCTATTTTTTTTGGTGAGGAAGATTTGCTCTGAGCTAACATCTGTGCAAATCTTCCTCTATTTTGTATGTGGGTTGCCACCACAGCATGGCTTGACAAGTGGTGTAGGTCCACACCTGGGATCTGAACCTCTGGACCCAGGCCACCAAAGTGGAGGACACCAGACTTAGCCACTATGCCATGGGGCTGGCCCCTATTCAGATCTTCTCTTATTTTTCACACCAACATTTTCTAGTCTTCAGGGTACAGGTCTTGCACATATTTTGTTAAATTTATCCCCACATATTTCATGATATTTTACACTATTATAAATGTTCTCTTAATTTTATTTTCAGGTTTTTTTCCTTGTTGTAGATAAGATAGAGTGAATTTTTGTGTACTGACTTTGAGTCCTTATTAAACTCACTTATTAATTTCAGTAGCTTCCTAGTAGAATCCTTTAGGATGCACCAACAGACAATAAGCACATCAATATGGACACCACCACTGCACTAGGGAACGCACTTAATGAGACATTAATTCATATTCACCAGAACGGCTATAATAAAAAAAGACAACTACAAATCTTGGCAAGGACGTGGAGAACCCGTATCCCTGCTACCTTGCAAGTAGGGATGAAAATGGTTCAGCGACTTTGGAAAGTAGTATGGCAGTTTCTTATAAAGTTAAGCATAAATTTGCCATATGACCTATAATTCTAATCCTATATATCTAGCCCAAAGAACTGAAAACATATGTCCACACAAAGACTTATATGCAAAGGTTTATAGCAGTAATTATTCATAAAAGCCAAAAAGAGGAAACAATCCAAACGTCCATCAAGTGGTGAACAAACAAAATGTGCTATATCCATACGGTGGAGTACCAGTCAGCAATAAAAAGGAACAAGCCACTGATACACACAACTCTGAGTGAACCTCAAAAGTGGTATAATAGTGAAAGAAGCCAGCAGAAGAGACTATACACTATTTGGTTCCATTTACTTGAAATGTCCAGAAAAGCAGGTTTATAGAGACAGAAAGTAGATGAGAGTTTGTCAGGGGCTCGGAATGCAAAAACGGCACAAGGGATCTTTGTGGAGCGACGGAAAGTTCTCAAACTAGATTGTGCTGATGGTTGTACAACTCTATACATTTACTAACAATCACTGAGTTACACTTAGAACGGGTGCTTGATGGTATGTAAATTCCACTTCAATAAAGCTGTTAAAGCAAATCTAGTGCCTAGGGAAGAGTGAGTTTGCAGAACATTATATTCAGTATGATAGAATTTATGTAAATATAAAAAGACAATATTCACATACATGTATATATGGAAGTAGAATACACAGTACAGTATGACCACACAGACCGGATACACACCCAAACCAGACAGACTGGCGGCATCTAGGGAGGGAGGCTAGGTCTGAGGAGGAGAACACAGAGGACTTCATATGTAATGTTTCAAACAAAAACAAACACATGACAATATGTTAACATTGATCCATTTTGGGTGGCAGGTGCATGAAGTTTTCTCTAAATTATTTTTGTACTCATTTTCTTCAATTAAAAATAAAAACAGAGCTAAATTAAACCAAAAGTAAACATAAATGATTACCTAGTTCCTTCATTAATTTTAATTCCTGTATGGCTTTAATTCGAATATCAAACACCACCTAAAATAGAAAAATAAACTAATGACTGTGTATAAGTTGAAAACAATGGGAAGAGAGGAAAATGAAGATTGTCAGTGTGGGCATATACAGATTATCTGAGTTATTAATTACCTGACATTTAGTAGTTTTTCCCTACTTGAAAAAAATTTTTTTTCTATCCCTGAAATTCGTTTTCTGTCTTCTACAAAGTCAAAAGCAAAAACTTACATCTTAACAGTTTTTTGGGTTTTTTTTAAAGATTTTATTTTTCCTTTTTCTCCCCGAAGCCCCCCAGTACACAGCTGCACATTCTAGTTGTAGGTCCCTCTGGCTGTGGCATGTGGGATGCCGTCCCAACATGGCTTGATGAGTGGTGCCATATCCGCGCCCAGGATTCGAACCAGCAAAACCCTGGGCCACCGAAGCAGAGTGCGTGAACCCAACCACTCGGCCATGGGGCCGGCCCCAACAGTGAAGTTTTTACCAAAGTGATGTTAACTGGAATGGAAAAGACACCTACAGAAAACTAAAGAAATAATTCTAGCTAGAAAGGCAAGTTGACAAACCACTAACCTTTCTGATGAGAGCAAACAAAAGAAAGCACAAGTAATACCATTTCCTTAGGTTAGGAATGATGACTTCAGGGCCAATGAGCGTAAGTAATATAAAAATGCACAACACTGATGCAACGGCACTATTTAAATTACTTTCAATTGTTTTCTTTTCTTTTGTTTAGGCTAATTGCCTCTAGGCATAAAATGGTGGAAATTGAGGTGTAAAAATGATGTCAGAGATCATCGACTCAACCCTCCCACCAGAGCCTCACTGTGCGCCAACAAGGAGCAGAGACTGAAGGAATCCGGACTGCACCAAAGCCTACCACTTAGGGTCAGGGCGGTAGGTCTCCTGAGCTTTAACTGGTCTTACACTGTCCCCTCTGCTACATCAACAAATACTAACGCATCTGAAGGAATTATAATATTTATAGAAAACATTCTACTAAGTTTCCTTTAACGATACAGGAAAAAAACCAAATTGAGACTACAGAAATATAAAAAGATGTTTCCTGAAATAATATTTAAGGAAATCAGTATCACAGTCTTCAAATGGAAGACTGAAGGAATCCCTTTTAAGAGCAGTTGGCTTTATAGAGAGCAAAGAGTATAATGTAGAGCAATTTAGGTTAAACTTAAAAAAAACCCACAAAAGCAAAACAAAGATACCTGTTTTAAAAATACAGATCTTTGAAAACATCATTTTATATTTATCAAAGCCAGAGGATTCCATGTACTAATTAAACAGGTAACTCTCACATTCTAATTCTAAGCTTTGGAGGAAAATGGGGGCCCATATTTTCTCGAAATATGCCAAGGGTTAATAATACAGGTAAATAGGCAATAATCAGATGTTTTAATAAGAAATTGATTTCTTAAGATTTAGCAGTCTACTGAGACAACTGTTCTGAAAGATTAACATATTGTTTTCTAAATAAAATTCTGTTAACTAAAAAACCGTCAACCAAACTTTAATTATAATCCACTCACTGTGTTAACAGTTGCTGATATTCTAACTTGCTCCTCTTCAGATTCTAATTCGCATAAATTTTTAACTTGGAGCCAGTCAATTTCATTCATACTAGTGATCCATTTCTCTTGTTTGGCCAACAAACTGTAGGCAAAAAGATGTTTAAAAAGGTTGTCTTTACACAGCACTTTTATGAATCAGAAAATTAGTACTTTTCCTTAAGCCACCATGTCTAAAATTCTCCATATGTTCCTTAATGTTACTAATTAAAGGTGACAAGTTCTACTGAGTTGGCTTTTTGAAAGCTGACTATCTTTTTATTGTAGTGTTAGGTAGTATTCTATGGAATCCATATTCATGACTCCAAATATTTTTGACCTTTACAAAGAACTTACTGCCACAATTTTCAAACAGAACTGCTGTAACTGAGCAGTAAGTTGCAGACTTCTGCCTGCAAACTGGAATCACTGGGGCAGCTGTAAAGGAGGACCCATGCCGGAAGCCCACCCACAGGCTTTACACTGATTTTACTAACAGGACAGCCACGCACAGTAGTGTGGACTGACACTGCATAAAAGTGCTACATAAGGGGCATCATTCACATCACACACATTGCATATTTGCATTTTGCGTGTGTGTGCACATGTGTGTGTGTGAGAGGAAGATTGGCCCTGAGCTAGCATCTGTTGCCAATCTTCTTTTTGCTTGAGGAAGCCAATCTTCCTATATTTTATGTGGGATGCAGCCACAGCGTGGCTTGACGAGTGGTGCTAGGTGCATGCCCGGGATCTGAACCTGCAAACCCCAGACTACCAAAGCGGAGCACATGAATTTAACCACTACGCCACTGGGCTGGCCCCTGCATATTTGTATTTTTATTATAGTTTTATTTTATGAAAGCAGATGGCAGTAGAGTGTCTTATTCTAACAAAACTTTCCTATCGGTGGTAGTAAAAGGTCTTGAGGAAGGAGTGACTTCTAACTCACGCAGAGGCACTGAATGGGCTGGCACAAGTCTTCTTTGGGAGTGTGTATCAGAGCCCTAGAACACAATTTTACTCTTGATTTCAGTTATTCCACCCTAGGACTCCACCTTAAGTTAGCAATCCTAAACTTAAGAAAGTTTTAAGCACACAGATGTTCCCTGAAGACTACCTTAAAATAGGAAAAACTGAATGAAGGTGACAATGATGATGTTGCTAGCTAAAACATCGGGCATTTACTATGTGCAAACACTTTGTAAGCACCTACCTTTTTCAATCCTTATAACTCTACGAAGCTGGTACTAATTACTATCCCCATTCTATCTAAGATGAAACTGAGCAGAAAGATGCAGTACCTTGCCCATGGTCACACTGCTAGTCAGCGATAAAGCTGGGAACAAACCGGGGCAGCTGGCTCCAGAGCCCTTGTCTGCACCCTCTACACCTACTGCCTCACAGAAGAGCAGGCAGGGAAATGACAACATCAACACAGAACACTATGTAGTCAGGAAACGAGGTTCATGAAGAGTCCACAAACTTGGGGGAAAGCAGGATATAACTATTTATCTACAAAATAAGCATTAAGTTTACAAAGAAAAAACCCTAAAACAAAAAAACAGTTATTTGAAATCAGAAAAACAGGAAAGCTAACAGTGACTGACACTGCATAGGTGGTATGGGGGTGCTGTTTGGGAGCTCCTATCTTTGCTTCTTTATTTCCCAAATCCTAATAAACGTCTATTACTTTTTATAAAGGAATACATAATATATGGTTTTTTTTCTTGTGAGGAAGATTCGCCCTGAGCTAACATCCATTGACAATCTTCCTCTATTTTTTTTGCTTGAGGAAGATTAGTGCTGAACTAACATCTGTGCCAGTCTTCCTCTACTTTGTATGTGGGATGCCTCCACAGCACGGCTGATGAGAGGAGTAGGTCCATGGCCAGCATATGAACCTGTGAACCCAGGCCGCTGAAGCAGAGCACACGGAACTTGAACCACTTGGCCACGGGGCTAGCCCCCATAATAAACTTTCAAATTAAATGAACAAGGTGGGGAAATAAATGTCTGGAAAACGCCTGTCCAAAAGAGTAGCAGTGATAAATCTAATTCAAAATATATACAGTTCACCAGTGCTCTGCTTCTCTGCGTCACAGCCACCATAAATAATGACACAGAGACTGCAATCTAAATACACCCAAAGCACTGACCACGTAGGGAACTGAGTCACCGTTCGTAACCTGAAGTCTTGAATAATGGAAATCTGGGGGTTTCCAGTGTGTGGGTATAGACACACTGACTACAGAAATGTACAGTTAACAGACATGGATACCAAATGCGGAGAGCAGCAGCACTTCTGAGCTTCAACCAGGGCTTACAGGAATCAAGGGTGTAATTCCCATGAAACAGCCCATCTGGGCAACTGGAAGGATCTCAAGAGTCATAAAAAGGATTCTAACAAAACACTGAATTGCCCTATGAGATTCTTGTGACAAAATATTCAGAGAAATTTCTCTATGATTTTAGTATCCTCATAAAAAAATTGCAGGAACTTTTTTTGTCAAAATGTGCCTTCAGTTTTATAATGAGTGCTAAGCAAAATTCACTTGATAGGATTCTGCTTTACAGCCAACTAACCTAGACTATATTTAGTCTATAACTACATTATTTACTTACATTTACCAAAAAATAATCACATTACAGTATTTTTCTCCAAGTTGCCTAACCTAGAACATTCCTATTTACAATACATAGAACACAATGTCTAGAAACAAAAAGAAGTATTTAACTCTTATCATTATTAAAATAAAGCTTTAGAGTTCTAAGAGATAATACTGTAATTAAAATATAGTCATGGTTTGCTTAACAACGAGATACGTTCTGAGAAATGCGTCACTAGGTAATTTGGTCGTGCGCACATCATAGTGGGTGCTTACACACACCTAGATGGTACAGCCTACTGCACCCCTAGGCTATATGGTACTACTCTTATGGGACCTCTATTGTATATGCAGTCTGTTGTTGACCAAAATGTCGTTACGCAGCTGGAACGTGACTATAACTTAAAAAGAACTCTCTTTTTAGCAAGTTACCTGTTATCATGATTAGAATCCCGAATTAAAATTGAGCTTCCGTTTCTGAGACCTTGTTCTCTGAATGTCTTCTTCAAGTCTACCTTGGGAATGGTGGTCCAGTTCTTTTCTCCTATAGATTCAGTATTGTTGATTAAGACAACACCTCCTGGGATTGCTAAAGATGTGAATACAGTGCCTACTTCTGCATTCGATGGGAAGACGTGTGGAAATTCTATCAACTGCTGACACTTTCCCCCTTCACTGCTCGTTGCTAGATGAAGAACATTTAAAAGCAGAGGTTCGCAGTCCCTACCAGCTGGAATCTGGATTCCACCAACCTAGAAGAATGTCAAGACATCCATTAGAATAGTTTATATTTGCCAAAATTCAGTCAGCATAATAACATAGTAAAAGACTACTCTTTAGAACAATTCTCATTTTTTTCTTTTCAAGTGAGATAAAATTTTCATAAATGTCTTTTAAATATCAGAAGAACAACTTTTCTTTTGAAATTTTCTCTTGGCCATCTTTCATTTTTTAGGAGAGAAATCTGGAGTGGACACAGAGATGTATGAGTTCTCAGTGGTGCTTGCCCCCTTCTGAATTCCCATAGGGAGTCACAGCCTGGCGCAACAGAGGTACTTAATAAATCTCTCTTTAACATATAACTAATACTGACTGAACATGAAAGTTATCGGACATTTCAGCAGTTTTCTAATATCTAATTGCCTTCACATATACTGAATAAAATTTCATTACAATGACTTAAAAAAAGATCCCAAACTATCATGAAGTACTTCTTTGATACTTTCTTACCTCCACCCCATTCCATACAAAGATGTCTTCCCCATCAGCAAGTTCAATTTCACTCAGTGTCAGGCTGTCTCCTAGGAAGATGAGATTATCAGTGAGACGTTCATCACAATCGTCGAAAACAATTTAATGAAAGAAAGAGCTCAGACACAAACATTTGTTTGAAAAAGCATTTTCATCAAGGAAAATTAAGAAGGCAGTAATTATGTTTATGATATTGCTATTGTTTCACGTTATTTTTATCTTTATGCCCTCCACCACTCTTTAGTTTTCCTTTTTTTCACTTATGTAAGCATTTCCCCACGTTGTTACATAAGCTTTGTGACCATGAAAGCAGAGAAAGAGAGTTCACATGAAGGTCATCAGTACTCGACATTGTGAATGGGAGTAAGGCTTCAGCATCAAATGGTCCTAGCCCCACCATTATTCGGCTGTTCATATCTCTGCACTTCAGTTTCCTCATTACGAAATGGGGATAGAAGAATTTTGTGAAAATCAAATGAGATAATGCACACAAAACACTTATCTCAGTATTTGGCATAGTGAAGTCCAAAATAAATGTTACTATTGCTACTGCTATTATTATTGTTTTGTTGTTATTTAAAGGAAATAAAAACTTTCAAGCTCTCGAAGTACTTTGGTTCTTTTGCTACAAAATCTGAAGCTGAGAGTGGGGTAAAAAAATCAAGCCATACAAATACGACTGAAATAGTTCTAAACCATTTGCTCAAAAATTTGCGGTAATATAAAAAAATTCCAAAGCCTTTTAAAAAATTGTTTTGGTAGTGAGGTAGCTTTAATTTCAGAAAATATAAAATATTTCCACGCTAACAAAATTTTGCATACTACATAACCTGGATACATTATAAATTGGATAAATTATTTGTTTGAAAACTGACAATGTGATGATAATCTACATAGTTAAGAAAGTTGTAGGTGGGGAAAGACTGGCAAAGAGTAGAAAATTACAAATAACCCCCCCAAAAATATAAATACGTAAAATGAGTTGCTGTGTTTTAATATTTATCTTACCATCAAGCGTCTGGTAAACGTGAAGTCCTGCTGGTAAAAGCTTTGCAACACTAAGAACCATATCTCCTTCCCAAAATTCTAACAGCTGAAGAATATTAAGGAAAGAAAAGAGAACACAGGAAAGTAACACACATATCACATTTCCAGGTTAAGTAAGAAGAGCATTGCACCAACTTACACATGGAGATGACACAGGGAGCGAGCAAATGAATACTCCCATCCCCACCCAACGCCAAAACATGGAAAGATGACATCACTCGTTGTTTAGTCGAATCCAAGGATGGCTAGATCATCCATTGGTGACGGAAGAATCTTAGCACACACAAAGAGCACATGACCATCTAAACAACTGTACTTAATTCATGGGAAGACCACTTCTATCAGAAAGCAAACTCATCAGCATGCCATCCCAGGAATCACTGCCCCAAAGCACTGCTCAGGGAAGGGCAGCACTGACTCTAGGAGACAGTAACATTCTTGTTACTTGAAAGGAATGTCTCTCACTGTAAATTTAAAAAGTGGCATTACCAGTTTATATAATAGATCACCAGGGATCTGTTCTCTGAGTTTCTAGATCCAAGACTCAGGACTGTGGGAATCTTGCCAAAATAACCTCACCCATAAAGGTCAGTCCTAGTCAGTCTCTCTCCACTATACCCTAAGATAATTCTCTTAAAAAGAAATTTCATATTTACAAGTGATGAGTTAACCGTGTCACTCACACAGCCTCTTGCCAGTGGCTTACTTCTAAGATAACGGAGATGTGCACTTCAAACACCAAAAAGCAGACCGGAGTGAACCTAAAACTTACAAAGGAGAACAGGTCTTTTGCATTTGAAACGTCACCCTAGACATGGTCAAATCTCCAAGTCCACCTTTATCAACACTGCCAGGATTGGCTCAGAAATGAACTCTTAATGCAAAAATTCAGAAATATTAGACAATTTCAGAAATCCTGATACTGATCCAACGTTTAAATATCATTCAAATCAACTAAAGTTAAAAAACAAACTGGCCTGCTTTTCTTTGTACAAGAGAAAAATCAAAAGAAAGCTAATCATTTTGATAATTGATAGTTTTTCAGAAAATTCATTTATTTCTGGGGAAAAAAAAAAGAAGCTTACATTTTCTAACTCCCTGCTCCTTGATCAGGAAGTAGTGTAGGGTGAAGAAGTGCGACCCAGAGGAAAGACCAGGGCTGGAGTCCTAGTTCTACCATTAACTAGCTGTCTGAGCAAGGGCAAGTCACTAGACCTCTTTAAATCACAATTTCTTCACCTTTAAAATGGGGTTAGCCCGCCCTCATGAGGTTAAAAGAACCAAAGGATGTAATTTATATGAAAGCACTATAAGTAAAATAATGAGCACTGCTGTGGTCATTAAAACACAGCTGAATAAATTATTTGGAGACAATGATTGAGTCGATGTTTGTTTTCACTAGAGACTAGTAGGTATTTCCCTTCACTTAGGAATCTTATTAATAAATGCTATTCTATACTGCAAGGTACAAAAATTAGCTGCTTTTATTTGTTTAGTAGTTCTCGGTTTTAGGCAACATGCTTATCTTGATCTTTTCACTCCATTTAAAATATAATTCTATTTGTTTTCCCAAAAAAGAGAACTTTATACTCTTTCTCCCCTCAAAATAAAATACAGCAGGCTTGGCTCTCCATTGGAAAACTGGGTGGCAGGGCTGTGTGAGTCTTGTCCATGCAGATAAGCCTCTCTAAAAACTTACAAGTAAGGGGACAACATTTGGGCCCTCTCTCTATGCAAGTGGCAAGTGTACGATTTTCCTAAGCAGCTTTGAAAATTAATAGTTGCATCCTGAGTAGGATATTCGAAAAGGAGAATCCAGCTTGAGATGGACCTTAATGTCTAAATTAAGAGGAAGTAAGGCTAAATTACCTGAAATATTGATTGTCGAAGGTCTCCTAAAGTTTTTCTTTTATCAAAGGTCAAATCCCACACGCTTTCTGTTTGAGAGCCTACTGGGTGCAGAGCCCCGTTGAAGAAATGATAATGAGGGCCCAGGTGGAGATGCAATTCAAAATTATTTTCTGTAGAGTCACATTCTGCCCTTTAAAGAAGCAAACAAAAAACCCAACCCATCAATGCTATGTTTTTGTAACAGGTACTGTTTCATCTCAAACCAAAATATTTGATTTTTTATAGAATAAATAAGTTTTGTATCCTACCTACGTAATTAGAATTAACATCCTTTTCTTCCATGATCCAAAATAACTCATTTTAATTTCTTAACAAATAGCAAAACTTCACCTCTGCCACTGTGAATTCCAAGGAAAAGAAATTTTTTTTTTGAGGAAAATTAGCCCTGAGCTAACATCCACCACCAATCCTCCTCTTTTTTCCTCAGGAAGATTGGCCCTGAGCTAACATCAGTATCCGTCTTCCTCTAATTTACATGACTGACACTCAAAATCTTCCAGTCCTAAGATTATATTACAGTTATGAATAAAATGCTAGAAACCTATTTCAAAAATTGTATTAAGTGCCAGATTTACAACTTCTATTTCATCCTTACTTCCAGTAACCCCACAGACTCTGCCATGAAACACTTGAAGTCGCTCTCATGAGCCTCCTGAGCCTACTCTCTGCAGGTCAAATGTCTTCAGCATCAGCCTTGCACTGGCTGCTCTTCTCTGAATCTACCTGGTGGCCTTCAGCATGGTGCCAAATGCTACTGCAGCAGCATGACAATGGAGAGCTGGATGAGACTATCGCCAGATTCAGTTACTTCAGACACAACTCTATTAATGTGGTCATTAACATTAGCTAATTAGTGGTCAAAGGTAGCATTAGCTTTTTTGATGACCGCATTAAAGAGCTTAGCGCTGGCTGACTAAAGCCCCTAAAGTCATTTTGTTTTTTTATACCAACTGATAATCAATACCACTCATGCAGGTTATTTTTTGCACATAAGATATTTTACTAAGTTTTTATCTTCTTAGTGTCTTGATTTGAGATTTCCTTTGATGTTAGTTTGCCATTCAATCTATCTGCTATTTTTTCCCCCCAGCTCCAAGTCAATGATAAAAATGTTGAACACAGCTCTGCCACGTAATCAGCCTCTTGGGTCCACAAGGAGACCATGAAAACATCCATTTCCCTAACCCAATACCACATCAACCCTGTAAGAGAGCAAATGAAGAACCAGTACTTCAGGGTCCAAGGTTAGGCCTCAAAAGAGAACGCTGAGATCATCAAGTTCCCACAAACCATCCCTTTAAGGATCCATTATAGGTTCTGCCCAAGATTGACATTAAGCTCGACAGTCTGTAGAATCCACAATTCCTTCCTTTGCTCACCTCTGGTCTGCTGTTACTACATGCCAGTTCTCCACAACTACTTAAATATGAGGGGTGATTTTCACGGCAGGCTTTCTTTGTACCAAGGGAATGACCTGACAGGCCAGGATACAATTCATTTAGTGCAACTATGTGCTCACTGATTTCTCTTGTCTTCTTAGCAATGGCCATTTATTTATGTGTCATTTCACTCACTCTCACAGATAAGGATAATTTCAAAGTAAAAGATACTCTCATTGGAAAAATTCAGCAGCTAAGCAGACACTGGCATTAACTAGTTGATTTTTTTTCTTTTTTAATTTTCATTATTGAATTCTTAAGACCTAAATTAGATCCTCAGTCTCCAGAAAAACCATTCAAACTCTAAAAGTAAGTTAAAATTACCTTTTTGTTTGCAGTTCAATGTTGGCTGCATCCATTTCACTCAGCAAATGACGTGGAACCCTGTATCTCGGATTACCTCGAGCTGTGAACAAAACTTGTCATTAACCAGCGCTGACCAAATAAAATCTGGCTGCTGAAGAGTAACATGGAAAACTGGAAAGGACCGTGCTGGGAGCTAGGAAAGCTTCCACTAACCATCTGTGTAAATACTAATTTTCTCTGGATCTCAGTTCTCCCATCTGAAAGATGAAAACATTGGAACAAATGAAAGGTAAACAGTTCTTTAAGCTAAGCTAGAAGAATTCTACTTCTTCAACTCTCTTTAAATATGCTTTTTAAAAAGAACACCCACTATTTTCTTCCTGATAACAAATGTGATCATTGGTTGCTGTAAAAATTCTGGAACGTATTTTTTAAAATGTAGAAGAAACAGATATTACCTGCAATCCCACTCCCAAGAGAAAATGTTAAAATTTGGTCTCTGCCTCTGGCCTTTTTTCTATACACACACTGTTATTTAAAGCACCTGGGATAGGATTCAACAAATTGGTAACTTGCTTTTTCATTTCCTACATTGTGAGCATTTTTCCAAACTCTTAAATGATTACATAGCAGTCCATTCTATAAACAGCATAATTAATCTAACCAATCTTTTCCTGTTAGACATTTAGGTGATTTCCAATTAGTCACTGTTATAAAATAATGAGGGTAACAAATATCTTTAAACACACATATTTACTGACAGCTCTGATTATTCCAAAGCAAATCTGTAGAAGCAGAATTACCAAATTGGCTGTATTACCTTATATACCTACCAGCTATAGAGGAAGTGCCAACTGCTGAGAACCAGATTAACAGGAATATTTGACTTGGTAGGAAAAAGTGGCATCACATTGCATACTGCTTATTTATATCCTTTCCCAATTCAGTACTGTGTACAATGGAATATATGTAAGAGCATTCTACAGATAAGGGAAATCAATTTGTCATATATTTTTCCGTTTTCCACTAGCTTGTCATTTGTCTTTCAACAGTGTTTTTAAGGTTGATATCACTTTTCCTTATTTTTTCTTTCTTTGCTTTTAAGCTTAGAAAGGTCTTCTCTACATTAAGATCAGAAAAAGATTTATATGTTATACATTTTAAGGTTCCTTTTTTATATAAACATTAAAGGAACTAAAATTTCATTCAAGTGATTAGTATAATTTGATTATATAATTGATTATACTAAGTGCTAATTCAAATGATTAGCAACGAACCAAGTTCCCAGTTGTATTTATCGAGTGATTGGTTTTTCCATCTGACAAGCTACCTTATCATGGATTAAAATCTTAAAAATATTTACATCAATTTCTGGCTTACTGCTCTATTTCAGTGTTCTGTCCCCTCTTTGCATTAGCACTACACTGTCTTAACTGCTATAGCTTTATAATCATGTTTTTACTGATGGAGTAAATTTTCCTCCAGTAGTCCTGTCTTCAATTTTGATTAATTTCTCTCCCTAGGTGAATTGTACAATCATCTTGCCAAGTTCCATCTCTTCATCCTCCCAAAACGTTCATCAAGATTTTGGCTAGATGGGGCTGGCCCTGTAGCCAAGTAGTTAAGTTCCCACGCTCCGCTTCGGCGGCCCAGGGTTTCGCCGGTTCGGATCCTGGGCTCGGACATGGCACCGCTCGTCAAGCCACGCTGAGGTGGCATTCCACATGCCACAACTAGAAGGGTCCACAACTAAGAATACACAACTATGTACCAGGGGGCTTTGGGGAGAAAAAGGAATAAAATAAAATCTTTAAAAAAAAAAAAGATTTTGGCTAGACTTTTACTCAATTCCTAAGCTAACTGGAAGATCATCATTTAGTACATATTCCAATTATGTACATACTAAAATTCAATTCACTGAAAAAGATAATATTCCATCTGAAGATAGTCTTTTTCTGTTAATATATATTTCTAAACTGTGGATTCTGTTCCATAAAATTTTTATCAGAACCATTACCATATCTTTTTCCCCTCAGAAAAATACAGAGCCTTTTCTGATTAACAGAATAGTTATATAATTGTTTCAGATCTAGAAAGTTAATTTCCTTTGATTCACATGCAAATTAGTAACTGTTTTATTCTTATTCTTTATAAAAATGATCACTATTCTCATTCTGTAAGAGTAGTATCCTCTTCTCTAATCATAGCTATGTTTCAATCTAAAGAGCTTTCCTAGTTAGGATTTTTTACTTTTGAGTGGACTTTGAGAAGTAATCAAAAAGTCTTACAGACTAATTCATGTTAGCGGCTTCAATTCAAAAATATTCTTTATCATTGTGGGTCTCAATGGTTAACCTCAATGGGGTGAGCTCTCTGAGCCAGCCCTGGTGGTAGAGTGGTTAAGATTCAGTGCTCTGACCCCTGCAGCCTTGGTTTGTTTCCTGGTCAGGGAACCACACCACCCATCTGTTGGATGTCAAATTGTGGTAGTGGCATGTTGCTGTGATGCTGAAAGCTATGCCACCAATATTTCAAACACCAGCAAGATCACCCATGAACAGGTTCCAGAAGAGCTTTCAAACTAAGACAGGCTAGGATGAAGAACCCAGTCACCTACTTCCAAAAAAATTGGCCAGGAAAACCCTACAAAAAGCAGAGGAGCAGTATATGATACAACACCGGAAAATGAGAGGACAGCGCAAACAGACCGGGTGGGGTTCCACTTTGCTGTACACAGGCTCGCTAGGAATCAGAACTGATTCAATGGCACTAATAACCAAATGAGCTCTCTTAAAAGGTTCGCAAAGAGTGCTTCAAAGATACTTCAAGTGCAACTGCTCAGAGAACACATTACCTTGAGGGAAAGGAAAATAAGAACATAAGAAAGGGAACATATGAAAACAAGACCAAGGCCACTTACAACTCAAAGGCAACACCTGGTGAATAACAGAGCCAAACCTGTCCATAAGGGAATCACGTGGAAGTAGCCCACACAACAAGAAAACATTGTGTGATCCCAGAAAATCCAATTTTGAAAATCTAACTGTTGTCTCATATTATTAGAGGGGAAAAAATTAAATAGAAATATATAATCTTTATAAAATGACAGACTGTTGGATTTCATCTGGTGTAATGCATTTCCTACTGTTAGCTTTAAAAAATTTAAAAATGTTCCAAGACTAATTTTCTTTTAAAAGGGTAAAAATTAAGATAGCAATCAATATTTATCTTCTAAAGTCATTAACTTACACAAATAGGATCATTTCTCTCTCCATACCTTCAGGGGGTCTCTGCAACTGGGATTTCCGATAAAACAACATGTAGGCACTTTCTTTACCCTGAAACTGCTGTTGAATATCCTTTTCCTTGATCGGTTGGACTTTGGAATCATTTATATCAAACCAGTGGGGACAGGACGTTCTACCATTGAATCCTGGGGATTCTGAAGGAAGGGTCTTGAAAATTTGTTGATCATTCCTTTGGAAATCAGGCTCAGCCTGGAGAGTAGAGTTCTTCAAGAGACGAACTGTACTTTCATCTGAACTGAGTAGAAATGTCTGAGAATGAAGCTGTAAGAACTATACAAAAACAAAAAACAAATACTAGGTTAATAAAAAATTTTTGTAATTAGACAGCATAAAAACTTTATCTTCCTCTCTGTGATTACATATTTTAACTTCACCTTTATTTTTAGCCTGGCCAGCCAGGAGGAAAAAACACCCATTTGGGCCATAACAGAACATTTAATAAATATCAGAGCACTCTCTGTTAAGCTAACAGCTGCATCAAGGGACAAAGCTGCCATGCCACAATCTAAAAATATTTTAATTATACCTTAATACTGCTGTTTAAAAAAGTACTTTACTCAAACAGATTAGGTAGAGCAAATACTTCTGAAATGTTTAGAGCAATCTAAACAAACAAAGCACAGAACAAAGGCAACCACAGAGAAGCACCATAGAAGATAATTTCAAAACTAGTGACCCAGACAAACCCTGCTGGGATAAAGTAATAATTAAAGGCCTAACGATTGTTTAACATTAATTAAATTGAATGTTGTCTGTCCTGGAAGCTACAGGCTAGCTCAGGACATCAAAGCAGAGAAAGGCTGAAGTCAATCCCAGACGCTGTTTCTCCAGCTCTTCCAGCGACAGGCTCAGCTGCGCTCGGTCGAGCCCCCGGCACCCTCTCCTCTCTCACTCCCAGTCTCTGCGTGGCCTTGCAGTCCCTCCTCTTCTCTCAGCACAAACTTTACAGGGAAAATCACCTGGGAGGTTTATGTAACATCTGCTTAGCTCATCAATCAGTATGGAAAATTCTTTTCTCTTGAAAAGAAAGAATTTGTGGTAACGAAAACTCTCTAATCAAAAGTACTATTTTATCACAAACAGAAGGGCATGGGGCATATGACCCCCCCCCAAACATATTGTTAACACTGTATAATCGATGGTAAAATAGTTTTTAGCTAATTTGTTTTAGGTACAATAAAATATCAACAATTTGAAACCTTTGAGTAAGGAACTTTCTGAATAAATAATTTTTTCTTTGATAATTGAGGATTAACTCTTTTAAGCCTCAAACTTCAGTACAGTCTGGTCCTAGTAATGGCAGGGAAGTCTTATTGGACTAAGCCTCCTGATAAAAATGATAAACTCTAGACAAAACAACGAAAACAAGTGCTTGGAGAGTAACCAAGGCAGGCATAACGTGGGGGGAACATAATCCTCCAACAAAGAGAAGCACACAGGCCAAGTTCTACACTAATCCTCCTCTTCCCAGCGGGCAGCAGGGCACAGAGGAAGAGAGTTCAAGCAAAGGGCAGGAGTCTTACAGGGTGGCGGAGGAAACAAAAGGTGAGAAGGCCAGAGAGGCTAGAAAGCGAAAGGGAAACTCCTATAAAGGAGCCCCGAATCTGTATCAAACCGCCTCAAATCCTTGGTGAATGGTGCACAAACCGCCCCAGACCCTGGGAACCCAGCGTAAAGCAGAGGCTGGGAGGGTCTGGATCTGAGCAGAGATTCTAGCACCCTGCTGCTGGGTAGAAAGAGCACGGAGCTAAAGCCCTGCCAAACTGGAGATGTATGACAAACTTCTGAGGCTCTCCACTGAAACCCTAGAAGGGCCGGCATGCCCTAGGTTTGGGGTTGGCAAACTCTTTCACAAAGGGCCAGAGAGTAAACATTTTAGGCTTTGTGGGCTAGGAGGCAAACTTGAAGACATTATGTAGGTACTGATACAACTTTTTAAAAATAACCATTTAAAAATGTAAAGACAGTTCCTAGCTCACGGCTGTACCAAAGCAGGCAGCAGGCCCTTTTTTGCCCACAGGCCACAGTTTGCTAAGTCTTCCTTAAGAGGAAGGACCATGCATGGCCCAGGACTAAGAGCTACTCCATAGGACTAACAGCAAAACTGCAACAGACCCACCCTACCACAGCCCCAAATGAAGCTTCCAGAGGATCAGGGCGATTCAAAGGTATTTGATGGCCTGTTAGAACATAACGTGGAACCCTTTAGAGATCAAGAACACAATCCACAGTCTCCACAACACATCATCCACAGTGTCCAGGAGGCAATATAAGATTATATGATATGCAAAGAAACAGGACAATGTGATTAGCCATCAAGAGATGATACAGTCAATTCGCAAGAGAGAATAAGTTAATAGAAATAGACTCAGAAACAATCCAGATGTTGTAATAACGAAGTTAATAAAAATAAGTTAATAGAAATAGACTCAGAAACAATCCAGATGTTGTAATAACAAAGTTACTAAAAATAAGTTAACTTATAGGAAAGGATGGACAGAGTGGGTTCAGATGGGGAATTTCAGCAGAGAAATGGACACTCTAAATAAGAATTAAGTAGAAATTTTACAGCTGAAAAATACAATATCTGAAGCAAAAAGTTCATTGGCTGGGCTTAACAGAAGTCTGGTTACAGAAGAAAGAACCAGTGAATTTGAAGACAGATCAACAGGGGCCGGCCCTGTGGCCGAGTGGTTAAGTTTGCGCAGCAGCCTGGGGTTCTTGGGTTTGGATCCCAGGCACAGACCTACATACAGCTCACTGAGCCATGCTGTGGTGGTGTCCCATACACAAAACAGAGGAAGACTGGCATGGATGTTAGCTCAGGCACCATCTTCCTCACCAAAAAAACAAAACAGAACAGTAGAGAAAATCAAGAAAAGCAAAGTTTTTAAAAAAAAGTTTAATAAATTTGATAAACCTTTAGCAAGACCGATAAAAACAGAAAGTTTGGGGCTGGCCCGGTGGTGTACTGGTTAAGTTTGCACGTTCTGCTTTGGTGGCCCAGGGTTTGCAGGTTCGGATCCCAGGAACAGACCTAGTACTGTTTGTTGAGCCACGCTGTGGCAGCATCCTACATAAAACAGAGGAAGACTGGCACAGATGTTAGCTCAGCAATAATCTTCCTCACGCAAAAAGAGGAAGACTGGCAAGAGATGTTAGCTCAGGCCAATCTTCCTCACAAAAAAGAAAGAAAGAAAGAAAGCTACAAAGCACAAATTATCAATATCAGAAATGAAATAGGGAACATAACTTCAGGACTTACAGACATTAAAAGGATAACATGGTGATATTTCAAACAACTTTATGATAAATTCAACACTTTAGATAAAAGAACAAATTCCTTAAAAATCACAGTTTTCCAAAATAAATAAAAACCAACTTCATACTGTTTGCAAAAGACACACTTGCATAAAAAAGCTTGTATGGTTACATTAATACCAGACAAGGCCGAAAGGCAACGAATATTAGCAGAGAGAAAAGAAGGGCATTTCACATCAGGGGCCATAACAATGCAGAATGTGTGTGCACTTAATCACACAGCTTCAGAATAGCCGAAGTGACAGCGTCAAAATTTTGTCAAAAGGAGGAAGAGACAAATCCACAGTTATAGTTGGAGATTTAAAAACTCCTCTCTCAGTAATTGATGCAAGAAGTAGACAGAAAAATGAGTAAGAACAGAGAAGACATAACACTATTAACCAACTTGACCGAGCTGACATGTATGAAACACCATACCAACAACTGCAGAAAATAACTCTTCAGGGAACACAGAACATTCAGCAGGAGAGACCATATTCTAAGGCATGAAACGAGTCTCAGTAATTGCAAAAGAACTGAAATCACAGAGAGCATGCTCTCAAAGTATGATGGAATTAACTAGAAATCAATTTATAGATGTAACAAGAAGATAATTAGAAATCTCCCCCAAATATTTGGAAAGTAAGCAACATACTTCCAAAAACCTCACGGGTCAAAGAAAGAATTACAAGGAAAATTACAAAATATTTTGAACTGAATGACAATGAAAACATGTCAAATTTAGCTGCAGCTAAATTAGTGCTTTGAAGGAAATTTAAAGCTTTAAAAACATGTATTAAAAGGAAGGTTTAAAGGGGCTGGCCCCGTGGCTGAGTGGTTAAGTTCACATGCTCCACTGCACGCGGCCCAGTGTTTCATTGGTTCAAATCCTGGGCGCGGACATGGCACTGCTCATCAAACCACGCTGAGGCAGCGTCCCATATGCCACAACTAGGAGGACCCACAACGAAGAATATACAACTATGTACCAGGGGCTTTGGGGAGAAACAGGAAAAAATAAAATCTTTAAAAAAAAAAAAAAAAAAAAGGAAGGTTTAAAAAGAACTGAGATACTAACCCAAGAAGCTAGAAAAAGATGATCAAATCAAATACTAGAGATAAAAGGAAGGAAATAATTAAAAACAAGAGCTGAAATCAATGAAATAGAAAACAGATGAGCAGTAGAGAAAATGGGCAAAGGCAAAAGTTTGTTTTTTAAAAAGTTTAATAAACTTGATAAGCCCCAAATAAGATTGGGAAAAAGGGAGAAAACACAAATTATTAATACTAGGAACCAAAAAAAGGAAATAACTGCAGGTCCTACAGACACTAAAAAGATAATATGGGTTGTTTTGAACAACCTTCTGCCCATAAGTTTAACACCACAGATAAACGGATAAATTCCTTTTATCTACAATTTTCCAAAACAGTGCAAGAAGTAACTGAAACATAACTCTACAATCAAAGAAATTAAAACTATAATTTAAAAACCTTACTACAAAAAACGTTGCAGGTCTAAATGGCTTCACCAAACATTTAAGAAAGAAATAATAAACTGATGCTAGAAAAATTCTTTCCAAAAATATAAAAAAGAGAGTATTTCCCAACTCTGATACTAAAATCTGACAGACATTACAAAAAAAGAAAAGACTGATCTCTCTCATAAACATAGACACAAAAATCCTTAATAAAATATGAGCCAAATAAATATAGCAATGCATAAAAATATATCATGACCAAGTGTGATTTATCCCAGAAACATAAGATTTGCTTAACACTGAAAATATCAATCAACAGAATAAAAAAGAAAATCCATATGATTATATTGATAGCTGTAAAAAAACCCCCAGCGTTTGACAAAATCCAATCGGTAGTCAAAATGAATCTGTCAGTCAACTCTATGGATAAAAGCTAACTTCCTTTACGAAGCTAAGATTCATTTACAAGCACGGTCTAATTAAGACACAGGGAAGCACTTAGGGAAGCACACAAGCTCTTCGCTCCTACAAGAAAGAGTCCAAAATATTTCCCGAGTGTTCTGCTGCTTTGCTTGTTTTCAGTAAGTTGTCTTATTTCTGGAAGTACCAGTTTTTGCATCTAATCTTACAGCCTAGGAAACCAGATCACCAAGTTTACTAAACTTGTGTGTAAAAGAAAGATCAAGTGAAATTTGGCTGAATATCTGAAGACATTTCTATAAGTAAAATGATAAGCTTTAGGGTATGCACTTTGTGATTTTTGCTGCTGTGATCTTTTTTTGCTTACTTCTTGATTCTATGATAAAAATTACTTAATAACTTAATACTCAATAAGTACTTAATTGAATTCTAACCATTAAACAAAAATAGTGATTTTATTTTCACCTAATTTAAATTTCCTTCAGCAAAGGAATTCATGTTGCTGGGATCATAATAAAATTTCCTGGGAATAGGACTTCCTATAATGACACCATGTGTTACCTTTCGCAACGGTCCATACTGTTTTCTATACTTCTTGTTCCAAGATATTCCTATCTTTTTCAAGAGTTTCTGGCCCAGCTGATCAACAGGAAGTAGATTACTCTCCTCCTTAGGAAAGAAATACAAACTATTTTAAGAAAATCTGATAAGATATAACTGCAATATTTATGAGTTCAACAGGATCACATCTAATTAAACGTGTCTAAAACAGCAAATGTGTAAGTAGATTAACCATAATTATTTCAAAAGAAAAAGTTTTTTAAAAAGTAGATTAAGGGGCTGGCCCCGTGGCCAAGTGGTTAAGTTCGTGTGCTCCGCTGCAGGTGGCCCAGTGTTTCGTTGGTTCGAACCTGGGCGCGGACATGGCACTGCTCATCAAACCATGGTGAGGCAGCATCCCGCATGCCACAACTAGAAGGACCCAGAACGAAGAATATACAACTATGTACCACGGGGCTTTGGGGAGAAAAAGGAAAAAAAATAAAATCTTTAAAAAAAAAAAACAGTAGATTAAGCCTCAGTTTAGAAAACTTGAATTATGCCACTTTCCATGTGCCGAAGTTTAAACATTTAAAGAGCAATATCCAGATTATTCTGAGCTTTGGTAAATTCCTGATATTATGTGGGATTTTTAGAAGAAATATTTACGTGCAAAGAAGGGTTATTAATGTCTTTTCTGAATGCTTTGAAGTACAAACAAGTTCTAAAAAGGGGCAAGAAGTGACTATTAAGGGCTGAAATGTGTCCCCTGACCAAAATTCCTATGTTGAAGTTCTAACCCTCATAATTTCAACTGTGACCATATCTGGCTAGGGCCTTTAAAGAACTGATTAAATTAAAATGAGACCATTATGGTGGGCCCTAATCCTGACTGGTGTCCTTGGAAGAAGAGGCAATGTGGACACACACAGAGACGCCAGGGATGCACAGGCACATAGGAAAGAACGTGTGAGGACATAGCAAGAAGGCAGCTGTCCGCAAGCCAAGGAGAGAGGTATCAGAGGAAACCAAACCTGCTGACATCCTGACCTTGGGCTCCCAGCCTCCAGAACTGGGAGAAATAAACGTCTGTTGTCGAAGCCCCCCATCTGTGGGATTTTGTTACGGCCGCCCTAGCAGACTAATACAGTGGCCATAGACCAATACAGTTAAAGGACTCAGTCTAGGACCCTACTAAAAATTATGAAAAGTCACTTATTAAGAATGAATGAATAAACGAAAGAAGACCTGCTATCTTTACTATAGGGTACTAAGCAAACATTAAAAGTCATATACTTGAGGTATTACATTAGGAATGAAAAAGGGGACATAACTTCAGGGTCCTACAGACATTAAAAGGATAATATGGGAAAACAGTAAATCCAAAACAGTATGAAAAGTAAATCCCAATTCTACTTAAAATGGCAATAACAATACCAAGAATACCCAAACCCAATCCCAATATATGTATATAAACACAAAGAAAGCAGAATGCAAAGAATATACATCAAAGTGTTAATGTCTAGGCATTTGGTTTATTGATACTTTTTGTTTTCTTTATATATTTTCTAGGGTATTTTCTCCTCTTAAATTTTCTACCAGGAATATGTATTTCTTTTATAACCAGAAAGTCTCCAGTAAAAAAAATTTTTTAAACACACATAGAGAAGTCTCAAAGGAAAAAAAGACTATGAATAGTAATATCAGTTCTACCAACAAATCTCATTTATATGATATACACACACACACAAATATAAACACACACACACTCTCCCTACCTGTAATAAGATTGTTTTTAGAATCATCAGTGGATCATCAATCTCTTCTTCATTCTGAAGGTCTTTCAAATTCACATCTGGTTTACTATTTTCCTCCTATAAAGGAAAATAATAAAGTTTCTATCAGTAATCCCTTAAAAGGTAATTAACAAAATAGGAATGTTTGTGCTACAGAGGTTTCAAGATGCAGAAATGATAAAAGCATCATAATAATTTCTACATGTTTTGGAATCAGGCAGACCTGGCTTTGGATTCCAGCTCTGGTTGAACAGTCCTGGACAAGTCACTTAACTTTTCTGGCATTATCTGTAAATGGGGACTGTGAGGTAAGCAAAGCCTCCAGCACAACACACAAAGTGGGGTCCACATCTTCCCAACTAAGCACTACGTGAGATGCATCCTACAAATGTTGATACGCTGTATTTCCAATACCATTCAGTTCAAAATATTTTCTGGTCTTCATCCAATTTATCCTCACTCACTTGTGTTGGCCTAATAAAATCCTACCCATCTTTGCAAGCTGAACTTAAACACTCCCTTCTATTTCCTGATCATCCAAGTTTTCACCCATTCTATGAACTTCTTTGGGAACATTCCAAAATTCCCCTGAGAAGGCATTTTTATTGATTTTTTCCAAATATGCCATCTTGCAAAAGTATTTTAAATTGGCTTAAAACCATAAATACAATTAGCTCTAAACAATTAAGACAAAAATAATGAAATAGTGGAAGAATAAGGCAGACTAAATACATTCTGCTGTAAAATTACTAAAACTGATGGATAAAGTAAAACGCAACACAACAAAACAAACATCTTTTTAAACATGCACTGAACTAGGTAGAGAATATGAGGAAAATCCTCAAGGAAGAAGTGAAAGTGGAATCCAAGGAGGAAATCCAGAGTTGAGGCTACAGCTACCCAACCCTGCTGACACAGAGCTTCACTCTGACGCTCACAGGACAGGGTTTGGGAGACAAAGCCTAAGGGGCAACCCCAAGTAGGGAGCTGAATAACTGGTTTTCCAAACAACCAATTCTCTGCCATCACCTGGGTGTCCTTCGATTCAATCCGATTCTGACACTAACTTTGCTAAGTCCCACAAAACTGCCCCCACCTCAGACAGCAGCTGCAAGTGGGGTCCTCAGGCTACCTGCACTTCTGCCTGGCTGATTACCAATTCCAGGGTTCCTACCACCCCCACTTTAGGTTTGATAATTTCCTGAACAGCTCACAGAAGTAAGGAACTTATACTCAGGATTACAATTTATTATAAAAGATACAAATCAGGAGCTGATGACGAGGTACAAAGGGCGAGGTCAGGAAGGATCCTGAGGACAGGAGCCTCTGTCCCCATGAAGGCGGGGTGGCCACCCTCCCTGCACATGGATATGTTCACCAACCCGGAAGCTCCCTTAGTCTCCCTGTTTCAGAGTTTTCACTGACATTTTCATACAGTGGCATGACTGATTAACTCATTGGCCCTTGGAGGCTGACTCCAATCTCCAGTCCCTCTCCTCTCCCCAGGCCAGGGGGTGGGACTGGAAGTTCCAGGCCTCGAGCCACGTGGTTGGTTCCTCTGGTGACCAGCCCTCACCCTGAAGGTATCTAGGCTCCCACCAAGAGTCACCTCATTAGTGTAAGCTCAGGTATGGTTGAAAGGCATTCATTATCAACAACAAAAGATATGCCTATCACTCAGGAAATTTCAAGGAGCTCTATGCCAGGAACCTGGGACAAAGACCAAATAACATATTTTTTATTATACAAAGACAGACTCCAGCAAAATCCTAGAAACCTGAAAAGGGCTACACTCTCAATATAAGCATGACCAAGAAAAAAACACACCCCACAATAAAAGACAATGGGGAACTGGCTTGCTTTGACCTTGATACTAGATGAAGTGGAAAAACATTTCCTCTAATAATTTGTAATAACAAGTAGGTCCTTATGTGTTTTTGTCGCCCAAACTCACACTAGCTGCATGGCTCTAAAACCACTAAGTCAAGATCTTATTTTAAAGCTGTTAAGGGTTGGAAGTGACCCCCATGCATGTGGTAGAGACAAACACATAACTTTCTTGGAGGAAGGCACTTTCAACTCAGGCCTCAAACTACTTTTATAAATCTAGTTCTTAAAAAAACCAACCAAGCAACCAAGCCTACAGTCTAAAATAACAAATCACAAGGAAATAGAACCAGCAGATATCCAAATAAGATCCACAAAGTCTTCAGATACTGCAATTATCAGGTACAGAAGAAAATAGAATGTTTAATATGTTTAAAGACATTGACGACTAAGGAATAAGAGATTTAAAAATGGTAGGAGGGGAGAGGCAGGCTGGCATTGCCCAGTATTTGCACACTGGTGCAGTGACACATGGGCTACGTCCAGTGGTCCTGCACTCTGCCAGTGTACAAATGTGGCCTTGTGGGGACAGGCTGGTCCAGGAGGCACCAGTCCCAGGGCTCCCTACTCGGAGCTGTTGTGAAGCCTTCTTTGTCCCACTTCTTCAAATATGCAAGATGATGTTCGAAGTGAGGTCAACCATCAGTGAAGCAAAAGGCTCCCCAGAAGGCAGAAGGCATAGATCTGGTTGGTCAGGCTCTTCTTCAGAGCCAGATCCATTGGGAATAGTTAACAGCCTCCATGTTAGAAGAAAGACATGATCTTCTAGACAGACTGAGAGACTGAAATGTTGGCTTTAACCCAGGGAAAATGACATGAGGTTGATCGTGAAAATTATTCCTTGCAGACAGCACCTACTAAAGAAATGCATGAATGCAGGGAAGAGCGCCTTGAAGAAGAAGAAGAAGAAATTGCTGAACTATAAGCAGAAAGAGCAATACCTCTCGATGATTAGAACATTTGGAATCCTTTGTCTCTAGGCACAAGAAACCTCTCAGGATAACGTTAGTAAAGAGACAAGCAGTGTCCAGCAGGTGCACCTACTAAAGTTGAAATTCTTAAAGCACTAACCATTATCCTGATCAAATTACCACAAAGCTCTGGATGAAAAGCTAGTGATTCTTAAACAATAGACTAAGGAAAAAATCAACAAATGAGACGCTTAATAGAAGCTGTGAATAAGGAAACATACTAAGCACAAATGGAAAGCAATCTTCCGACTGTCCTTTAAGTCCTGAGGAAGACCTTGCTAAAGTAGCAGAGCTTCAAGAGTACAAAAACAGGGCAGAGAGCAAAATCAAAGAAAAGAATGCCTGCCCTCTGGAGTCACAGAACAGAACCGGGAGAAGAGCCTGACATGCTAGAAAACAGCCAATCGATTCTGAAGAAATGAACACAAAATTGTAGAGATGTCGAAGGAAGCACAACCCAAAAGGAAGACACAGAAGAGAGAATCATTACTCTTGAGACCAGCTACCTCACCACACAGTGTGAAGCTACCTCTGGGCATGACCTCAATGATAAACTTGAAAATGCAAATGCAAATAAATATTTTATGCATCAAAAGCCTGAGGATAAATCCCGCCAGCTAGCAAAGTGCCTGAAAGCTGACCCTGGCTGAGCAGAAGCTGCAACAGACACTGAGGAAAGCAGAGACACCTCCCTGGGTGGAAGCTGAACTGGCACAGAGGGTGGAGCACTTTCTAAGACTGAAGAGGGACTTGGCAATATTGGAAAAAAACATTACAACAGATGGAGGCATAACTGGAAGGAGAAAACCAACAAGCACAGTGGGCAAGGCTAAGAGAAAAACAACAGTAACATAATGTTTATTAGACCTGTTCACAGGCTTCTATCAGAATTTAATAAAAGCCTTCAACCTCATCTTTGAGAGAGAATAAAATAAAGCTAACATAATTGTTCGAAAGGGGTTGGGGAGAACGGCCACTCTAGAGAACAAGAACTCTCTACTAGGGGATCCTGGAAATGTGAGAAAGTGTGAGAAGGAAGGTAAGGTGATACGAATCGGCTCCAACTAGGCACGGACACACCGCGGCTGAGAGACCAGACGAGGCAAGAAGTGCTTCACTTCATCTGGCTGCAAATGTGCCCAACGAGTCAGCGTCTTCGCATACGAGGCAGACGCATTTGAGAGCGATGCTTGCGTGCAGCCTTTCCCAAACTAGAACTGAAGTTCTAGCAATAAAAGAAATGGAAGGAAAAGATTGTAAAGGGTGAAACAAAACTGTCTTTTTCCAAAGGTGTCTACAACATAAGAGGGTTTAGCAAGATGGTTGGTTATAAAATCAACATACTAAAGATGACTGCTTTTCAATACACTAGCTGCAAACAGTCCAAAAAATACCAAGTACAGACAGCCCCACAGAACATCGCCCTGGTAAACACTTTCTTGGTAGAACAGTTTGACTTCTTTAATATCTAAACTTTACAAAACATATACGTATCTCTCAAAATATTCCAAGTACAACTGAGAGAGCATCAGAAATACAGACAGATGTTCTGAGAAGCAAACTGAATGTGAACAAAGAGAATGTATACCTTGAATACTGTTGGCACCAGGAGAAGCCATTTTACCACATGTGGAGCTACTATTCACTAACGACAATGTTAACTGTTCTATAACCAGAAAGACATGTTTTAAGCATTCTGCATCCTAACGTGATGACTTGTAGCTTACATATTGACGTTTTACTATGTTTTAGTTACATTTTAGAAAATTAGTTGAGAGTTTGGGGTTGTTGTGTAATACATTATAATTCTTCCCATTGCAAATAGCTGTTACCAGACTCCCAGTTAGTGCTTTCCCTCAGAACATCTGTAAGTTCTGTTCTTGAGAAAATTATAAAACATTTTTATAAGACATTAAAGGAGTTCTAGAAAAATGAAAAGGTGTGTCAAAACCCCACTGCTTTTGTGTGTGTGTGTGTGTGTGTGTATGTATGTATACAAGCTGATTCTAGAAATGTTCACAGAAGCATAAAAAGCTAAGACATGCACAACACTCCTGAAGAATGTAACACACAGGAAGAATTGCCCTACCAGATATCATGACTTACTACAAAGCTAAAGAAATTAACAATGTGGTATTTGCCTAGGAATAGGAAAAAAAATAGAAAAAAAAGAACAATGGACAGAATAGAGCGCCAAAAGTGGACTCACATATAAACAAACAATTGACATAACAGAAGTGGCATTGTAGATTGGTGGGGAAAGAATGGATTATTCAGTAAATGGTAATGGGCAATTGCGTACTCAAATGAAAAAAAAAAATCTCACACCACTCAGAGGAAACCATTCCAGGAAGAATAACGTTTTAAAGGTAAAAGGCAAAATTGTAAGACTTTTACAAGACAATACAGGAGGAAAATCTGTATCATTGGTTGGTGCCATGAAAAACCAAGAAAAGCTGAGGAGGGGTTATTGACTAAAGGGGACTTAAGAGATATGCTAACTAAATATAATGCATGATCCCGGACTTGATACGAAAGTGGGAAAGAAAACGCTATGAAAGATTTGGATGAGACACCTGGTGAAACCGGAACATAAACTATGTAACAGACACTAGTATTCTATCAATGTTAAAATTCCCGATTTTGATCTGTCCTTACATAAGAGAATGTCCTTCTTCTCAGGAGCTAAACACTGAAGTATTTAGGGTTAAAGGGGCCCAACGCCTTCAACTTAATTTCAAAGGGTTCAGCACTAATAACGATAATGTTAACTCTGTGTCCGTGTATGTGTATATACAGAGTGTGTGCCTGTACAAATGTGGCAAAATGTTAACCACTGGAGAATCTAGGTGAAGAGTATATAGGAGGTGTCTGTACCATCCTGGTTATTTTTCTCTAAGTGTGAAATTATTTAGAAATAAAAATTTAAAACTTCTACCTGTACCAACTTTCAGTGCCTATAAAAAGTTTTCTACAGAGAATATAACAAATGGCAAAAGGTTATCCTCACCAAAGTAATAGGACTAGAGATGGGAAAAAATTGCAAAGATATTTCTACACTAATTTCTATACTTACTTGAAACTGCCAGTTTCCCAAATGATCAACATCTTTAATATACACATGATAATGTCCTCCATAGCAACCACCTTTGTGTATAATAACTGAGAAGAGGTCATATACATATTCCAAATCATCTAATTCACTCTACAAGAAAAAAGAATATAAACACTGATATACTTTACACAAAATGGGAAGATACATAACCAAAGAGAAAAAAGAATTTCAATTACTGAAATTCATCAGAAACATCACTCTTTATTATTCCTTAAGGATAACTTAAGATACATTTGAATAAGTGGCTTTAAATTTTAAAATTCTTAATTCTTAGATTGAAAATTACCTATCATTGGTCTAATACCAATCACACTACACCAACCAAATTCTGCCTCTTAGTTAAACATGAAAACATTTATCCAAACAAGAGGTTATTTTTACGTACTCTGGCTAAGATCATACAAGCCATTGTGATAACAACACACTACCCTACTAGGGTGTCTACGATAGTTTCAGCCAGAGAAAACCATCTTTGCATTACACCTACTATGCTGTTTTATAAATGTGCTCTTTAGCTGTTGAATCTGTCCTATATTCCAACTAGACTGTCACGAGCCTCAAAGTCAGAGCCATATCTACTATCTGTCACGCCTCCTGACACTTTAGTCCTCCACATTTAACAGGAATTTAGCAATTATGAATACTATCTGGTTTTGCGTAGATGCAGTTTAGTTAAAAGAAAAGGTTCGTTCTGGATTTATTAATTCTATGATCAATCTCTTCTACAATTACTGTGCTCTATAATTATGACTGACCCAACAGATGAACACCTACACTGGCATTAAAAAAAAACCTACTTTAGGTTAAGAGATACTTTGCAAATGGATGTTACTTGAGGGGTGCCAATTATTTGAGGAAAGCGTTTGCTTAAAAAATTGAACTTTTTAAGTAAGCACCATTGTTGTAAATGTCTGGTTAAGGTAAACACAAGAGAGAGAGATGTAAAAAAAGATGTAGTGACAACTTTTTTCATTAATATACAAATCAAAAAGTAAAATTATTGAGGGGTAGGTAAGTGCTCAGTGTTTTACTTACTTCAGTTTTGTTATTTCAAAGTATGCTAAAATCATGAGACAAACTAATTTTTATAAAAGGACAAAAATTTTTCCATGTGAGATGATGGATGTTAATTAAACCTATTGTGGTAATCATTTTACATCACATAAATCAAGCCGTCAGGCTGTGCATCTTAATCTTACACAGTGATATACGTCAATTAGTTCTCAATAAAACTGGGGAAGAAAAAGAACTAACTCATCGTGAAAAAAAAATTTTTTTCAGGCAGTAAATAGGGGGAAGGGGAAGTACATTAATTTATGCTAGAAAAACTATTTATTCTGTGTGTGTCAATAACAGACTCAGTTACATAACATCATAATCTTTGAATGGTAATTAATATAATAAAACAAAAACCAAAAAGCTCAGTAATTAAATTCAAAGTAGAGAAGGCCCATCTGAATTTATGAACATTTAAAAAAAGATACTTTTAATAGCTAGCTCATCAATGTTCTGGTCTTAATAAATACATAAAGAATGATTTGTAATAAGAAATACATTAGTCTTATCACTCTGATCTTGGCATTACAGTAATTATATAGAAAATATTTTTAAATGGAGTATAAAGTAGGCTGATTACATAATTAAATTCTTTTCAAAACTTTCTCCTTCCCATGTCTTGAAGACTACAACTTCTAGACTAGAGAAGTTCCAATTACCTTTCATTTTCTAGATGTGTAGTTCATTACTACATCTAAAGTAAACTAAATCCAAACAGCAGAGTGCTCATTAATGATTTCTTCCTAATGCAGGGTCATTTCTAACTTTGTTCTTCAATTTTCATTTCAAAGACTGTCCAAGGAGAGTCTAATAAAAAGGACTGAGAACAATTCCCTACTTTGGAAATTCAGGAGGACTGTAATAAACCAATGGTTCTCAGCTGGAGCGAGCCCTCCTCCCCGCCCCCAGGAGACATGGACACTTGGCAAGGTCTACAGACATTTTTGTCACTACTGGGGGTCGGGGAGGAGGGAATTCGACTGTCATCTAGTAGGCAGATGCCTGGGATGCTGCTTAACATCCTAGGAAGAATGGGACAGCCCACCACAACAAACAACTATCCAACTCAAAATGTTAAAGTGCCAAGGCTGAGAGATTCTGCAACAAACCAACTGAAAATCAGGTGAATAAAAGATTCAATCTTGAGGGGGAGAAGAAAGAATTGCAAAAGAAAATAGTTCAAACCTGTTCACAAAAAGGCTTGAGATTGATCCGGAGAGGGAAGGTATAACAGCTAGTTTCCTTGTATCGTTCACACTTCACAAAATCAAAATTAAATCTTAACAACGAAACAGTAAGAAAGGGAGGCAGCTTACGTAATTTGGCTGACTGTTAAAAGAAAAAATTTGAAAGTTTTTTAAAAGCAGAGTTATATAAAAGAATACATAATATTTCTTAAGATATGAAAAAGAAACCTATGAGAGTTGTAAGAGAAATATGTCCTTAAATCACATAAACTCATCACCAAGGACTCAATATACTTCTTGATATAAACTCATCTATTTTATGGACTAAAGGTGACGCCATTCATTTATGCTTACAACTAAATATTTACAACTCAATTTTATGTTTTCAGTGTTGATATCCTAAAAGCAAAGCTCTGATGGGCGTGTTGTCACTGCGTGCTCCCCCCTCTAACAGGGCTCCTTTCCTTCCTGAGGTCTGGCCTTCCTCCTTCTTCCTCAGTGTCTGCACTTTACCCAGCAGACACACAGATCTTTTTATTTCCTGAAGAAGTGGAGCTCTTAACTTGGGATCTAGGGACCTGTTTCAACGGATCCAAACCCTTGAAATTATAGGAAAATTGTATGTGTTTATGTATTTTTCTGGGGAGGAGATCTATAGCTTTCATTAGACTTTCCAAAGGGCTCTAACTCCCCAAATGTTAAGATCCACTGATTGGGGGTTTAGTTACTGTTCTTAAAAGCAGACAAGAAAGGTTCTTTTGGTTTTCATTCCTTGCTTTAAAACAAAGCATGAAATTAAACTGCTTTTTACTTAAAAGTCATCAGCTTTTCCGAATTCCCTTGCACTAATGGCATGTTAGGGGGCCAAAAAGTCCTTCCCCAAATATAAAATTATCCCTAATCATAAATATCTAACATTCCTAGAAATATATTTAAAACAATTCCATAAATTTCATGGGTAAAAAAAGTGAAATGAGAAAACAGCAATATAACAACAGGAAAGATTTTCAAACAAGCTCAAAAAATACATCTAAAAAAACCAAGTAACTTCAACTATAATGTGGCTGAGAAAAGAAAGATTGCTAAGAACAAAAAAATCTGCGTTAATTTAGGTAGCACGACCAAACTTAAACTTAGAATGCAATAAATCTAATGCAACTAGAAAAGAAGGCAATCCTGGAAGTATCAAGATCAAAAAATTTCCTTTGAAAAAGAATTAAACCAATGATATAAAAGGTGCATAAAACAACTGCTTTGGTTTAGCAAAAGGTTCTTGTTTTACTTACATGCAAATTAAGTTCAACCAAAACTAAGAATTTGTTCAAGTATCTTTCCAAGATTTTCCATACTCTGAACTTCATATTTATTAGATTGTAGTTGGAACATCAAAAGTGAAATACAAAATAAATAGGAAAAAAATAAACCTCTCGGGGGGCCAGCCTGGTGGTGCAGTGGTTAAGTTTGCACATTCCGCTTCAGTGGCCCGGGGTTTGCTGGTTCAGATCCTGGGTGTGGACCTATACAATGCTTATCAAGCCATGCTGTGGCAGGCATCCCACATATAAAGTAGAGGAAGCTGGGCACAATGTTAGCTCAGGGCCAGTGTTCCTCAGCAAAAAGAGGAGGGTTGGCGGCAGATGTTAGCTCAGGGCTAATCTTCCTCAAAAAAAAAATTTAAAAAACCTCTCTCTTTGGGTTTCATAAAAGGGCAAAGGCTGGACAGAATTATATACTGAACAATACAAAATTCACCTGGTTTCAAATCCTGTTGTGAAAGCTACAAGCATGGGGTTTATTGTTTTTATTACATTTTCACCTACAATCTCCAGGATCCAAATCAATATCATGTTATCTACATCAATCCTCATTTTCTTTATTGGAAAATTTAATAACTGTCAGCTCTAGGAACAGTGCTCTCTCTTTAACAGAGTAACTGTGAAGATGTGTCTTTGTGGTAGTTCTTTAAGTAAGTGCTCAAAAACCACTAGCGAATTGAGCTCAAGCTTATCACACTAGGAATAAACAGCCTATCGTGTCATCCACCAGCACTGGAATAGTGACCACTGCAGACAATAATGACAGCAGCAGAGCTGACGCCATACTGCAGAAGAAATCAGTTGCTTAAATCTTGCCCCCCTTTCATCCTCTATTGTGCTTTGCTGTACAGAAAGAAACCCAGAAGTACTCTGTCAAGCCCCTGAGTCAGCAAGTTCAGTATTTCCCACTGGGGAGGAGGAGAGGGCTATTAGATTTGCCACAGTCAGGAGGACAGACACAGGGACATTGTAAAATAACCACATATGCGGAAAACGAAGAAAGCCATCTATTTTCATAACAGTAGACAAAGCAGAGCTCAACAAGCTCCTTGGTTGGCAGAAATAAAAACATATTGCCGTCTTCAAACGGTAATTGCAAAAAGCAGGGATGTGGGGAGTTTATCAAAAAAAGATAAATTTAAGAAACACTGAGGTACAAATAAATTTTTCCTGGGTGAGAAAGAAGTTGAGAGAACTGATGGGTTGAAAGCTTAATAAATTCTTTATTGTGAAAAATGAAAATACAGATATGTACAGTCATGTGTCACTTAACAACAGGGATATGTTCTGAGAAAAGCGTTAGGTGATTTCGGCCTGGTGCGAACATCAGAGCGCACTTACACAGACCCAGATGGTATAGCCTCCTACACACCTAGGCTATAGGGTGCTAATCTTATGGGACCACCGTCATACATGTGGTCCACTGTTGACCGAAACGTTGTTATGTGGCCCATGACTGTATACCGTAAATGAGTTCTCAATCCTTAGTATTAATTAAGAGCTTCATGTACACCTTTCAGACTTTTTCATAGAAACCGGCTTCACTTGATAGACCTGCTACTGCTGAGCACTAAGCGGGGCCCGACAGAAAGGCAGAGTATCGAGCATTACCTTCGCCGCTTTAACCAGCCTGTCACAAGTTCCACAGTGGTATAAGTTGTCAGAGTCAAAAATTTCCTCTTCTACATACATGTTCCAGAGAGCATCTTCCAAACCTGACACATTTTTGACCGCTACTGTTAGATCTAAGAAGTCTTCCTGAAATACACATGAAGGTTCAAGAAATAATTTCACAGAGGTTCACAAACACATCTCCAACTCATACCTATACTGGGAATAACCAGATATATTTTTCCTAAAATATTGCGCATATGAAAATATATATCTCAGATCAGACAACGTGAAATTCTGGGTTTATAAGTGCTGTCTCAGTCTCTAGACTACGACAGCAAGGCAGGGCTGGGTTCTCTAATGTAAACTCCGCTTCCTCATCTTCTTCTGCTGGGGCTGGTTTAAGATATACTGAGGAAGTTTTAAGAAAAAAGTTATTCTGAGCCAGGATAAAAAGGTATTTTTATGAAAATTAAGAGGAGGATATTTTGTAAAATGGGAGCCTATCAATCCTACTATAACTACACTTGGACTACAACATATTTCTAACAATAAGCACTTAAAATGTGACATGTTTAAAGCATATTTATAGTTTCGTGTGCCCGCAATAGCATTACTTAAGGCATTATGAGAACTGTAAAATAATTGAGCACTAATTAGTTCATGTGGAAATCTAAAGTAATAAAAGTAACATTTATATAGTTTATAATATATATGTGAAAACAATGTCTGTAATTTATAACATCTTCATATACACTATGTTTTGACATTACTTTGTAAATTATTACATTATAGTTAAGTCAATTATACAGTAATTCAAAGACACACAACATCTTAGTATTTCCAAACTAGGCTGACCAAACCTTCTATTAGTACAGGCAATAAGGGCCCAAAAGTACTTTTTATCCCCAACTCTTTCATAAAAAAATAGAAAAAGAAGAGAAAATATAAACATATATTCCAAAAAAGCAATTAATGTAATATTTAGAAAATGCCATTTAATTTTTCACTCATAGTCAAATACAGAAACTTTCTATAATTCTTGCCATATCAAAAGAAGATTTTTATTAAAGACAACTGTTCAGTGATGAAATCATCTGCTGTATAACTTGTAGAACAGAGATTACTATATTTACATCAGCAAATATCCAATTAGACTAAATGGGCAATCTGTGTCATGACAAAGAATCAAAGGTCACACTAGTTTAAAGAGGACTATAACAGCTTTATGTATACAATCGTTAAACAAGCACACATGTACACTGAACTTTCTGAAAGACATCAATAAACTAAATCTAATATTTAATTACAGACATTTGTCAGTTTAAACACTTCTCAGTACTATTCTTACTACTTCTCTAATGATCTTTTTTTCTAATATTCCAACCACCAACTATAATATGGGTTTTTCTCACGAGGCCAGAGACCTCTACTCGTAAACATCCCCCAAATCTATTTCCTAAATATTAGAGTAAAGAATTAAAGATTAAAGGTATGTTTTAAGATATTTGCTTCTTTCAGTTTACATAGAGAAATCTGGATTATAAACTTATGGCTTGGGTGTAGCCAGAGAAAAAGAAAAAAACCTGATAAAGTTATTTCTAGTAATAAACTCTAACCCTCATGTAGTTTTACAGATAATAGATCTAATTACATGAACTATAATTTACAACATAAGTTATTACTCAAATACTCTTGCATATTCACCTGCTTTTCACTGACATTCTTACATTCTTTACAAACAATCTGGTTAACAATGGTTCCGTGATAGAGACGATTGATGAGGTCGTGGCCGGAGGTCCCGACTAAAGAAGTTTCCAAAGCACTAAAGAGAATTCGATTCAGTTCCTGCACATCATGTTGCCTCATTTCCTATAAAACAGGTAACTTTTAAATGTAATTTTGTGCTTCAGATGTTTTAAAACAGATTTTTAAAGTGACATTTGTTAAAAAACACGAGATTTATCAAGAAATCCATAGGTAAGCTTCGATCAAATTCAAAGATGACTAGGCTAAATGAGCTGAGAACAGGTTAAGAGATCACCACCTCTTTTTATTTTTACTACAAAATGAAGATATGAACAGGTGGTGGTCAGTGTATACATAAAACTCAACTCACTTCAAAACAGGAAGGTGCACACATTCTTGTGGGAAACCTACACACGGCCACGCCACAGAAAGGAGAGAGGAAGAAGGAACACAACAGGCACAGAGCAGTCTCTAAGAGTTGGCAGCGTATGCACAGCAAAATCTCACTTGGATCAGAGGGACTGGTGAACAGTCTGAATTATCAACATATGAAAAGAACTAGAATTTATTGCTTTGACACATACACCAACTGAAACAAGACTAACAGTGCTGTTGGAAAAGTTCCAATGGAACTTGCTGTAGTCCACTGTGAGTCATGCAACTGTGTGAACAGACTGAACTACTCCTTAAGGATAATTTGTAAACCAAAGCCAAGGGGTACACCAGCCTCGGAAGTGGAGAAGAGAAGAACCACCAGCACAGGAGCCTGAGGAACGGCAGCGGGGGGAGAACGAGGAGACGGCGGTCGGGGAACCAGCAGGAGCTGGCGCTCTAAGGTCAGGCAGTGCGCACGACTGAGAGTCCGCTGAGAACAGAGCAGAGTCTCCTGGTCTTGGCACATGGATGTCATGAGTGACTCTGACAAGAGAGGCAGAAAGGAGGTAGAGGAACAGACGGAAGGTACAGAAGTAGAGCCAGTGAGGGAAGACAATTTTAAAGATAAGTTTCGTGAGAAGAGAAGCTGATAAAGTGGATGTTTTTTAACATATAAGACACTAAAGGATGTCAATTTCTCCAGTTATCACTGGCTCTGATGGAACAGAAAACTTGTGGAAGTTTTCAGTCTCTGTTTCTGAACAATTCTAAGTTTGCCAAAGGTCCCTCAGAGACCCTCTCTACCACTGCAGGTCCAGTCCTGGAGGGTTTTCTACAAGATTTTATTTAGAAATAAATAAGTGGGGTTTTCACAGCTTTAAGAGGTATGAAACCAGCAACTTAGTGAAAGCTTATTATCAAAAACAAAGGGAAATCCACTGAGTGATGACTAAATTAACAAAAACAATGTGGCATATCCATCCAAAGGAATATTACTTGGCAATAAAAAGAAATAAAGTGCTGATACATACTATAACACGAATGAATCTTGAAAACATTATTTTAAGTGAAAGAAGCTTGTTACAAAAGAGCACATGTTATATGATTCCATTTGTGTGTAAATCCATAGAGACAGAAAGTAGATAAGTGCTGCCAGGAGCTGGGGGGTAGGATGACTGCTAAAGGGTTTGGGGTTTCTTTTTGGCGTGGTGAAAATGTTCTAAAATTCATTGTGGTGATGGGTGTACAACTCTGAATATATTAAAAAACCATTGAATTGTACTCTTTAAAAGAATGAATCTTATGGCATGTGAATTGTATCTCAACGAAGTGGTTATTTTTATAAGAAGGAATGAAAAAGAAATTAACGCAAAACACCTGCCCCACACCAGCGATCCAGGATGCACCATGGAGGGCCTAATTACACCCACTTTACTTCAAAGCCCAAGCCTCCCTCTTCACCACACAGCACCACGTAGTGAAGGAATGCTCCTGCTTAGAAGAGGACGACGGTTTAGAGTTTATTTTTAAAGGCAACGTAGCATTATTCTGATCATTGCCTCTTTAAATTCTGTGATAGCCTCCCATACCTCTGTCTTTGCAAGAATACATCTATTACATAAAAAATCACAGACCTGGTTTTGTTCAATTTTCCATAGCTAATAGCTTATCAATATTCATAACAAGCACCTTTACTTGTTGCTGACAAATGTTCAGTGTTTGTATATAATGAAACATCCTTTAGGAACTCAAACAGAAAAATGAGAGGAAGCCTGCACACAACAGGATACAGGAAGAAAATGAAGAGGGTCAGGAGAAAGGCTGGACAGGGAAAGTGGAAAGACTTGTCAGAACGCTTTCACTGTTTTGCTCGAAGCAAATGTTCAATCGGCACACCCAGATTCAAACACGAAAGCATGTCATAAAGGCAGATAAAATCGCCAGGCAGCTTTTAAAGCTGATTCACAGTTTGCTATATAAATGGTAAGTAATTTCCCTGCAATAGGTGTTGTATCTCAACTAGACTATATTAAGGGTAGAAATTGTAAAAATCAGCTCTTATGCTTCCCCCTGTATCCACAACTCTCTCCTCAACCCCAAATCACACCCATTCATAAAGTCCTGCATACAGCAAGCATCTACAAACTTATCGCTAGCTCGTAATTATTTAATATGAGAAGTAAATCCTTAAGCAATAGCTTGAGACCCTAAGGTAAAATTAAAGGAAGTCAGACAACACGATTAAACTGGCGTTTACTCTTTACTGCTGGTAACTTTTCCTTCGAGAAGCTGACCTTCGTACCTCATTGCTGGTCCACCCAAAGCTGTCTGTGAGGTCGGCTGTGGATGCAGCTTCCTGGTCCAAGAGCAGAAGCTGAGCAAACAGCCGCTGTAACTCTAAGGGTATGATTCGAACCTGGGCGAGACACATACACGTTTCTAAATGAAGTCTTTGAAATGGTGCTGGGGTTTTTCAAAAGAACTGCATGCTGTTTTCTCATGTCTCCTGGCTCATTTAGTTCACTCAGGAGAAAGTTTACAAATATTTTAAAGAGTGAACTAAGATTCATTCGTCATTGAAAATTCTAATTCAACACCAAAAGTTTTAGCTATCTGGAGTTCTCCATCTTGACAAAGTACACATCAATATGAAAATCCTAATAAACCACCCAATTGATTACACACACAGTAATTTAAGTCTCTAATAGTTCATCCTTTCTCTAAAATATCCCAGATACAGACATACTCCCTGAGAGTATGATCTGCAACAGACTGGGAATAAAAAAATACACAAAAACTGACTCTTTCACACAGGTGGTTTGAGAAGCACTGGGCTGAATCATGAAAGACTCCTATTAAGTGCAGATTTTAGCCTGAGAGCAATAAACTTCTGAATGACGTTTACAGAGGGGAGGAACATGACTAGATATGCACTTATAATAAATCAATTCCTTACTCAATTTATTAGCAGAATACCAAATTGAAAGAATACTGGTCTCCATTTTTTGTTGTTGTTAAAATAAGTGCATTAAGTAGATTTTTGGTTGGTTAGTGTGGACAATTAGCAAATATCTCCTTCACCAGAAGAAAGAATGAACACAGCAGAGAGCAAGGTGTGTGCCTAAAGCAGCAGCAGCAGCATTATATTTGGAAAAGTAATTCTGTTTTGGAAGGAAAATTCCATTGCCAGTAGGTATAGGCCAAGTTACTGTCTGAAAATAAAGATCATATTTGGTAATTAATAAAATTATTGAATAAGGAACTTAATTCCTTCCTTAAAAAACATGAACTCCATTCTCCAAAAACCCCTGTACATCATAGATTTAATACCTTTGCATCAGGTTTATCCTTATCCTCTAACGAACCAAGCTCTTCTGGGCCAAGAGAAAATAAAGCTTCTAAACAAAAAAGTAGAATCAGAGACGTAAATGACATTATTTCATTTTACAAAACTGTTTTAGAAAGCCAAGACCACTACTAAGTGAAATCAGTTAAAAACTCAGAAATCTGACTGTGGCGATATTTATACCCTTACTCTACACATCTTACTTTTGGGTAACATTATTTTTAACCACTATCTCCATAAGGTTTCAGTATGGAGATCTATAAAAGGAAAATCATGCATATAAAACTAAAAACAGTAATATCAGAAAATCTTTGATGGCTTCCTATTGCCTATGGCAGTGGGTCCCAAAAGCCACATGAGGAATATTAGGAAATATACAATATGTGATAGTATCACATGTGTTCATTTACAAGCGACATGTGAGGTTTCCAACCACCCTTTCATGAGAAGGAGCACCTTCAACTCTGAGATCATGCCCTTTCTTATTTTGGTATGAAAATGTCTTTTCTGTGTTGAGGGTAATGATAGACGGTACTGGTCTTACCAGGAAAAGTAAGTTGGCAGCTTAGTGATAGTCTCCAGATTTTTTTTTAAACGCAACATCTAGGTATGCCAGCCAATGGGGCATATCTGAATCTGTGGGGAAATCTGTATTCAAATCTAGACAGGTACTCTTACTGGGGAACTTTGGTATACCGCAAGGAGAGAAGGGATGGGATCGGATGGGTGTTGTCTCCCACTGAACACAAACCTGCCCTAGTGACTACTGCTGTGGATGTTATATTCCTTCTGAGTTCCTGGCAGGATCTGAATTAAAATGAACCATGAATCTAAAGGTGAAAACAAAAAACCACACAAGGACTTTCACAATCACGTCCCACTACTCTCCGTGTACTCTCATCATACTCATTGAGCTGGGAGGACAGTGGAACCCAGTCTAGCCCTACTCCTTCAAATATGATTCCAAAAGCTCCAAAATCTGCCACCCCAGTTTGCTGCTACGGCTGACCCTCCTCAAATTTCACCTCCCCTTCAATAAGCATCGGGATCCACACTAAGTCTTAGAAGGAGAGCACAGTCCACTCTAAGAGCTCAGCCCATGTGCCTGGCTGGTGATCCCCTCTGCCAGAGAGGAAAATGGCCTGGGGCTCTCAGCCCTGGGCTTGCTGCGGTACTCTCCAGGACCAGTCCACCTCCTCTCCCCACCAAACATCCTTCCTCAATCTCTTTTTAAGACTACTTTCTACTTCAAGTTGCCCTTTAACTTCAACAGTGTTAAAACTTGGAGAACTTTTAACCCCCTCGGAATCTGCTTATTAATGCTGAGAGTTTCTAATGGTGGAAGTACTGAATGTGTCAGGGAGATACTTCTATGGACGGGAGGGAGTCAGGGACAGGAGGCACCACTCTTAGGTCCACATGCAGGGCAATCCATGAGAAAGACTCTGGGAAGGAGACAACGGTAAATGTCTACTAAATGTCTGGAGGCAGGAAGTCTTTCTAAACCTAGGAGCAACAAAGGTGTCACAAAGAGTTGATAAATCTGGTAGTGGTGGGAAGGGCGATGTGACACCAGATATAGGATGAGCCAGGCTGTCTGTCCTCAAAACATGGAGACACCATGGAAAGCTGGCCTAATCAGGGCCAGGTGACGGCAAAGAAATGCCCACATGAAATCAAGGGAAGACAGAGACTAAGACCCTTGTGGAGGAAGCTCGTTTGCGGAGACGGGAATGGGACAAACATGTAGAGAGAGAGAGGGGCAAGAAACCAAGGGTCCAAGGAGGTCAGACTGGCTTCCTGTAGGTGGATTCTGGGAGGTTGCCCTAGATCCTCACAATAAACCCCCTTTGTGATCGAGCTGATTTGAGAGAGTCTCTGTTCCTTGCACATAATTCCTTATCTCACATCTTGGGTCTCTGGAATGCAGAATTTCCAGACTTTAGAAAGGTAATATGAAGAAAGGGTTATATGTGTGAATCTTACATCCCAGCAGGGTCTGAGACAAACAGCATCCATTAATCAAGGAGATTAATATTGTTGTAACAAATGTATGAATATTCACCCAAGTGAGACAACTAAGACTATAAACAGCCTCACATCAGGCCAGGTTCTGAGCCCAAACAAGTTCACATCAGATGGCTTTGTCAGAGGCTTCTGGATTTCAGAATCGCACATGAAGGATTTGAAACTGTACAAATAATGAGACAACTGTCCGTACTCCAAAATGAAGGAGATAACTGTTTGGGTAACTCTGCCTTAAGTGTTTACTTTGGAGAAATTTGAAAACTCAAAAATACAAATAGTGTAATAGAAATGAAGGCTGGCATTCATGACAAAATTGTCTTTATGTTGTATTTTACATTACGGGAATTAGAAAAGATTGCCTTATTTTTTCATTTTCTTAGTAAACATCACTGTGATCACACAGCATATATTTGAGATAATTTAAGCGTCATACCTCTCTACAGAGAGAATTATAAATCTACATGTTACATCAGCAACACTAAGCACATCCCGTGTTGTACAGCTCTGAGATACTTTGTGATTTGGCATAATTAATTACACCTAGAGACTGTGGTACATATTACTAATCAAATGCATGTAACGAGCATACCTCTGAATTCAGGGGTGAAATGAAGAGTCTGAAGAAGGGAATTGAGGTAACAGGTTCCACCCTGATTTCTGATTCCGCTTAAATTGGTGAATTCTCTAGGAGGAGGGGGCTCCACAGCTTTGGTCTTTAATTTCTTCCCTTTTCCATACTGATTATGTGACACACTGGAATCATCCTCTTCAAATAGGTCCCCAAACATTGTGAAACTAAATACTACCCTTAAAGAAAAAGGCATGTTATATAAATGCTTTTAATTTTAACCCAGACTGTCCGCACATTTCGCTGTCTTATACTTGGGAGTATCTACTTTAAGTTGTTCCTTAGAAAGTATACACAGTAGTGTGGGTTTTGGAGGCAGCAAGACCTGGACGTTTTCATCCCTGCTCCACACGACCTGGGTGACCCTGGCTAAGTTACTTAACTGTGTTCCTATATGTAAAACGGGAAACCGCCTATCACGCGGGGTCATTTCAACAATCACACGACATCACGAAAGAAAGGCATTTCGTGTGGGGTTGGGCACACAGTAAATGACAGCCGTTTAAAGAAGGCACATGGACACCGCTCCTGAACAACGGAAGACACCCCATCACCCACCTGATCCCACGCTGGGCGGCAGTGCCGATCCCAGATCCTGAGAGTTGACAGGGGCCCCGGGACCCTCAATCCCTCCTAAAGTCTCTGCTTCTCACACTTGGACCAGATTATGACACCTGCCTGAACTCAATGGGACAAATTCATCTGTCCAGTAGTGTAGCAGATGGTCGCAGAGCGGGAGAGCCGGCGGAGGGCCATGGTGAGAGACGGCCACGAAACTCACGGGGTTCCAGTCCCTCCGACAGGAACCCAGAGATCCCAGCACCACCGGGACCTGGAGGGCCGCTCAAGGCCTCACACCGAGTGCGGCGGGGGGGTCACCCGGGGACGAGCAAGGCAGAGCGCCCAACGCAGGTGCTAAGGCACAGGAAGCACTTTAAGGGCAGGAGGTTCCTTTGCAACCCGTTCCTCGCAAGAAAAGCACGAAAACTGCAGCGGGAAGTTGTGGCCTCGACCTCGTGTCCGGGCTCCTGTCTTCCCCACCGCACCGCCGAGGTCAGGCCCTCAGGACCCCCAAGCCACCGCGGACCCTGGGCTGTGAGGGGGCCGAGCCCGCGGCCGGGCACCCCCGAGCGGACGCCGGGAAACGCCGCGTCCCGGGGCCTGCCGCGCAGACCCTCGCCCCGCCCTCCACAGGCCCTGCCGCCGGCACGGCCCCAAGCCTCCCACGTCCCCGCGGCCCCGGCCGCCGGCCCCACTTACTGCCTAAAGCCCTGACCCCCGCCACAGCCAAGTCTCGAAGCGAACGGACGCGCCCACAGCGGGGGCCGCCATGGTGGCGAAGGCGGGTCTCCCACGGCCCCGAGCGCCAGCGATCTACGGAACACCGGGACTACGCCTCCCAGAATACCCCGCAGGAGCGCTGGCCCGTCTGACGGGGTCTTATGGGCAATGTAGTTCTTCTTCCCGGAGAGTTCGGGAGTCGCGGTGGGGCGACAGTGCTGGCTTCGGCATTGACAAGTGGATTCGTGGGTCCGCTTGGCCTTTAGGCTACTCACTAGTCATTCACATCTTTAGGTTTATAGTTTTTGCTGTTCGCAATCCATACTAAGATCATACGTGTTCTGGCCTGGGTAATTCCCAAGTGGCGTAACCATTGGAAACATTTGTGTAGGGCTTCAAGTTCACCTTCACTTTCAAATAATTTTCCAGCTGTATCTCCTGTGCAAACCCTGTGAATAAAATTTCACATAACCTTGAACGTTTATAACATCCCCAGTGTTTACTTCGTCCCCACAAACTGGAGGTAGCATACGGAAGACTACACTAAAAATACCTCGCAATTATCCTCTCTTGCCCACTTGGGTAACTTCAGTGCATTATTTCTGTAGCCCGTTTAGGCTCTTCTGGCATTTCCGCTGCCCACCCCAGCCTCCATCCAGGCCTGAATGAGGGAGACACGGAGAAAATCATTTTGGCTTCAGCTAAAGGTTTCAGAGATTGAGAACAGCAATGGTGATTCGGTCCAGTGCAGCCCACATTCCTCATGTGCTTTCTCTGTGCGAGGCATAGCGGGGGGAGTGCGGAACGAGGGTGCAAACAGAAAGAGGACATGTCCCCTGACCTCAAGGAGTGCTTGGTACAGTGTGGGAGACAGATGCAGAGATTCCTGAAGGAGGACACCAGGCCTGTTGGGCGAGCCCACAGCAGAGGTCTAGACAGAGGAATGTGGAAGCAGAGCAGAGAAGAGTCCCAGCAGAGAGCTTCTGGGCAGGCGACCGCCCACTGCATGTGACGTGTCCAGGGAAAGTGACTAAAAATAAACGACAGTCACATTCCATCACATCCCTAGAGTGGGCGTGTCAATTTTATGTCACCATATTGGAGGCCTCAAAGGGTCTGAAGGTGGAACAAGACAAGGAGCAAAGCCAGGCATTTCAGACACCCTTGGGAACCTCAGGTCCACTGCCAGTGAAGAGGTCCCTGGTGAGGGGCCTCAAGTCTTTCCTTGGAACTTGGGATGCCAGTCTTTTCTGGACAAGGAGTCTTTGGTAGTCAGGATAAAATCCAAGTTTTCCTTTGGGACATACTGCAAAAATACCAGCTTTATTGACATTTACTTTCCTTTTTATCTTTCTAAGTCCTCAGAGTACAAAAGCCTTTTTTTTTTTTAATTTTACTTTTTCCTTTTTCTCCCCAAAGCTCCCAGGTACATAGTTGTATACTCTTCATTGTGGATCCTTCTAGTTGTGGCATGTGGGACACCACCTCCGCGTGGCTTGATGAGCACTGCCATGTCCACGCCCAGGGTTCGAACCGACGAAACAGTGGGCCGCCTGCAGCGGAGCGCGCGAACTTAACCAGTCGGCTACAGGGCCAGCCCCAAAAGCCTTTCTTCGTAATTATTTCTACAGTGGCCCTGCTGTTCGCTGCATGATCTCTGCCCAAAGGCAAAGATCGAAAGCTGTTCTTATCTGGAACACGTACAAATAGGTGTCTCAGAAAATACTACTCATTCCTTATCATTTCATGAGTAAATCATAGGCAATGAGAGTGATTTTTTTTTAATGGTGGTATGGATACACACCCTCTCTGAGGCAGGTTTTGTGCCCGTGCTTCCTCTGCCGGCTGTATTGCTTGCACTTAGAACCCATGCAGCTGGACTGCTCCAGGCTGCAGTTATCTGATCCATGGCTCCTGCAATGTTGACCGGCTCCCTTCCTCTATGTGTGTGTCTCCTGCTGACACCCGGCTTTGCTGACGCAGGCTGGCTGCTGGTGGTACCCATGGATGGGAGCCACTGGTTTACCATGCATTCGGTTGTGGAGAAACTCATCCACAGAGGGCATGAGGTGGTCATAGTCATGCCAGAGGTGAGTTGGCACATAGAGAAATCACTCAATTTTACGGTAAAGACATATTCTACGTTTTACACTCTGGAGGAGCTGGATCCTCAGTTCAACATTTTCTCTGAGGCTCACTGGAAAGGTCAGGAACAAAGTTTACTTTCTACGTTGCTGACTTCATCTGGTGATAGTTTTATTGAACACTTTTACTCACATTGTAGGAGTCTGTTTAATGACGCCAAGTTAGTAAAATACCTAGAAGAGAATTCTTTTGATGCGGTCTTTCTGGATCCTTTTGATATGTGTGGCTTCATTGTAGCCAAATATTTTTCCCTCCCATCTGTGGTCTTCACCAAGGTAGTAATTTGCCACCATCTTGAAGAGGGTACGCAGTGTCCCAGTGCTCCTTCCTATGTTCCTAGATTTCTCTCAGGGTTCCCGGACACCTTGACTTTCAGGGAGAGAGTGCGGAAACATATCTTCTACTTTGAGGAATATTTATTTTGCCGCTACTTCATCAAAAATGTTTTAGAATTTGCTTCTGAGATTTTCCAAAAGACGGTCACAGAATATGATCTCTTAAGCCATACGTCAATTTGGTTGTTACGAACTGACTTTGTGTTTGACTATCCCAAACCTGTGATGCCTAACGTGATCTTCATCGGCGGTATCAACTGCCATCAGGGAAAGCCACTGACAAAGGTGAGTTACCTTTCCTGTAGCATATTCAGAATAATCTGGCGATGGACCTAAAAAGATTCCTTACTAAACTGCAATTTGTCATTGACATTTGTAATTTCTTTCTAGTTGGATGAAGTATGTCCCTCCAATTCATTTAACTGTTTTATCAAATTTTATAAAGCTGCCCTCTTTGATATGCATGGGTATACAATTGATATCATAGTAGCTAATTTCCAGGCTGCATTTTTTTTAGTCTTTATAGTTTTATTTTTTAAATATGTAAAACATTTGCATGGTTCAAGGTCAAAATTATAAAAAAGCAGTACTCAGAAGTCTCAATCCCGTCCATGTATCTTCCTCCTTGTTCCCTTTTGAAATCATTTCTGGTTTATCTTTCCTGAGTTTCTTTTGCAAAACCAGTCATTTATGCATTTTCATAAATGTTAGCATATACATCTTCTTTGTATCTTGCTTTTCTCAATTAAAAATATTTCCTGAAAATCACTTCTTACCAGTTCATAGAGACCTTCTTCATTCTTTTGTCCAGCCACATAGTACTCCATTGTGTGGCTGTACCAGTCCTCATTCAATCTGTGTGTTATGGATGGACATTGGATTGTTTCCAGGCCTTTGTTATTAAAATAATGGAGTAGTGGGCAACCTTGAACATATGTTGTTTGTATTTGTGGAAATGTATCTTTAATTCCTAGGAGCAAACATGTACTTATTTTTTATTGTGGTCATGAGTCTATGACATTGTGAAATTTCAGTTGTAGATTATTATTTGTCAGACACCATATAAATGTGCTCCCCCCACCTCGTGTGCCCACCCCTCCCTCCTTCCCCTGGTAAGCACAAATCTGTTCTCTTTGTTCATGAGTTTTTTTACCTTCCACAAATGAGTGAATCATACAGTGTTCATCTTTCTCTGTCTGGCTCATTTCACTTAACATAATACCCTCAAGGTCCATGCGTATGGTTGTAAATGGGGTGATTTTGTCTTCTTCTATGGCTGAGTAGTATTCCATAGTATACATATATACCACATCTTCTTTATCCAGTCATCAGTTAGAGGGCACTAGGGTTGCTTCCACGTCTTGGCTATTGTGAATGATGCTGCAATGAACATAAGGGTGCATAAGTCTCTTCGTATTGTTGATTTCAAGTTCTTTGGATAAATACCAGTAGTGGGATAGCTGGGTCATATGGTAGTCCTATTTTTAATTTTTGAGAAATCTCCATAGTGTTTTCCACAGTGGCTGCACTAGTTTGCATTCCCACCGGAAGCGTATGAGGGTTCCCTTTTCTCCACAACCTCTCCAACATGTTATTTTTTTGTCTTGGCAATTGTAGCCATTCTAACGGGCATAAGGTGATATCTCAGTGTACTTTTGATTTGCATTTCCCTAATGATCTGTGATGTTGAGCATCTTTTCATGTGCCTATTGGCCATCTGTATATCTTCTTGGAAAAATGTCTTTTCATGTGCTCCGCCCAGTTTTTGATTGAGTTGTTTGTTTTTTTGTAGTTCAGTTGTGTGAGTTCTTTATATTTTATGGAGATTAACCCCTTGTTGGATATATGATTTGCAAATATTTTCTCCCAGTTGGTGGGTTGTTGTTTCATTTTGATCCTGGTTTCCTTTGACTTGCAGAAGCTCTTTAGTCTGATGAAGTCCAACTTGTTATTTTTTTATTGTTTCCCTTGTCTGAGTAGACACGGTATTTGAAAAGATCCTTTTAATGCTGATGTCAAAGAGTGTACTGCCTAGCAATTTGGCAGGAAAAAGAAATAAAAGGAATCCAAATAGGCAACGAAGAAGTAAAACTCTCGCTGTTTGCAGACGACATGATCTTATATATAGAAAACCCCAAAGAATCCATAGAAAAACTATTAGAAATAATCAACAACTACAGCAAAGTAGCAGGGTATAAAATCAACATACATAAATCAGTAGCATTTCTATACACTAACAATGAACTAACAGAAAAAGAACTCAAGAACTCAATCCCATTCACAATCGCAACAAAAAGAATAAAATACCTTGGGATAAACTTAACCAAGGAAGTGAAGGATCTATACAATGAAAACTACAAGACTTTCTTGAAAGAAATTGATGACGACATAAAGAGATGGAAAGACATTCCATGCACATGGATTGGAAGAATAAACATAGTTAAAAT